CAAATACAGTTTGGATGTGTTGATCTAGATTTGTAAGAATGTATATTATAACTGTTTTTACGAAGCTAAAATACACATTCTAACTTGTCTTCAACGTTTTATCAAATTTAGTATTTATATTGTAACCATATGTCTATGATATAGCTAATATAGAAGACGTAGGTCCACGTTCTAACCAAGACACTTTATTATTTCAAACGTACAATATATGTTGTAACCAAGACACTTTATTATTTTAAACATACAATATATGTTGTAACCCTTTGTCTATGATCTAACTAATATAGAATACGTATGTTTACGTTCTAACCAAGACTCTTTATTATTTCAACTATAGAATATATGTGCTATCATTCATTCTATAATATATCATAGATAGAACGTCGTGTTATTACTTTATCATATGTTCTAAGTAGTTAGAATTAATAGTATAATCTTCTATCAGTGTTCTATACCGTTTAGAATATGTATTCTATATTTTCAGTTATTTTATGCGAAAATTTAGAAAAAATCAGTAACTACCTTTTATTCAAGTTTATCTTTGGACGAAAATTTACAGGGGAATTGTGTTGAATTCATCCCTTGTTTGATTCAACGATCTTCTTCCTTTCTTCTTCTTCTCTATTTCTTCTTTATCAAATCAAATGGTTCTCATTTATGTTTCATGTGGTGTTTGGAGGCGGGATGTGAATAATGAGTGGAATTTCATTGTTGATAATGGAAAAAAGGCAGATTACTCTTGTTGGAAGCAAGTACTACAGTAGAGCAATTGAAGATGATGGTTTTGGAGGATTTTGGAATGGACGAGAAGATTGTTAGCGCTGAGTTGAGTTATTTTCCAAGTTCTTTGATGAGTAATTTAGGAATTCCACCAATTGTTATTTCCTATGATCGACAAGTTTGCAGTTTTATTGGATATAGGAAGAAAAATTCATCCATCTACTTGTGTGTGTCATTTACGGGTATGGTTGGGAAGCGAAACAACAATTTCGATCTGAATGAGAAGCCTTCTAACTCAATTTTCTTGTCAAGCTTCTCCCCCATTACAGTGATGGTTGTTTGAAACGTATGCTGCAAGAGTCTCTTCAAGTCTTCATTCTCCATCTCCACACCCGCCTCATCTTGTTCCTCATTTATGGAAGTTGTTTTCAATTGTTTTTGAAGCTCATAATCCATAACCTGCAAGCACACAAAATAAGAAAAATAGATCAATACTTTACAACTTAAAGAATCAAAGTCGAGCTCAAGTAGAAACAATAACTAACCAAGACAAGCTCAAGTAAAATAAACAACCAAAACGAGCTCAAGTAAAACAATAACATTCATATATACCTTCACCAAGAAGAAGACAAAACTGTGTTTGATAATTTGAGTGAATCGAATTCCCTAGAGTGTCCAATCTTCTTTCTTTTATTGACCTATGAAACAAAGAAAACAAGTTATAGGCTTGATAACAAAAAGTTGCTGACTTTTGAGTTCCTAATGAATTCAATATGACTTTGAATCACATTTCTCATAATCAAAGAATTATTCAATGCATGTTAAATCCCAAAACGTAGGAGAAGAAGAACACTTGAAGCAAACACTTACTCAAGTTGAAATCCGAAATCAGAAAGAGGATTCGTCGGAGAGAGGATTCGTCGGGGAGAGGAGACGGGTCTGAGACGGAGCTTCTTCGGAGAGAGGAGACACGGGTCGGAAACAGAGCTTTGTGGGAGAGAGGCCGGACTTCGCCGGAGAGAGGTTGGAGAGAGGTCGGAGAGAGAGAGAGAACCTCCTGCTTGGTTTCTCTCCTTCATTTGTCGGAGAACGAGACTGAGAAAGGAGACGACTTTATTAAGGTTTTTAAAAAAAAATTAATAAACATAGGGTTAATTTTGTATTTAATTGGGTAAAAGTATATTTAGACAAAAGTAAAATGGGCAAAGGTATAAGGTGACAAACTCATCCTCAAATTGGCCCGATTAGCCAATTTTCTCAATTTATTTTACCACTTGCTACGTATAAACCAATAGATCCCCGATCAAAGTGATCGGACCAGAGCGTTAAGACCAAACTTGAAGTGCTATCGTAAAACCAGACGTAATATTTTGCAGCAATGTCTTCGTTTCATTTATTAGCAATCCAATAATTAAGATGCAAAACAGTACTTTTTTCATTTCCCTTACCAAACAATGTATGTATATGATTAAATAATTTCCATACTAGTTAGTAAAAGAGTAATAAATATTAATATAGTACTAAGTCAAAGTTATTCTGAACTTTAATACTAAGTCAGAGTAATTTTTTGAAGTTTAATACAAGTCAAAGTTCTCCAAGGATAATAATTATTCATGTAGCAATTATTTGGACAATTAGACTGCGGTGTGATTGGTATGTGTTGGAGTTGATTTGTTCGTGCGAAGTCTGCTCTGACTATAATATTCAAGGTTGACCACAAAGTTACGTAAGCACATACGTCATTTTTGTCTTCAAATATATCTTATTTCATACACGTTGAGATTATAATTGTTGTTCCAATGATTTAATAGAGTAGCGAGTTAATTTATCTGGTTCAGGTTATGTTTGTTTTTTCTTTAGGTTTAAAATATTAAGTTCTTTTGTTCAACCACAAGTTCTCAGATGACTGACAAATTATTCATTGACATCATGCATGCAATGACAACTGACAAGATTCTACCACAGAAAGAAACAGATAATCCCTCAACCATGTATATTAAAATGGCACGAACCGTCCAAAAACTGCTTATAATACATTAGAAATCACACTAATTAGAATATAGTTAAAGAGATTCATTGCATATTCTGTTCTATTTTTTTATAATGAAGTGCGCAGCATATATTCAGCAACACTGTATGTAGCGAATAGAAACTGAACTTTGCTTCTAATATCATTGCAGATAAGATCATTAAGTGGCAAATCTCATGAATAGTCAGCAAGCAAGTGAAAGTTTCAAACAACGATGTGGTGTTTTTATTTCTAAAGTTGTTTCAGATTTTCCAAGATTAACTGACTAACCATTACGTAGCTATAGTAGACACTGCTAGTCTGCTACACAATTGGTCAAATGCTAGTGACTTAGTGTACATGTACGTAGGGATGCAGGATGTGCCAATAAATAGCGTGTGATTATGTTCACCCAAACAGATAGCTCGTGCATGATCTAAATACATAAAATGAACGAATCTTAGATCGTTTTGGAGCATCTTGACCGTTGAAAAAAACGAATTCATTTCATGAAACAAAGTCGGTATATTTTTTTTCCGTGTCAATAAATCAGTGAAATGGTGGTTAGATATTGTAGTAATAATAAAACGAAACTAAAATATTATGTTGCAGTATACTCCGTAATTATCTTGACTTGATGATGAAGATTCATTGTTTATCATGAACTTTTTTTAAAAATGCTACACTTTGGGTCTTTTTAAGGCTTATACTTTGAGTTAATCTTATGACATGACGTAACATTAGACTACATGCATGGTGAGTCTATTTATGTAAGAGAGATTCAAATAATTATTCATATGAATCGAACAGAAAATGTGTGTTCATCACCTAGATAGGTTGTACAAATCTTATAATTATTATTAAGTTGAAAAAGTAATATATAAACCTCTATATATTCTGGTCAACAAATACATGCGTGTGTGTCTATATATAACATAGACGAACGGATTAGCCATCGTTGCTGTACTTTTGGCTTGTCCCCAAATCCATCTTTGACTACAAAAAAAAATAAAAATAATCGTAGATATCATCGGATAATGCATAGTGGGAAGAGACCTCTTTCACCGGAATCAAAGGCCGGAAAAAGAGAAGAGAAAGAAGAGTTGGCTTCTTGCTCAACTTTGTCAGAATCTGATGTGTCTGCTTTTGTGTCTGAACTCACAGATCAACCCACCCCACAACCCGTAGATCTGTCTTCATCTCTTGCCCCTCAAGGTAGCCTCATCTGATCCATTGTCTTACAATTCTAGTTACTATATATATAGCTTTTGTGTGGTTATATTTATCATTGAAGATTCTTTTTCACAAATGGTTTAGTTAATACTGGATTTTGACATTAGTAATGAATGCCTCAGTAGCTGCACTATGGCCTTCATCAAATAGAGAATTCATATAATGAATATCAGACTTGTATATGAATCATTTCTGTTCGCAGTGTAGTAGCTCATTTTGTTAGAACTCAATGCATCTTTATGAATTGTTCCTTAATTTGATTTTCTTAATTTAGGGCCTTCTTTAATTTTCCGAACTAGAGGGACAAAATGATCATATGATCTTCGGATATACATGTTTAGCTAGCTCGGTTGCTACCTCCAGGCTACGGTTGGTTGCCACGGCCATGTTTTGATTTAGATTATTAGTAAGACTAGTATTTTAAGCTTGAAATCTACGGATAACATGGTTGAACTTAATTATTTTATATAGTAATCTTATAAGAGATACTCAAGAGCATTTATAATGAAGATAATCATTGGATCTAATTTAGCCTAATAGACATGGCCGGTTCTGAGTTTTTAGAAGCAATAAATAATTTAGTAAAAGTTTCAATAATCTTATTTTTTTACAAATTTGGAATCCTATGTCTATGTAATTTTAGAAGAAAAGTAGAATGATCATATCATATGATCCAAATTACACACATAATAATCTTTAACAAATGCATTTGAACCGGTAAATTATGTTCTTTATGAAAACGAAGATAACATGTCATCTCGGTAAGATCATCAATATATTTATATGCACGTCTATCACGTTTAATTCTGTCACCGTTGCTAAAAGAGTGAACTTACAATTTTCATCATTTCTTCAGAACAAAGCAACTCGAGGAAACGAAACTATAGAGGTGTGAGACAAAGACCGTGGGGAAAATGGGCAGCCGAGATCCGTGACCCGAACAAGGCAGCTCGTGTGTGGCTTGGCACGTTCGACACAGCAGAAGAAGCAGCCTTAGCTTATGATAAAGCTGCTTTTGAATTTAGAGGTCACAAAGCCAAGCTTAACTTCCCCGAGAAAATTCTTACCAACTCTAGTCGTCTCTATTCACCAACCGCTTCTTCCCATGATCGTATTACCGTAACGCAACCTTCACCTATTGCTCCTGACATACTTCTTGATCAATATGGCCAGTTTAAATCCGTAAATAGTGATTCAGTTGCCAGCTTTTCGATGACGATGTCGTCTTCTTCGTCTTCGTTGAGTCAACAAGGAGATATACCAAGTGTAGAGGATGGTAAAAGCGTAAAGAATATTAGTACTCATAAACGAAGAAAATAGCATATCAATGCTACACTAGTGGTATATGCCTATTAGGACTCTTTTGTCCAAGTATGACCGGATCTGAGATTTAGGAGGCTAAAACGCATTGAATGTCGATTTAAAGAGTGAAGAAGTGCCTTTAAGATTCAGACCTCATGGATGGAAAGATAATCGTTTGGGACATGAATATGCTAGAAGCAGTGGCGAACCTAGAAAGAAATTTTAGAGGGGTCAAAAAACAATATTAGGGTCATTAAGGAGAGTAGAACCCGGGTTTGTGGTTTATTCATATCTTTCCCAACCAAATATGCTGCTTTCCATAACAAAATGTAGCTTAAATTTTTTATTTTGTAGTTATTTGTGGTGTCAAGTGAAACCATAAGGCTTCACCTGGGTCCGCCTCTGGCTAGAAGGGATAAAGAAAGCTGGCTCGTACACATTCTGATCGGTCAAGAAAGCCAATCTATTAACGGATCACCATAAAAGATTGAGAGAGATTAAAACGAACCTTGATCCAGCAGCTGCATTGAAGTTCTTGTAGAAGAATATAATCTCAAAACTTCCCATAGTATCTTGTACAAGCATGCTTCAGCTTTAGTTATATTTCCTTTAATGTGTTGGCGTTGGATTAGAAAAATTGCATGCAGTACATGTGGCATTATCATTAGCTAATTGCTAGGAACTCATATGAAAAACAACTCAATAATGTCTCGTCGTCGTTCCATAAGATATACTCATTATCAATGTAATGCAATTTAGGTTTTTTGATGAATTCATGCACAAAATGAGAGAAATTAAATTCTTTAACCAAAACTAGCTGATGAGCAATTCATCTTGACAAATGAAAGATGGTCTTAGAAAGTAAGGTGAGTTTAGTAGAATTTGTAATCAATGTATTTGAATCATGTCGATTAAAGGCAAGTGTTTTGGTGTTTTCATAACTATATAATTACTATACAAGTGTTAATATTGTTAATTTTTGTTATTTAACTGTTAGTATATAACCTCTAATCAATCAAGTTACCATACACACTGACTATCCTAGTCAGTTAAGATAACCAAACAGCATAGAAGATGAAGACAGGGACTACAACACGCCCATGACCACTTAGCAGCTTGGGCTATAGATAAGCAATAAGATAAAGCCTAAGCATTGAGAAGAAAGAGAAGATGGGTTCTCTCAAACAAGTATTAGAGAAAATGGGCTTTGTCCATATAATCTTTCTAGCTTCAACTGTAATAATACCTTGTTAGATATGAAGGAACATCTCTGGGTTTGAGCCTATAAGTGAAGAAGAAAATTCTTATATATTTTAAAAAAGTAAAATATTTACAAAAGAGTAGTACATGCATCCATCTAAAATCTCAATGAATCTTGAATGCTAATATAGGTAACAACAACAACATATTCAGAACACACAACACTCTAACATGACAATAGCCTCACAAAGTAACATAGAACAACAACAAAGAACATAGTCAAGGGTAGCCATCAAGCACACCTTTAAGTAGATTCAACCCTTCTGCAGATATGCTCCGCCTCACACGTGACTGCGCTCGTACCTCTATCCTCTGTGGAGGATCTGGAGAGAAGCAGACAACAATCACAGTCAAATTATCACAAGCATTCCTTTTAAGAGCCTCCCTAACAAGCTCTCTAGAGCATCTCTCTGGATCATTATGAATCATCAGCTCCTTCCTTGCGATTGTCACGGCACACTGGCTGCTCATCACATCCCACAGACCGTCACAACCTATTATCAAAAACTCATCGTCTTCGTTAAGGTCAGTCTCTTGCAACTCTGGCTCTGGAGTAAGAGGACAAGCAGAGCCTTTGGGGCCTTTCATGTGCCAGTCTCCTATGGCACGTGCAACTGATAGTTGTCCGTTGAGGTAGCCATCATACACAACTCCACCTAACTTTTCTATTCTTGTTTTCTCGGCGATGCAGTTTGGTTTGTGGTCTTTGGACAACTCAATTGCTCTGCCTCTTCTACCTAACACTGCTCGGCAATCACCAGCGTTTGCAACTATCAACCTCCTGTAAAGAAAGAAAGTAAGTACGAAGAGTCTTTACACTAAGGTTAATAAACATGAAGATAAAATTCCTCTTACCTTCCAAAAAGTAAAGCTGTAAGGGCGGTGGTACCAGAAGAGATGTCAAGAGAAGAATCATCTGCAAATTGGTAATCAGCTTTCAAGAAAGCATTCTTAATTGCCTTCTTGACACATAGTGGGAAGTAAGTGTCCTCTACAATGAATCTCAGTATGTTCTTTCTAACAAACACTGCTGCATCTGTGCCACCATGGCCATCAAATACCTGTTCGAAGGTCAATAACCAACAACGTTAAACTACTTTTAAAAGTAATAACTATAGTCTTATGAGCTGCATCTATGCTTCTATAGGTAAGGTTTGAAAACACACTCACTCACCCCATAGAAGGCTGAAAGAGACGAGAAATCAACAGATGCACCAAGATGCTGGACAAGATCATCGATGCAAATATGTTCATCTTCCATGAACTGTTTTGCTCCTTGTTCAGCACAGCTTCCTGATCGGTATACAGGTAAAAACTCTGATTTCTCATCAGTTGACTTACAAACATCCAAATCCTGCACACAAACAGAAACCAATTACATCACTTGAATCCACCTGCAAAATACAGATCTAGAGATTTAAGATGTGACTGCAACCTCCAGCCTACTAGTAGTAGTGCTTGTAATATGTTGAATAGAAGATAAGTGCCTCGGAGGTTTCCCTTTACTCATTTGCTTAGTATCATCTAAAGTATCAATCACTGTTGAAGAAGCATTGTCCATGTTGAAATCTCCTTCTAGAACCGTTATCAATGGTGAAAAATCCATACAAGCCGCTGACGTCTTCTCTCAATCATACAAATACTCTTGTGTTTGCTTTCCAACGATTCCTCTTGTTCCCACTAGATCTAGATCAACAAAGACCAAAACTTACAAGGATCAGAACTTTTGTGAGAAACAAACTTCACACCAAAGACCTTGAGATGGGCCAAAAACTAGAGGCTACTTTCCTTCCCAAAGATCAGTTTCAAAGCCAAAGAAATGATTTTTCTAAATGCCCAAAATCAGTAGATCATTGATTATTATCAAAGTGAAGGACTTTTACAACTTTAACGAAGCACCAAATCAAGCTCACAAAAGGGTCAAGAACCAAATACGCAAAGGTGAAAACTTTTCTAAGTCAGATCACGTAATCGATGATCCACAACCCTGTTTTCACATAATCAAACCCAGAAAGCTTAATTCAACAAAACCCAGCTCACAAATTTTCAGAAATCCTAAAGAATTCAGCTCTTAGTCTATTGAGAAACGAAATCTCGAAGAAGGTAGATCATTCAGAAAATGAGAAAATTTACCAAAGACGAAGCTGCACAGATGGAAAAACGATCCTTTTGAAGAAATTCTCGAAAACCCCAGAAAGAAAAAGTTACAGCTTTTTAAGAAGAAGATAATTGACGAAAGACAATCTCATAAAGGTTTCTCTGAGAAAGAGAGAGAGAAAGAAAGAAAGAAAGAAGCTTTTGTCTCGTTTGGTATTTAGTTGGCCACCGGCGTTTCCAGGTTATCTCTTGTTTTCCTCTATCTGTCATTTCAGAGATCTGTTACCGACACGTGTCGTTAATCAACGGCTAAGCATCGCTTTGACCTGGTGGTAATCCTCACCGATTCCTAACCGTTAGATAGGAAATAAACGGTCAGGATCTCATCCACGCAATCTCCTCTTGTCTTTTCCGAATCGCGAGGGGTTATTACATTCGATTAAAAAAATAAAAAAATAGCTGCGTCGGATTCCCGCCATCCACGTGTCGTAGTTATACTGGTTTCATCTAATGTTTCGGCTATGTTCACTGTTACCAGTTTCGGGTAGAGTTTAACCAGAATCGCTAGAAAACCAAAGTTGTTATTAGCAACCTAATTATAGACATAATAACGTGTCTCTGATTTGATTTCTCATGAAATAGTATTATTAGTTACAAAAACAAAGTTAGCTAATGTTGTTGGTGATTAGACATCACATTGATGGAATAAGCATATTAGTTTTGCAATTATTAATTTCTGACTATTATTCTATAAAAAGTATAAATAGCTAATGATGAAAAAAATAGAAACTTTGATGCCTACTAACAACCAGTGGTAGTTACATAGATGATGTATGTATTTGAATTTTCCATTTGATTGTTGAGGTTTTGATATGTTTCATTCTATGAGTAATCAGATTAGGGTTGATATCTATCTCTTAGTGATCAGTTGGTTGTTATATTCAAAAAGCTTAATCAAAATGTTTCTTGTAGCATCTATTTTTTCCTATGATTCATCAAGTTTAGCAAGATGCTTGTCGCCATAACTAAGAGTTAACAATAGTTTAATCCCATGTTTTTTTAATTGCTAGTTGTTATGGAATTGACTTTAAGTTAATTTTTTTACATTTTCTAATGTGCCAAAGAATCAGTCGGTCATCACAACTTGTGTAGAAAAAGATGTTACCAAATCACGTGTGACTGAATATTCAAACTCTGTCAAAATATTCAGCTGTATGAACAGATTAATACTTTTTTATCTAATGTAGACTTTTTTTAAATAATATCTAATGTAAACTAATATATATATATATATATTTGGTGTATAGTTTCTGGCAAGATAGTCGAATTCTCTTAGACATAACATCTATTTATTGTTGAAACAGGTAGTTTCTTCATTAGCTATGTATTTGAAAAGTTTTTTTTGTGATTTTTATTATTTGAAAAATTGTATCTATTATTTATTTCACAGGCATACATATTAATCAAACTATATGTAATACATTGTCACTCAAAAAAAGTTACACCTAGTTTAAAACCTATAAGAATACAACAACATGTGTATCTCATGAAAGAACTAACTGTGTTCCTTCTTCGACATAACAAGAATCCAACACAGTTGTGAACCCTTCTTCCATCATCGGTCTACTCACCAACCTAACCAAATCCTTTATCTCTTCAATCCTATAATGCATTGTGTCTCCCACAACAAAAGTATGGCACTGATTCTTCACAGTGATCCAACTACAACCCACATCTTTGCTCACTCCATTCGCTCTCATTAGCCCCCAAACTCTTTCCACATCTCTCATCCTCCCTAAAACCGTGTAAATGCTTGACAACTGCACATAAGTTGATGACTCTCTCGATCCAAGAGCCATTAGCTTCTCTCCTGCGTAAGCTCCTAGCTCACAGCTCCCATGGTTCTTACACGCGCTTAGCAGTATCCGCCAAAGGCATATACCGTGATCGACACTAGCTGATTCGATGAACTCTTTTGCCTCTTTGAGCTGTCCTGCACGGCTCAGAAGATCAACCATACACGCATAGTGGTCAACTTTCGGAACAATCCCAAACTGATCAGACATTTTGTTGAAATAAGACCAGCCTCTCTCTACAAACCCTTTATGACTACACGCTGATATAACGTTCACGAATGTGACATCATCCGGCTCCGTTCCCACCGCTAGCATCTCCTCGAAAAGCTCTAACGCTTCCTCTCCATGTCCGTTATGAGACAAGCCTGAGATCATTGCGTTCCAAGAGACAACGTCTTTATTAGGAGTTCTTTGAAAGACGAGGCTCCCATCTTCTAAACTCCCGCACTTTGAGTACATTGTAGAAAGTGCGCTTCCGATTGGAACTTCTAGACTGAAACCGTGTTTGATTGTGTGGCCATGCACTTGCTTTCCTAGCTCCAAGGTAGCTAGAGAGGAGCAAGCTTTTAAAACGCTCGCCATGGTTGGTTCATTTGGGATGATACCTTCCGTTTTCATTCCACAGTACAGAAGCAGAGCCTCTTCGTTATCTGAGTTTTGAACATAACCGCTAATGATCGATGTCCAGAGAGCAACATCACGTTCTTGTAGACAGTTAAACCCTTTCCTTGCTTCTTCTAGACAACCAGCTTTCGCATACATGTCAACCAAAGCTGTAGTCGCAAATAAATGATTTTCAAATCCCAATTTCAACAAAAAAGAATGAAGTTGTTTCCCTTCTTCTACACAGCAAATGTCACTGCATGCATTAAGAACCCCAACGATAGTGTATTCGCTTGGCTTGATTCCAGCAGAGAACATTCTCGAGAAAAGCTTTACTGCTTCGAGTGATTCCCCATTCTGAGAATAACCAGTGACCATTGCTGACCATGTAATCGCATTTCTGTCATCAGAAGAGTCAAACATCTTGCATGCCTCACTCAAGCTCTCGCACTTTGAATACATTGTAACAAGCGCATTATTCAAAGCTACAAACACGAGCAACCCATTTTTAACCGTGAGGCAATGGATTTGCCTGCCTAAGCCTACGTATTCGGTTGCAGCCAGTGAGCTAAGGACCGCGGTGAAGACATAGTCACTATCACTTTCCTCGTCTTTTTCTTTAAGAAACAAACTGAAGACTTTGATTGCCTCTTCAACGCGTCCTCTTGTAGCAAAACCAGAAACCATGGTAGACCACGTATAGGTGTTCCTTTCAGGCATGAAGGCGAAGACTTTAAGTCCATCCTCAACAAACCCCGCTTTACAGTACATGCCCAGCATCGAAGTGTCAACATAGATATCCCCAAAACTTGACATTTTGATAATAAGCGCGTGAGCCTGCCTCCCTACTGTACAGCTACCAAGACTCGATTCAGCCTTAAAAATCCCGGCAAGGGTGTAAGCGTTTGGCAGCACATCTTGCGCTCTCATCTCACGGAACAGCTGCATAACAGCGCGGGAGCTGGCGAGACCGCCGTGCTGGGAGTATCCAGTGATGAGACTGTTCCAGGATACGACATCCTTGTTGATTATGGCATTGAAGATGGAGTGAGCTTTGGGTAGGTGTCCGCATTTGGCGTAAAGGTTGACCAGCCCATTGGCATGGTTGGTGCATGTCGATGCTCCAGTTCTGATGATCTGTGCATGAACTGCACGTCCAGCCTTGAGGTTCCTTTGCTGTGAGTGACGTGTCAGTTGGTGTAATAACGTCGAACTCAGAGTGACAGGGTTGAGTTCTGTCTGATAAGTACTTGGATGCATTTCTTTGAAACATTGTTTGTCCCTGCAGGGAATTATCCGTTGTTAGATAATATTTGAACCCTACCTAAGAACCAAAGAGTGAAATAAAATCATCTACTCGAAAGGAAATATACTTACAAGGTCGGTTCTGTTAATTTTTCTACACAAGAGTGTTCTTCCAATCCAGGTTTCGGTTTTCTTGCTAATCTCTGAAATTTTTTGAATGAGTAACAAACTTGATGGTACTAAAAGAAAATCAAATATCATTAACACGCAGAGACAGAGGTAATTGATATACCTCTCTGTCCGATTCAGTGAAAAGGCCAATACTTCCAGCTCCGTAAATATCTTTCTCTAGTCTCTTTTTTATTGCTGTTGATTACACAAAGAGCAGCATTCAAAAACCAAATTACTCAAAGAGTGCATGGAAAACCACTCACATTACGCCTAACGCTAAAGCTTACAGCACCCTGAAACCTTAAGTATACTTTAAAATTCATCGTTTTTCATTTATGAGACTGCAACAAGTGGTTAGAATAACAAAGATAGAGCAAACCGATTCATTTTCTTCTGCTTACGTCAATTCTATTCTTACTTTCAAAAATCTCTTTGCCAGCACAGCATAGTCCTGACAACCCTTTATAGTTTGACCTCTATGAGTAAGTACTTAAAACTTCACCAAGACATTTTCCACATGCCCAATATCATTTCTCAATGAAGCAGCAAGAAAAAAAAGTAGCAAAAGTAAAACAAAACTTACCCTTCGCGGCAGGACCTTTAATCATCGAACTTTTAAATCCTTTTGCGAAGCCTGAGCATAAGATTTTCCAACATTAGTGACGTAAGTTCAATTGAGCATTTGGTCGAACATATGGTATGCATGACTAGTCTAAAGAAACAGAACAAACAAACACATCTGCTAAGCAATTATGAATTAGCTAATTCATATATGTGTTCAATACAGACGCATGTGCAATGTATAAGAGACTGAAGGAAAGAAAAAGAGACTAACTTTATATCTGACATGAAAGACTTATTCAAGCTGATGGAGGAGACAGAGAATGAAACCGGAATATAGAACTTAGAGACTTACGAAGGCAGTTACAACGTGAGGAGAGTAAATTAGGAATGGTGGTGCCGGCTGTGAAATGGTGATGACTACGCCGGCGACTGTGACGGCGAAAGAAAGGGCGGTGAGAGTAAGCAAGCGAGATGTTGAACCGAGTAGGGCGTTATTTTCAAAATTTACGGTTTTGTTTTTACTATTAGACTTTTAATGGGCCCATGATTGATTATGGGCTTTTAGTTGTGGTTTTTATTATTTTAGTTCGTCAAAAAACAATCGGTTTTATCATCCTATCAAAAAACACAACCAACACTCAAATAGGATTATCTATCACTAGGGCTGGGCAAAAAACCCGGATCCGAAGAACCGAACCGAACCCGATCCGAAAAAGTAGTATCGAATCCGAACCGAAATTGATTCAATATCCGAATGGGTTCAAAATTTTGGTATTTAAAGAACCGAAACCGAATCCGACCCGAACCGAAGTATTTCGGGTACCCGAATATATCCGAAAGAAATTTATATACCTATATATTAGTTATTTTTAGATTTAATGTATATATAAAAAACATTCAATATATATAAAATACTTTGAAGTTATTCAAAATACTTGTAAATATATGTAAATAATCAAACATACATGTCTAAATAGTCAAACATACATGTCTAAAATTACTAAAGTACACTTAAAACATCAAAAATACTTAAAAAAATTATTGTTTCCCAATCCAAATATTCAAATCAAACTAATTTATATGTTAATTTTAGGCATTTTGACTTATGTTATTCAATTATTTGTAATATGTTATTTTCTTTATAGATTTTTAGAAATATAAAGTATATCATCAGTTTTAAAATTTTAAAAATAATTTAAATGGGTTATCCGAACCCGAACCGAACCCGCAAAGATCCGAACCGAACCCGAACCGAAATTTAGAAATATCCGAATGGGGCTAAAATTTGTGAACCCGAAAACCCGAATAGATCCGAACCGAACCCGAATGGGTACCCGAACGCCCACCCCTATCTATCACACATATCCCTTAATCAGGTTATTACTTCGACATTAAAAAAACGACGCCGTTGCCGGGGATCGAACCCGGGTCACCCGCGTGACAGGCGGGAATACTTACCACTATACTACAACGACTTTGATGTTATGTGTTTGTATAACCAAAATCTAATAGACTACAAGTCGAGTTTTACTTGAAACAAAGACCTTTATCAATACGAGCTTGTCTCTCTCCGTACGTTAAGAGAAACTTCAGTTATAAAAAGATTGTCACCTACGGACTACAAATGTTTCTACTGGGATATAGTAGAAAAGTGTTTATGAAGTTGAGAATCATAAGGATAAACACTGGAAGGTGTTCTCGTCTCTCTGATCTAACTTGGTGGAAATAATAACTTAAAGGTTTCCTCTAAGTCTCTAACCCTTCAGCTATACCATCAATACTCCCAGAAGAATTTATGGACCATTGAACAATCTGGTGCATCTCAGCAGATAACATTGTTTAGCCATTGATAAAAGTAGATTCACCAAAGGACTCAAAGATGATGATCATGACTTTATAGACAAAGTCAACATATTATTAGAACAGATCTCAAATTTTAAATCTACCAGCTAGCTTGTACAGAGAGAAGAAAAGATTAAGGAAGCAGTTGGTTCTTCATAATTGTGGTTCTAGCCACCATTGTAGGCATCATCCTATTAGACTACAAGTCGAGTTTGTTAGCTGCTGATATATTTTCTACATTTACCATCTTCAAATGTTGTCACGTTGCCACTTATGGATTCATAGATGTGTCTATTATATCTCAGTACATGCCACTCCATAGCCAAAACACTAGTGAAGACTCGAAACAAATAATAAACACTAGAATTTTAAGGTGTCCCCCTTTGATAATTGATATATTGTTCGAAAAAGAACTAAAACCAGGATAAAAAAAATATATACATTGCTTTCATTGAGAGTTGAACTCAAGACCTCCCGCTTACTAAACGGGTGCTCTAACCAACTGAGCTATGAAAGCCTTTGCAAAACTTTCTTATGTCCGTAACTAAACTCGCCAGCCTAGCAACGCAATGGACTTCTGTCTGACAAACTTTATATAAATAAGATATCGAGGTAAGCTTATTCAAAGTACATGGGCCTAACAATTTCTCCGGCCCATAGATCTCTTTATACTACGTGGAGATTTTACAGACGCACGATGTTTCAAATCACTAACAGACACCACTACACTAACCGAATCGGTTCCCGGTTAAGTATTCGCAGTGGTCACCAAGCAAACGAGTATCAAAACCTGAAAACCAAATCGAATCATTCAAGCGAACTTCAGAGAGAGATCAATGGGTAGTGATTGGAGAAGAACAATGGGGAACGTGAGGTCTTTCGTGGGAAACTCCATGGGAGGTCTAAGAGGAGGTCAGAATCTCGCATCTTGGCTCGTCGCCGGAACAATAGCTTACTATCTATGGGTTAAACCAGCTCAGGATCTCAAAAAGGAACAACAGGTAACCTCTTCGACACTCTGGATCTCTTTCCAAAGTGTTTGTGTTTATGGAATCTCTCCAATTTCAGTTTCGTGTGTGTTTGACTGTGTAGGCTAGGGAACTTCTCGCCGTGGCAGAACCAAATCAATACGTGGAGAAGAGGAAACCAATCGCTGATCCTCAGGTTAATCATCACAATACATCAATCAAGCAATCATTTCCGATTTTCTTTCTTTTTTTTTTAATTGAATTGCTATTTTTTTGCAGGTTACTGGTCTGATATATGGAAACAAGAACAAAACCGATAAAGGACAGGATTAACTATATATATGTCTGAACATCTTCAGTGTTAGCTAGCTTCCTTCCACAGGTTTTGTCCAGAGTTTCATAGCTAAAGGATGACTGTATAGACAGCACTATAGTTGTTTGTTACTCACAAACAATCGAATAAAATTATAAAAGAGATGGAAACTTTTTTTTGGAGGATTTTATTATGCATTGTGAAGTTTGAGTATGGAATCAAAAACTTTGTTTTGACTCTCAAGTATCTTACATTCCTTACTACTTTGATCTCTGTTTAGTTTGCTGGTTTTAATTTTCCTTCTGTTTAAACATATACGTTGGATTTGAATTATTTGTTTACATTTAACTTGGTGAGATATGCGTAGGTGCTTGTATATTATCCTCCGTGTGATAATTTTTGTTTGGGTTTATTCTACCACAAGGATTTGGGCAATTATGTTAGGAAAGTATGTCTGGTTCTGTAGTAGTTCCGTTGCAAACAGGCACCCTGCCGTCCCGGAATTGATCATCTTTTTTTCAGTTGACAACGGACCTCTGTGTTTTGTTCGTGTGTTGAAGCAGTAGACTTAAGTTTATTTTTGATTAGAAGATTCATGTGTTGGAGCAATTTTCTTTAGCGTGTTTGGACGCAAGACTCTGACTCATGTGTTGTGGCAAATATGATATCATGGATGTTCTATACTTTGTGCAGATGTGTTTGGTTTGTTCTTATTTGCGTTATTGGAGTGATTCAGTTTGGTATATGTGTGTGTTCCTTTCGTTAATACTCTCCGTAGTTGCATCAATATGCTATGGTGTTGCAAGTTCATGGGTCAACTTTGAGCATCATGCGTTTAGAGGAACTTGTCAGAGAACATGAATCAATCCTGTAAGTATCTTTGATATAGAATCTTAGTTTGTAAAACTCAATGAATAAGAACTACTCTTCTTATTAATAACTTGACAAAATAACTCAAAATTCAAGCTCTCAATCTCACAAACTCAAACTCATTATTTGCTTTAGAAATCTCTCTCAAAAACGAAAGTTCACAACTCTCACAACTCATAAATTATGCGACAATCCTAGCATCTCCTTATATAACCTCCCAAATTTCCTAAACTCATTAGGTAAATATAAATAGATATTTTTCTAATCTATAACTCAATAGATTTAGGTTGCTTGTTTCTCAAGATAACTTTCAAGCTTATCCAACAATCTCCCCCTTAAATTTAAACTTCTCATTTGTTAGATTTTCAACGCCTACTAGACTTCTCATCTTCTTGAACTTGATTCTTCCAAGTTCTCTTGTTAAAGAGTCTCCCCATCGCTTATGTTCGGAACCATGGTCGCACTATATGAAAGTGGAGCCATTTTCATAATGAACAATTGTTATGATGTCTTGAGAATCAAGTGTAGCTCCTCCAGCCCCATCTTGGTTCTGTAAAGCCCTTTGGGAAATGCATAAATTGACCAACTTTCAAAACTGGAATCTTCTCTAAATTTGTGGCATGAGTACTCCATCTTCCTTTACGAAAACAGCCAACTCCAAGTAACATGCTTCTTGTCTATGAACAATGACAACACTATCCCTTCCTACACCAAACCAATCATAGCTTGGCTTGCTTCCTAGAATTGGTTTTGAGCGCACCCAATCACCGATTTTAAGTTCCTCCACACGTTCCATTTCAGCAGGATTAGCTTTCAAGTCTTGAGAGGCTCCAGGAAACTCGACACGTAAGATCCCATCCTCATCAACATATAAAACAGGACCAACACTATCACATGATTGGCCACGCCAACCAAACCTTGGCTCTCTAAGGTCTTCCCTGAGTCTTACATGCTGACCCTTGTCCAACAGAATCAACTTAACAACTTCACTTGCCAGCACACGAGCTTCACAAATTGTGACGATCATGTCGTTTCTTTTACGAATGGTTTGCACAATCCCAACACTCTTAGGCTTAGCACACAACCATCTATGTAAGGGTGTTGTTATGCCTCTCTTGAACTTTACCCAATCCCTTATCTCATAGATTGTAGGTGATAAATGAACTACTGCCACAAAGACCTTCTTGTTAATGAGTGTTGAAATCTCAACACTCTTTTGATCTAGCTCTCACTCTCCAAGACGGGAGGACGAGTGCATGGCAGCGAGCTCCTCGTCTCTTTCCCTAAGCTCATGCTTTAGCTCCTCAATCTCTCTAGCCTGTGAAGCTGGCTCTATGTTTGCATGCTTCAACATCTTTTGTAGGCTCTCATGCTTAATCAAAGAAGGCTTGAAGATTACTTCATCGCTCTTACTACATTTTCCTTCTTCCTTTTCACCCTTGGATCTTTAGTGGACTTCTTCATGTCAGTCTCTGGATTCTGATTCGTCTTTGTCTCTAACTCTTTACACAACTTCTCTGTTCTTGACCTCTGTCTCTCTTCCTCTACTTGCTTTAACCCTAAACATCCAAATCTCAATTCCATATCAGACGCTCCCTCTCCTTCCTTCTTTGATCCATCCACACTTTTTTTGCCCACTATCTTATGAATCTGAGTGAACACTACAGTGAAGGCGTTTCTAACGTTGATTGTATCTAACACTGATGTCTCCATGAAACAGAGAGACTCTCTCTCAACAAAGTCTTTAGCTTCATCTGTTTTACTGCCACCAAGTGACACAAATCGCACTTGTTACGTATAAGAATCACCACAATGCTCGTTTCTGTGTGTTCTCGTAGCTCCCTTGGCTGTCTCGCTGCGTTCTCAAACATCCAGTGCTTTGTTACGTCTTAGACAAGCAATTCAGCAGCACTCAACACTTTGATTCCATCCACATTCCTAGTCTCTCTTAGCCGCCACTACATACCCTAAATATCTCAGGAGCCTCAGTCTCGGTTTGATCATCCTCCTCCATGATGTTTGTTTTTAACCATTTGCTTAGCATCCTATCAAAACTTTCGTATGTGTCAATGTAGCCTCTCAAAGATTCTCTGAATATTATGATATGTTCAGCAACCTTATGTTTCACTTTTCTTGATCCTTTCTCAAGAAAGTGTACACAAGACTCACTTGTAATTTCCTGAAACTTCTTAAGGTGATATTTCTCCAAGAATCTCCACATCTCTTTGAAGACATTGATGATCTCATTCACCTTCGATATCTGAAGATTGACGTCATCTTCTGCCTCGTAAATCTCGTTTGAATCTGCTCCGTTTTGATCAAGACTCTTTAGATAACTGTACCTTTTTTGTACAAACACCTAAGCCTTTCTTTGGCTGTAACTTCTCTGTGAACTTTCTTTTCACACACGCAAAGCCTCTCTAATTTCATTGAAAGCAAAACAAGGAGTTTATCTTGGGGCAAGCAACGCCTTAATAGCAGAACACAAGTCGAATTCTTGGAACTACCGAGTACTCTTGAAGCAAGTTTTTGATCTTGGGATAATAATGGTTGGTGATGAATGACTTTACTTACGTCAAGCAACTCAGAGACTTCACTATAACTCGCAGCTATCTTGCTTATACTATTGATCTTTTCAACTTCACTATAACAGTCAATGGTGATACATGGGTCTTTCTCTACTCTTGGCTTACGGTTATGGCCAAGCTTCTTAGCATTCTTTGCCTTCCTTTTGTGGTGATCCTTCACCTTTCTTATGACCTTGTGTTTTCTCTTCAAGGTCACCCTCTTACTCTTGCTATCTATGATCTCTGTTCTTCTCTTCCTTTTTCTCTTCTTCTTTCTGAACATGAGCATCCATTTTCTGTCTAACCTTTGTTGAGTGTGTACCAAGTGACAGCTCCCATTATTCCACTCCAACCAACCTTTTCTTTGTCTCTTGGTTGTGTTATCCATTTGTATCCCGACATGTTTGTGTTATTACACTCTTCGTGGCTCAAAATCACTGCCAACTGATCTTTAATATTCTGAAGGAGCCTTTTTTAATCTCTTCTTCTTCTTTGTTACTTTCTTTTTTTTCTTGAGCATTTGACCGAACATTTGGCAGACGCCACTATCCATTTTTGTTTTTAAGTTGTTATCCTCTTCGAACAAAAGCGTTTCAGACCTTGGATCACCCTTCTCCTGCATCAACACTGGATAGGCTAGAACCAACATATTGTTCTTCGCATCTGGAATCAGATGATTTGAGTACATGGTCAGATCGTCTCCTCTGTTATCGTTCTTTTAGCGTCATCTAATTCAAACGTCTTCTCCTCCTGAGATTTCTTTGCATCTTTTTTTTCTTTTAATCTTTGTTCAAAACAATTTAGAAGTTGAGATATATGTTTCAACCTAGTCATCAAGCTGGGCTGTTCCAGTTCTTCATTCTCTTGCTTTACGGATGTACTGAACTGGTTAAGTAATCTGACTTTCAAATCATCCCAGCTACTAAACCCAAATCGTAAAATCTTATCTCCATGCCATGGTATAGCATCACCTTTGGTGAACCCATACGAAAACTCCCTTGTTTCAAAAGTGGTGAAGCTATGAGCTGCATCGAACACATCTATCATCTCAACCCATCTCTCAGAAACTTCATCGTTGAAACTCGGAACATCAATCAATCACATGACTCGGCAAGCTCTGATACCAAATATAGAATCTTAGTTTGTAAAACTCAATGAATAAGAACTACTCTTCTTATTAATAACTTGAGAAAATAACTCAAAACTCAAGTTCTCCAAAACTCAAACTCATTATTTTCTTTAGAAAAATCTCTCATAAACTAAAGCTCACAACTCTCACAACTCATAAGTTATGCTACAACCCTAACATCTCCTTATATAACCTCACAAATTTCCCAAACTCATTAGGTAAACATAAATCGATATTTTCCTAATCTATAACCCAATAGATTTAGGTTGCTTGATTATCAAGATAACTTTCAAGCTTATACAACATTTGAGTCTTTGGGCACAGACCTAGAACGATGGGTAGATTGTGTGTAACGCTATTTGTAAGCTCAGTGTGACACTAAAAAAACGAAGAAACTAGCGTTTTATAAAAACTAAAAGAAACTGGGCTTATTAGAAACAAGCCCATGTTGAGCCCATCTTAAATGGGCCGCGACTGATACGATCACAAAAGCTAAAACAATAGAGCAACCAAACTTCATCGTCAACAATCTAACATCGTCTCCTCCATTTCTCTCCGCTTCCCGAATCATCGACGAAGATGAAGATCACGCAAATCTTACTATCTCTGCTAATAATCTCACTCTCTTTAATCTCCAATGTCTCGTCCGATCAGATCTTCCCAGCTCATCTAGGTACTTTTCACTTCCTACACGAATCACAATCTCTCAAAATTTCCCGATCAATTCCAATTTAATCCTGGATCAATCTCTCTTTAACAGTAGGAACATTCAGCCGAAACAATCGTGAACCAAAGTACACGATTGAGTTTCTCCCTGAAGACGCACCTTTTCACCCGGTAATAATTAAAAAAAAAATCAATCTCCAATCTTCACAGTTTCGTGACCTAAACAGTTTTTGATCTAATGTTATCTGCATAGGGTGATAATTTGGAATCTATGGTGATGCTTGATAAGCAAGGACGTAGATTCTTATGTTACTTACCAAAGGAGGAGGAAGCTACGAGTGGATGGACATCTACTCAACAAAACATCAGCACTGTGTTGATGGAAACAGATAAACAGATCAAGCTCAAGACTCCTGATGAGCTTCTTCAACCACTCAACGAACAATGTCTTATCAGGGTAAATGGCCTTATTGAGTTCACATGCATATGTCTGCGTTTCTTTGACCGAAACTGATTTTTTTTTTGTTTTGGTGCAGCAAGAAGGTTGGTGGTCGTATGAGTTTTGTCATTTACGGTCGGTAAGGCAGTTACATGTTGAGGATGGCACCAAGGTTTATATGCTTTTCCACTTTTGTTGGTTTCTTTTTTGATTCTCTCTATGGCTTTATGAATAACGTTTTGTGTCCTGTGATTGTAGATTGTGCAAGAGTTTTCCTTGGGTAAGTATGACCCAGAGGCAACTGCTGCTTTTAATCAAAATGTATCTCATGCTTCTACTATGAAAGAGAGGTATTTAAGTTGTGGTTTTAGTTTTGTTATAACCTTTATAGCTCAAGGCTGTGTATCTCAGAGGTTGTGTGTATTTTTGAAGGTATCATTCTCATATATTCACCAATGGGACTACTTGTGATCTTACAGGAACTCCTCGAGAAGTCGAGGTATATAACCTAGTGTCTGCTGATTTTTTTTTTTGCGTTTGGTTGATGGAATTACGGATTCATTTATTCATGAAATTTTTCTCGATGCAGGTGAGGTTTGTATGCGCAGAAACTAGGGCAATGGTCACTTCTATCACTGAGCTATCTACTTGCAAGTACGCATTAACTGTTCAATGCCCGACCTTGTGCAAGCATCCGTAAGATATCTCGTTTACTTTTTTTTTTTTTTTTTTTTTTTTGAAACAGATATCTCGTTTACTTTAATTCTCATTTTCAGTTCAGAGTTTCTTACTGAGAAATCGTCGTAATGGAATACTAATGCAGAATATATGTTTGATTCTTCATGCTAATTACCAAAGACAAGAAAAAAAACACATTGAAACGATGTCTTGAAATAGGGACATACAGTTTAGTTGAAAGAGTAAACTTACGATCCCTTTGTATGTTAAACTTGATGTTCTTGTGGGGGTATTGCAGGCTGTTTCAGCTAGAGAAACCAGTGTCACACACGATCCACTGCAATTTGATCCCACAGGAAGAAGAGACAACAAGAAACGAGGAAGAACGAGTAGTAAGCGAATCACCTATGGATGCTGATTCTTGAAAACAGTGTATCAGAGGAGTAAAACAGTTAAAAACTTAAAACAGTGATTATATAAAAGAGCTAGTGTATATCCAGTGTCGATGTTACTCGTTGAAATGTTCATGGTTAAAAAGCTGTTTTGATGAAGAATGAATGGGATTAATCTATTCCAAGTTTTACTTTATTCTATTCATCTAATCCCTTTCACTTTTATTCAGTGTTTTCCATTTACATCTGGTAGCAATACCAGAAACAAAAGCTTATAACAGACAAATATAAACTTTCCTGTAATTACAAGTATCATAACAGAACCTACAAAGAATCAGGGTTGTTCCTTTCCATGACCTTGTTTAATAGTATTCAGACGCTACTGTGGCTTCCCTATGAACTGAATCACATTGAAAGCTAATTGCCAGATCTAATACTAAGGATTAGCTTTAACTTATTTGATTTTAATAGTGTTAGAGAATATTGTCCCAACCATTTACTATCATTGAATCAATTATTGGATGACATAACAGTCGTCCACATTATACTTGTCCCACCATTCTACTATGTATTATATCAATCATAGATTTCATGTGATTCATGACCAATGTCTTGAGTAATTCTGATTAATGCTAAGTTCTATTCTTTGTCATTTGACATTCATTAAAAAGATAAATGACTTCAAGAACATATACTAAGTTCAGAGAACACAGCAAATTTTAAAATTATATAAAAAAGTTATTAATGAAATAGTAAAAAAGAGGACAAACCAGAAACGAAAAATGATACAGTGGAAACAACTATACCTTATATCGACAAAATGTTCATAACAGCGATTAAGTTACGTCTGGTCATGAAAAATTCTCCACAACCTTCGTCCCTAGTTTCTTCTCCTCAAACTCTTTAACCGTCTTCACTAGCTTCTTCATCTTGTCATCATACACATACGGAAGCCTCTTGTAAAACGTCACATTTCCCTTGGCCGAAACAGGTAACATCTCTCTGCAAAGCTCCTCGTGCACTGTTATAGTGTTGTGGTAATGGTAATAACGGATCTTCTTCTCCGTCTTGTGTAGCGTTTTGCCTACCACGTTTTCAGACATGTGAACTCCTGTCGCAAACGCATTCTTGGCCTGAATCGCATACTTCCTGTCACGCCGTACGTTTGTTCTTGATTCCCTAAATAACATCTTCTCAAATCCCCATTGCCTAATAAACAACACACCAAACAAAAAAATTAAGTTCAGACACATCCCTAATCAAACTAAAAGCTAAGTTCTAGAACATGATAAGCAATACCTGGGATAATCTTGAGTTGAGTCGTTTAAGCAAAGAACATTAGACATTGGATTCTGCTCAATCGTGAACTGAGTAAAACCCGAGAACTCATTCAGAACACTCTCAAGCGTATTCCCATCAGGCAAATAGATATACTCATCAACATCAAAAAAGAAAGTCCAATTCGCAGCGTGACGATACCTATGCAAACAATCATTAACAATCAAGAACTGATTATAATAATAACCATCATAATTAGCCTGATCCCTAATATCCTGCAACGTCACCCTCCCAGCTCGAATCCACGGCTCAAGAACCTCCCTAACCTCCTCCGAAACACCACCAGCGTCATGAAACACAAAATGCGATCTATCTCCAAAGAACCACGCGTGGTAAGCCATCCACTCCCTCATACGCGAGGAGCTAACGTTCCCGTACAGAGACGATCCACAATAAAGATAATCGTACGGATACGGCGGCGAGAATATCGATTCTTCGAAAGATCCGGGGGATTCTTCGAGAGTGGTGAACCTCTCAAAGAGCTTGGGAGTTTTTTCGTCGTAGTAAGCGTTGAGAATGAGTTTGCCTCCTCTGTTGTCTAAGTTAGGGTTGGTTTGGAACGTGCAGTTGACTACAACGACTGTGTAGACTCTCCCGTATCCCCAGTCTGGTAAGATCTTAACCGCTTTGGCTCGGAGAGAGGTTCCGTTGTTTGTTATCCACTCACACTTGAACCACGGCTTACCGAAGATGTGGATCGGTTTCGAGGCGAGTCCGACGACTGCGAATGTCGTCGGACCGCCTCGGTAGGCTCCCATTAGTACGAACAGCGCGGCTGCGTTTCCGAACGGTTTGAAAACGCGTTTGTTCGGATCTGAGGGTGTTGAATCGACGGGAGAAGAAGAAGAGGCTATGAGAGAGGTGGTGAAGTTCTCGGAGGAGGAGGAGAGGATGGTGGTGGTGGTGGTGAGGGAGGCGGAGCAGGGGCGAGCGGTGGAGATGAGGCTGTGGTAGTAAGGAGGGAGGTTCCAGATAATCATGACGAGGGAGAGAGCTAGTAATGTGGCGAGTAACGGCTTCTTCTCGAAGTAGGAGAGGAGTTTCGTGGTGGTGGTGGTGGTCACCGGCGGTGATATTTCTTTCCGCATTTTTGTGCCGGGGACGGTGAGAGTAAAACGCGCCGTTTCGGGGTGACGGAATAAATTTTAAATAAAATATTGTTAAGTGTGACGACAAGCGTCAGAGAGAAGTCTCTAGAGTAAGCTTTGCCGACACGGCGTTGGATTATGGAGAGGACTCGTGGCTGGCTGTCTACATTGTATTAGTGTGGTGTGGAGGGTTGTTGTTATAGTGCCCTTGGATCTCTTGTTATTTACGATAACGACACTACACCTAATCGTAAAAAGTTGGGATCGTCTGCTGGCTCCCAGTTGATAGCTTTTGTGGGTCCCTAGTGCCAGGTTGGCGTAACGGTGCTCATTTTGATGATTTGTTTTTATTTTGCTACCAAAAGCGAATGAAAGTTACTAAATTACAAAGTAAAAGTTAAAAGAGTTTGAGAAAAAAAAAGTGAAAAAGGGATGTGGATAGATTTATATATGTAAGGAGTTGGTTAATTTGCAGTCAAAAGAAAAAAGAGTCTGGAAATTCTCTTTATTAGATTCTAGTTTACTGATTAAGACCCTCCGAGTATCTTTTTCTCCAAAATTTAGTAGCTTTGCAGTAAAAAAATATTTGTATTTTGTATGCCTATAATTTTTCATAATAGCATTTTAAATAAATAATAATAGTGACTTGAAGATATTCTAATTAACTGAAAATTTATTGCACAGTAAATTTGAATGCTATTGATAATTGATAGTTCTAAAACAAATACAGTAAATATAAAGTGTTTGTTCGTTTCGGTGATGATGTTGTAAACTTATAATCCAAATTACATGTGTGAATTTGAAACGATAAACTAATTTAATTAACTGAAAATAATGAAAAGCTTATGGCAACCATTTTATCTTCTATTTACAAAATGAAAGTTTTCTATACCGGACAGTAGTTCAATGTTGACAAATTCAAAAATCAAATTCAAAAATAAATAAAAATCATGAAGTTCGTGAGCAATAATAGCAATCACCTTGTTTTTTGTCCAAATATTACATTGAAGGTCCCACAGTCACATCCATGTTTGAGCTACTAGATCCACGTCTGAATCAATTTAAATTGTGGCTTGAATTCTTTCACTACGTCCGATTTTAATCACGGTTAGTGAGCATATTTATAGCTTAAATGTCATATAACAGTCATTATAAATGCTAAAAATAGTTGTCTAGACCATTAGATGAAGTAGCCTGTAGGCGTATGAGTTGGTTATGTTGTGCTCTTAGTTCGAGCTCTGATAGAAAAGAAAAAAAAAACGTTTTTACGCCAGTGGTATTATCAAAAGTCTGATTAAGACAAGGCCAAAAAATAGTTACCTAAAGTGTATCATTTATACTGTAGTGGTTGTTCAGCTCGTTATGTGTGTGTTCCTTACTTGATTAAGACCATCTGGTGACTTCCTATAATTGAAAGATTAGTTATAGAGTTTATTAGTCATCAATTCATGTTCTTCCGAAAATGTGCTAGACATCTCAAACTGAGAAAGCTGCCAGTACTAGGATGGACATCAAAATACTAAAGTTGGAGGTAATTTAACGAATTGTGAACTCTTCGAATCTTACAACCAAAACAGTATTTGCCGTACTTTGTTAGACAAGAAATCTCTTGTTTCAGCAAATATCATAGGTCAAAAGTTGCTGCCATGTTTGAACTCCAACATAACAAAAAGGGTTAAACATAACATTCGCCATAAGTGCATATCTTTTAGTGTGATCTTTAGAGTGTCATGATCCCTAAATTGATTATAAACATGATGTTTTCGTATAAGTATGAAACTCCGGAGACTTGGAGTATACGGCAAATATTAATTTATGTTTTAATAAGTATTAACTAGCTTATGTAAACTTAATGCGAATATGATTGCATGTTTATTCCATTTGATGATAATCACAGCTAAAAGCAGTTAAGACTTGGCATTTTTTTTTATATTTTCAAACGTAAACATCAATAAAGGAGACCATGTGTCACATTGAAAAACTGAAGGATACCCATGTATCTTTTTCTTGTTATTGTTCGTCATATTATTTTTATTTTTGAGTTTATATTTTCTTGTTGTCAACGTTTGATCGGAATCTTTTTACAATCGTGTCGGTCGACGTTGTTACAATCAATTCCTACCACAAGTAATAGTCTTTATACGAAACCTTCATTATGTGATTGACCATCATAAGTTAACATACTGAGTTTGTCGTGTAACACAATGTCAATGTGTGTTGATCATCCCTTGTCGAAATTTGTGACCGAGAAAAGTTAACCTTGTGGTAAAACTGTAGTAGATTATGATTGTAAATAAAATAAGGTGATAAAACTCTAAAACGATTATACATCTTTTTATATTTTTTGATTAGTGACGTTATGAAAAAAAAAACCTAAATCACCGAATGACAATTTGTTTATCGCAAATCTGTGTGATTTGTTAATGTTTTTCTTTTGATGGCCTATAATAATAATTTTATTTTCTTTGGTAAAATAACAATACATATTATATAGAGGTAAATTATGACAAGTATAACTATAATTCAGTACTTAATTAATCTATATATATCTATATTATTAAAAGAGAAGTACCCATATAAAACATCCCTAAATTTTACCACTTAATTACAATTTCATGCCACTGAAGTAATTAAATATCCTAACATTAATATTCTTTGTCTTTTCCTTTTGTATTAATGCATTTCCTAATTCTATTTTTACCTAAAAACATGGAAACAATAATTTAGGAAAATCTGAATCGCATTCCATATTTAAATTTGACCAGATATATTAACTAAAAACACGGCAACATTTAATTTTTATCTTAAAACATGGTTACATACTATTAATTAATCTGACCAGAGTTTTCTATATTAGAAATATAAAACAAAGTATGTATTATAAATATTTTATATTCTTTTTAAAAAATTTATTCAAATATATAATATTACACAATAAGTTATATAATTCAGTATATAAACTTACTGCTATAATATAAAAAGGTAATACACATGTCTGGACCCAGGTTAGTCTTCATAGTTCAATAATTCATTAAATAAAATATACAACCAAAATAATTTACAAACAATTGAGAAATTGATCAATAAAAAATTGGATACATAAATATAATCCCAATCATTTTGTAAATGTTAGATTTATATGTCCAATTATTTATAAATGTCAATTTGTTATATGACACCAATATTGAATACAATCGATTTTAAATAAAACAAATATATTTATCTATGTAATTAATACTTTGACATATTAATAATTATATAATACATTTACATTTAGAGCGTATCTTTTACCATTTCGTAGAAACAAAAACTTCAAACTTCAAACTAATATGAAAAAAAATTAAAATTACGACAAAATGTTTTATTTGAAATAACCTAAATTTATTCGAAGCAAATGTTGAATAAAAATAAATAAATTTCAAGATAACCTTCAAAATCTATGTTTAAAAATAATATTTAATGGACATGAGAGTTCTCACCAAATTAATGAACCTCTATTTTTTTTCTTAATACAAACGGTCTTATCGGTATTAAAATAAAATATGTGGGTTAGTTCGGTATAAAAATAAAATATTTGGGTTAGTTGGGCCATTTGAACAGATATTTTAACAAAATTTAATTAAAATATGGTCCAACTTAAATTACCTTATCGAAGTTAGGTTTTTTAAAAGGTTTAGCTCACATATATTTATGAATTAACTCAATTTTGTTGTCAAAATTTGATCAAATGCACCTTTGCTATTTTTTTTAAAAAAATGACTATTGGGTGAAGTTTACAGTAGTATTTGTACTATGTGATGTATTTTTTTCATCATTTTTATTATAATTTTTATAGATTATATAATAGTGTAAAAAATATTTAATTACATTACATAAACATAAAAAACACCCGCCCGGTCGGGCGGGTCCAGCTCTAGTTTGAGCTTATTACACTTAAACACACAATTGTACGTTGTAATATCAATTAAACAAAATTTTAAAGGAGAATATACCTTTAGTAAAAAAAAAATAAAAAAAAAGAATATACCTTTAGTTCTTTTTGCTATTTTTTAATTCGTGGTTGTTGACAAAAAAAAAAATCTGTGGGTCAGTAGAAGCAAAACACCAACGACTTTGCAAGAAGCATATTCCTAACGTATCATGGCCCATATAAGTTAGGCCCAATATACCGTGGGCCCATTAACACGCTCCTTATGTGTCCGCGCTTATTATATCAAACTTACAAAGTCGTGGAAGCCCTTCACTGAGTAAACCAACAACGGCTATATTCCCTTAAAGTTTTCAAAAACAATCTCCAGCGAAGAAGGAAACAACAACAATGGCGGAAGCACGAGTTGAGATCTCAGATCCAGAAACAGAGTTCTTCGCTTCAAACCAAGAAACCGGACACGAGTGGGAGCTTTACAAGGAGAACGTCAGACCTCTCAAGAGAGGACGCAATGTTAATCTCCTCAACCAAGCTCTCAAATCTCACACAGATCACCACTTAAGAAAGACTCTCATCGAGAAACGAAGGTATAATAAAAGCTTTCAACTTTTCAATCACATCCACAGCTCTTTTGTGTTTTTTTTTTTTTCAATTCTAATCGTATCCGTTTGATTTAGGAAGCTGATTGAAGATATTGAAGAGTATGATGGTGATGACCCTCTCTTTCCATGGATCCAGTGAGTTCTTGATTTTGGGTTACTGTAAAGGTTGCAACTTTATCGAAAATAGAGATTCTTGAAAAAAAAACATGAGCTTTTTTTCTTTCAGGTGTATAAAATGGGTACAAGAGGCGTTTCCACCAGGTGGAGAGTGTTCGGGACTGTTAGTGATATACGAGCAATGCGTTCGTAAGTTCTGGCACTCGGAGCGTTACAAGGATGATCTTCGTTATCTCAAAGTTTGGTTGGAATATGTAAATGTTCCTCTCTCTCTCTCTCTCTTTTTAAGCTCCTTTAATGATCTTTCTTTGTGTGGTAATAATGAAAGTGTTTTTTTTTTAAAGGCGGAGCATTGTGCTGATGCGGAAGTGATTTATAAGTTTCTGGAAGTTAATGAGATTGGAAAGACACATGCTTTGTATTACATAGCTTATGCTTTGCATATGGAGTTTAAGTCTAAGGTTAAAACGGCTAATGAGATCTTTAATCTCGGAATCTCTAGGTAAATAAATCCGGTTCTTATTTCAGTTTTTTTTTTTTTTGTGACATGGTCTGATTTGAGAAGTATGGGACTTTTGTGTAGAAATGCTAAGCCTATTGAAAAGTTGAATGATGCTTACAAGAAGTTCATGGTGAGAACTATGAGAAGATCCAAAACAGCTGATGAAGTAAGAGGTTTCTTCTGTTTTTGAAGCTGTTTATTTTTATCTACATGATGCTTAATGTTTTCCACTTACCAGCAGGAGCCTAAGGAGAATGATATGCCGTCAAGAAGCTTTGGCACTGTGTTGTCTAGGGGAGATAATAATAGTGAGTGTTGCATTAACTTTTACCTTTGGGAATCACTGAAACGTTTTGATAAAGCTTTCTTACATGAGAATGTTTACTTTAGATGCAGGAAGGCAAGTGTTAGGACCACAAGCCAAAAAACCAAGGCTGAATCAGTAAGTGGTTCTGTCTTTCTCTCTTTTGTTAACCTTTAAGCATATACAAACCTAACCAAAATTCTTAACTTATTGTGCAGCTCAACGAAAGCACCTTTATCTATCTACGCAGACACTAATCAGCAAGAGTCAGAAAAGCCAAAACCAGAGTATGGTTCTTGGCTTATGCTTGGAGGCAGAGCAGAGAGGAACAAAGAAAACAATTCTTTACCTGGAAAATGGAAAACATTTAAGGTTTTTTTGACTCTTCTTTAACCTCCAAAACAAAAAAACTAACCTACTTCTGCAAACTGTAACACTTACCTGCATTTATATATCTTATCCTTGTAGGTTCCTCAGAAACCCATTGTGAGAACTCCTGCTTCCTCCTTTGAGGTTTTTGTGGACGAAGAAGAAGAATGTACAGAGTAAGTTAACCAATTTTTGTATGTTTTCACAGCAAGACTGATGTGTTGTGTTTCCTGACTTTTTTGATTATGACATTGCAGAGAGGGAGGAGAGAAGAAGAAGAAGAAGACTGAAACCAACTCATCATCATCATCAAACGCTCTGCCGCTTAATGATGGCCGTGAGATTAAGAAGTAAGCATACAATCCCTTCTTGATTAGTTCACCAAACAATCATGACTTGTGTATAACTAACTAACAATGTTTACTTTTTTCAAAAACTGTAGAGAAACAGAGCTGCTGCGTCAGGACCCTTTGAGACATTTCCCACCCAACAGCTTCCTTAGATGATGACGTTATCATCATCTCTACCAACAATCATACCACACGCAACTTCTGAGTTTTGAGCTTTTGTCTTATAAAGCTCCTTGTAATTTTTCATGTTTGGATTTGTTTTTGTGATGTGTACTGAGATTTTCTTATGTATGATGAGCTTTCCTTGTTTCTTGAAACTTATGAGCAATTTAATTTAATTGATACCAGTTCGTTTCTTTAAATCCTACACCTACTAAGCATGTGTAGTGGTTGGCATCAGCAGTATATAGCCATATTTGAAAGTTTATGTGCTTCCCTATATGTTTTTTTTTTATTGAGGAATCGCTATATTCAACGCTATTTGAAGTTTCATTGTAAACGTATAGGTACAAATTTACAAAAGAATAGTTTTTATTGGGCACTGCTCCCAGGAAAAAACAACAACCCAATGCTAGAAAAAACGAGTTGGCCTTAAGCAGATGGGAGGGGGCATAATCAAAGCATTAATAGTCATTTAAATAAATGATTAAAAAACCAATGATGCGATTTAGGGGATAGACTTTGAGTGGTAAACAAGGGAAAATGAGAAGAAGAAATAAAACTCTTTGGGGAATTTTATTTGAAGTTAGTGGTAGGGGCATCATTTCATTTCATTGTCTACCCTTTTGGGCTTTTAAGGGGTTCCTCTATACCAGTACTTTATTTATTTGCTACTTAACTTAGCATATACCACTCAATATATAACTTAATAAAATATAAAGCAATTTTTTTGAGTTAGATTAATCTTGGAAAAAAATCTTCCATGGGTATAAATATATTACAAATCTCATTTTTAAATATTATATTAAAATATTGTAAATCTACCCTTTAGGGCTTATAAGAGGTTTCTCTATGTACTTTTCATATTTGCTACTTATCTAACATAACCGAGATTTTAATAAAATAAAAAGCAATTTTTATGAGTTAGATTAATTTTGATGAATTGTTTCATGTGTATGAAAATATTGTAAATCTCAATTTGAGGTTTACATATATGCCATAAACATTTATGATTAGATCAATAATAATTGAATTATAGTTTTTGTTACATTGAATCTTGGCCGTAGAAAGTAAGGTGATGATGATAGTGATGTATCAAAAAAATCAGGAAGTAGCCCAATCAAAGCAAGTAATCCCCTAATTGGAGTAAAGAATTAAAAGATTAACCCATCTACTTGATTATATGCCCTTAATTCAACAAAATCTACAATGAACCTTAAGCATGTGTTAAGGGCCGATATTAAATAAAAGAAAAGAAATTAAGGGTCAATATATCTACAGTTACCAAATTAAAAAGAAAAATTATACATAAAAAGTCATTATCTCCACAAAAATATAACCTTCTCCTCCTTCATTAGCACTCTCTCCCCGCCGCAAACGCCGTAACGGGGATGCTCTCACCATAACGCCGTTTGAATCTTCCCCCGTTTTGCGCACGTGCCAATAATCCAAAACTTAAAATCCCGTTCTCGATGTCTTTAGAACCGTTGGCGCTGGGAGTGAACGTCGCTGACGGTGACGGTAACGTTAACGGCGATGCCGAGAATAATAATAACAACAATAATCCCACCCCGGAAGGCGGAGATGACGGCGTCAAGACGGCGAGACTGCCACGCTGGACACGTCAGGAGATCCTGGTGCTGATCCAAGGGAAGAGAGTGGCGGAGAACAGAGTCCGGCGAGGGAGAGCGGCGGGCATGGCGCTCGGGTCGGGTCAGATGGAGCCGAAGTGGGCTTCGGTGTCTTCCTACTGCAGGCGTCACGGAGTGAACCGGGGGCCGGTTCAGTGCCGGAAGAGGTGGAGTAACCTCGCCGGAGATTTCAAGAAGATTAAGGAGTGGGAGTGTGGGGTTAAGGAGGAGGCTGAGTCTTATTGGGTGATGAGGAACGATGTTCGTAGAGAGAGGAAGCTTCCTGGTTTTTTCGATAGAGAGGTTTATGATATTGTCGACGGTGGGGTTGTTCCTCCGGTGAATCCGGGGCTTGCTCTTGGTTTGGCTCCGGCGTCGACGGAGGTGGAGGAGCCGGGGAGGAGTTTGGAGAAGTTGAGTTCGGCTAAGTCACTTCAGGGTAAAAGATTGAAACCAAAACTTTATATGTTCTGTTTTTTTTTTTTTTAATATATGTTCAAATTCGTGTTGTTGGTTGTAATGAAATTTATTTTTATAGATGTTATAGACAAGGAGAAGCAAGCAGCTAGTGAAGCAGCAGATCAAGGTTTGTGTTTTGTCTTTTTTTTTTATAATCTAGGAATATTAGATCGCTTGTGCTGGGGTTCGAACCTGTGACCTTGGAAGCTTTTATAGGGTCTTTAGTGCTTTTTAAAGAATACTATAGAAAGGTGTTGATTTGAGGGACTAATAAGTGTTTACGTAGTCTTAAACAAGTTTAAGAGCTCTAGAGTTTCTCTTGACTATGTACTTATGTGGGAGAATGGTTTTATCTTATAAAATGAATCAGTTGTGTTACCAAAGTATATTAACTATGATCTTTTGGCTTGTGTTGAAGTCTCTACATTTTTTTTTTTGAACACACATTTTTTTTCTTTTGGTTTATGTTGAAGTCTCTACATTATATTGTTTTTTTTACCAAAAAGTTTGATTTTGGAATTGAAGGTGGACTGAAAGAGAGACATCAAGAAGCAGCAAATCCAGAAGCTGGATCAACATCACAAGAAGAGAGAAAGCGTAAACGGACATCTGATGGTGAAGAAGAAGGAGGAGGAGAAGCCACAAAGAGCAGGCAGGACCAATTGATAGAGATACTAGAAAGAAACGGGCAGTTACTGGCTGCGCAGCTTGAAGTTCAGAATACGAACTTAAAGCTAGATAGAGAGCAGAGAAAAGATCATGGTGATAACTTAGTAGCTGTTCTCAACAAGCTCGCTGATGCTGTGGCCAAAATCGCAGATAAGTTGTAGATATTGGTAGTAATACATCTATTTATGTATATTCTATCGAGTATTGGTTCAACATTGTTTCTCATTATTCTTCTTCTATTCTTATTTACCACCATTGTTGATTGAATATCGATGCCACCTCAAGAGGCTCTGTGGACATGTTATATCAACAATTAAACATGGAGAATTATACAGTTTTTGGACAACAGTTTTGTCTTCATTCTGCCCTTGTCACTGATTCATACATCTTAAAAAATAAACTAATAAGACATGGAGATTTATACTGTTTTAGAACATCAAATATATTTGTTTTGCCCTTTAGACACTGATTCAGAGACATATATAAACATTGAGATTCATACGATCGTAGGACATCAATTAACTTTATTTTACCCTAATGACTAAATCAGATTTGGTTTTGTTAATTTTAAAGGACCTACTTCTTGCAAATTGAGTCAACATCATTCATCAATATAAATCTTCACATTTTTGACAGTTTTAAGAAAAAATAATATTTAGTCGACATGTTAAAAAGCTATTTTGATTTTTTTAATATATCCTAGATTGGCAGATCGATCACTTTCTGCTACTTGGTATTGCAAGAGTCAAAGGGACTGTATCAAAAAAGAAAACACTAACGTTTATCAGACACACTGGGAGATTTAGCACCTAACCAATTAGTCAAGAATTAGTAGGATGCAAAGTTAACATTGATTATTTTAGGAGAGATTACTAAAGTTTGATTTGCACATTGTAAATTGTAAATGTAATTACTGGAGTTTTATTCTAAAATTAATTACAAATTTAAGAATTTTCATTTTGAACATTTTTTTTGTTTTTTTATCAATATTTTGTATATAGTTTTGTTTGACTTTTTTTTTTTTTTTTTTCCTCAACTTCATTTATATTAATCGAGAAACAACATAATCTTCATGGAGAAGATTAGTAATACGAGTTGGTACATAAGCAAAATAATTAAAAGAAACCATTGATGGTAACATAGATTTTGCAAGAGCATTAGCCGGTTTGTTTGCTTCTCTTCCAATCCATTGAAACGTGATATCTTGAAATTTCTTAGCCCACCATCTTATTTCACGTATCCAATTATAAGCTGCAAAATGGACTTTTTTTTTTGTCACAAAAATGGATTTTATTTAAAATAATTATGTTTCATATATTTCATATTTTAAATCTGGATTTAGATTTATAAACAGATGATTTAAAAATTTCCATTTTATAAAATTGTCGTTTGGACTTTGTTTTCATTTGTTTTAATAATAAAATCTATGTTTTTGGTCAAAATAAAATATTTTTTTATGTTAATCATATTTAAGTTATTTGGATGAAATTTTATAAAATGGGCCGAAAACCTCGTCTAAGTCTTAGTAATCGTCCAAGCCCAAATCATAACACATTAGTCCGGGAAAAATCATCCACATGTATATAACTGTCATTCTAACAATTTTTTTTGAAATTTGAAGTTACTTTTTAAATAGTGAGTATGAACATTCAATTATTAATCGTAGAACACATTAGTCCGGGAAAAACATCCACATGTCAAAATGTCATTCTAACAATTTTTTTTTGAAATTTGAAGTTACTTTTTAAATAGTATGAACATTCAATAATTTCAATTAAACTTTTTTTTTTCTCTTCTTTGATGTTCTTCATTACAATAAAACCGTCGACCAATACTAGAAATCAATCCTCGATTGATGTAGAAACCATAATTTCTTCGATTCAAAACCTCTTGGTAATCAAAACTAGTGAAAAGTTAATCAAGTACTCCCTCCGTTCCACAATATATGATGTTTTATCTAAAGCACAAGAATTAAGAAACTTAATTTTTTAAAAAATAACATCACTGATAGTATAAATTTAAAATAAATTAATCAATCTTAAATAATAAATTAAAATACTATTGGTCAACCGGTTTTCTATATTTTGAAACATCAATTTTGAAACATATCAAAACATCTTATATTTTGAAACATCAATTTTCTCTAGAACATCTTATATTATGGAACGGAGGGAGTACTATATAAAGACTGAATTGAAGCCGTATCCAACATACCACATTACTAGCACACTAAAAAGGGTATGATGTAATATCAAATTACTTCAAATATTACGTTGAATATCTAATGATATCCAATTAATGCTAAAACTTTTTTGATCAATTTCAGTGCCAATTTGTGCATAAAATCCTTGTGTAATAAAGGAAAGAGTTAACAGCCTCATGAAAGCCGCAGACCACACGAGGATATACATGTACGAAAATCCTTTATTACTCTAAATGAGTAAAAAAAAAACATAACTGACTGACTTTCGAGTCAAATCGTTGGGATCGTGAGATATATTAATGAGCGGAAAAAGAAACACACACACATGATCCATCTTTCACTTACTCTCATACGTTCGCGCTGACCTAGTTACGTTACTAAGATTGCTGACGTGTACGGTCTAGATTAAACTGAACATTCAACTAGATTCTCCTCTTCTCTATATTTAACGACCATTCTCTCTCTGTCTCCTTCCGTCATTTTTTTTTTAACATTCTCTCAAGCTCGTCGGCGTCGGGAGAAGAGAAAAAAAAAATCTCAAAATTGGATCTGGATTTGAAAAAAAGCTAAGAGATTTGAAAAACCCCGATCGCGAATTGAATTGGGAAGCTTTTGAAAAATTCTTAAATTGAATCTCTGTTTCCTTTTGAATCGACGACGGATTAAAACCCTAATTTCAGTTATTTTGAGGTTTGTTTCGAATCGAATGGGTAAAGATGAGGATTTGATTGTATTGGCGGGTGTAGAGGACGGAGAGATCTCTGCTTCTGCTCCGATTGAAGTTAATCAGACTACGGCGGCGGCGGGAGATGGCGGAGATAACGATGGTGGAGGAAGAGGAGGAGGTTTTGAGAGTTCTAGGGTTTGGACAATGCGTGATTTGATGAGTAAGTATCCAGGGTACCGTGGATACGCGAATTCGGGTTTGTCGAATTTCGCGTGGGCTCAAGCAGTGCAGAACAAGCCACTGAGTGAAGGTTTGGGGAAGGAGTATGAGACGAGAGAGAGTGATAAGATTGTGATTGAAGATAGTGATGATGAGAAAGAGGAAGGAGAGTTGGAGGAAGGGGAGATTGATTTGGACTCTTCTGCTGCTATGGAAACTGAATCTGTTTTCTTGACAAGTGGTGATGATAAAGTGGTGGAAGATGATGATAGGGTTCAGAAGGAGAGAGATTTGGAGACCAAAGTGAAACTGATTCGTGATGTGTTGGAGAGTACTTCGTTAGTCCAAGCACAGATGTAAGTCTGTGTTTCTGGAGAATGATAATGACGAAAAAAAGAAAACCTTGTGATGTAGTTAATGGTTGATTAATCTGTGTCTGTGTTTTTTGTGTTTCAGAGCATTTGAAGGAGTGTGTTCCAAACTTTTGGGGGCTTTGGAGTCTTTGGGAGAGTTGGTTTCTGATAATGATGATTTTCCGAAGAGGGATACTTTAATGCAATTGTCATTTGCTTCTCTTCAGACCATAAACTCTGTATGGCTGCTCAAAGATCTGTCGGCTTGACTCTTGTACTTGAATGCTCTTTTGTCCTATGTCTGACATTCATGATTCTAATAAATTCTCAGGTGTTTACCTCCATGAACTTTATGTCCAAGGAGCTTAATAAGGAGACAATGTCAAGGTTCTTATTTTTTTATGCCAAACATGTCTGAGTCGTTGGATTGCTCACTTTGTTTTTGTTTTTTCTTGTGCAGATTGGTATCTCTGGTTAATGACCATTGTTCCAGGTTTCTCTCATCTAATCAGAGAATTGAGGTGTGTTGGGTCACTTGTCTAAAACCTTGGGAGTGTGTCTTTTCGTCTTACATAAGTATCTGTCCTGGTTTTGCAGATAGAAGCCATGAATCAAAATTTAAGACGTTCAGCTATTGCACTTAATGCTGGAGCCAGCAGTGAGGAGAATGTTAACCGAATGACTCAGACAAGTAATCTGTCTACAGAAGGTTCGCGTAGAGGAGCCTTTTACGCAAGGAGTAGGCTGCCTCTGCTAGACCTTCATAAGGATCATGATGCAGACAGCCTTCCATCTCCCACAAGGGAAACAACACCAAGTTTACCTGTAAATGGTCGCCACATGATGGTTAGACCAGGTTTTCCATTTGGTAAAGAAGGCCAAACGAGTGAAGGTGCCAAAGTCCAACCATATGAGAGCGAGGCCCTTAAAGCAGTTTCGACTTATCAGAAAAAATTTGGAGTTAATTCAATATTTAAATCAGACGACCTTCCAAGCCCAACACCATCAGGGGAACCTAATGATGGCAATGGGGACATTTCTGGAGAGGTTTCTAGTTCTGTTGTTAGGACCACCAAGCCGGGGACTCCCATGACTTATGGGCAAGACGTGCCTCTGCCCTCCACTTTTAACTCTAGAATCATGCCTGTTACAAATGCTGTATCTAGCACTGCTCCACCCCATCCTCTGTCAATTAATGGTATGTCTGCACCAACCGTTGCAACTCAAACAGTTCTTGCATCTGATCAGACAGTGAAACCTTCTGCAAAGAGTCGAGATCCAAGGCTACGGCTTGCGAAATCTGATGGTGCCAGTGTTAACGTTAGTCCTAAAGTAGAGCCTTCTGCAGACATGGTGAACCAAAGAAAGCAAAAAGCCACCAGTGAACTTTTTATTGATGGACCTGCATGGAAAAGAAAAAAGAGTGATAAAGATGCACCACCGGTAGCTGGTATTGGTGGCTGGCTAGAAGATACAGAATCATCAGGGCGTCAAAAAGTGGAATCCAAGCCTAGGCTAATTGAGAATGGAGCAACATCGATGACAACAAATGTTATACCCACGAATGCTGTCTCTGTGACTCAGAAAGTAACTACGGCAGCTTCAAATGAAGCATTGTCATCTCTTCTTAAGGGAATTGCAGGGAATCCTACAATGCTTCAGAATCTCCCAAATCCTTCAGTGCTTATGAATATCCTAAAAATGGGACAAAGGCAAACGGTACCTGAAAAAGCTCCGCAGAAGCCAATGGATCCAAGAAGAGCAGCACAACTTCCTGGCTCTTCCCTACCACCAGTGGTAGCTCCACCACTTAGCGTACCTGCATCGAATGCTTTAGCTGCTAATTTTTCACAGCCAGGAGCGCTTAAGGACGAATCTGGAAGCATTCGCATGAAACCACGTGATCCTCGCCGAATCCTGCTTGGAGGTACTCTTCAAAGAACAGACTCTTTGGTAGAGAAGCAGTCCAAAGTGAATGACTCCTCAACTCTGAAGGGTAAGACAGAAGTGTTAGAAACACCTTCCCAGCCTGCTCCACGGCAAAGTATTAGCCTGAATGGTACCAGCAAAATGAGAATCTCTGGTGAACCCGTCAGTGGAAAGACACCAGATATTCCAGCACACTTACCCAAAAATCTGAAAAATGTTGCTGATATGGTTGTATCACAACAAGTTGGCAAACCATTAGCAATTACACATTCAGCAGACCTTAAGACTGATAAAGTTCAGGAGGAGGGTGTGTCCGTTTCAGCAGCAGTAGTAGCGGCTGCAGCTGGTCCTACTCGTTCTATGAACAGTTGGGGAGATGTGGAGCACCTGTTTGAAGGATATGATGACACGCAGAGAGTAGCTATCCAAAAAGAGAGAACTCGAAGGTTAGAGGAACAGAAGAAAATGTTTGGATCACAAAAGCTCTCTCTTGTATTAGATTTAGACCACACCCTTCTCAACTCAGCTAAGGTTTGTTTACCACCCTTCAAGTTTGCTTACTTTTCTTACATTCATTCTGAAGTTGGCTATTTCTCGTTTTTTAGTTTCATGAGGTTGAAACTGCCCATGAGGCCATGTTGAGGAAGAAGGAAGAACAAGATCGTGACAAACCATATAGACATCTCTTTCGTTTCCCCCACATGGGAATGTGGACTAAACTGAGACCGGGGATTTGGAATTTTTTGGAGAAGGTGAGCCAGTTAGTAACATTTTATTTCTTTTCGACTCTATGTGCAAGACTTCATTGTAACATTAAGTGTGAATTTCAGGCTAGCAAGCTGTACGAGTTACATCTTTACACTATGGGAAACAAATTGTATGCTACAGAGATGGCCAAACTGCTTGATCCTGAAGGGGTTCTCTTTAATGGGCGAGTCATATCTAAAGGAGATGATGGAGATCCCATTGATGGAGATGAACGAGTACCCAAGAGCAAAGATTTAGAAGGAGTTATGGGCATGGAATCGTCTGTTGTGATCATAGACGACTCTGTCCGAGTGTGGCCTCATAACAAAATGAATTTAATAGTTGTTGAAAGGTATCGTCATCTAACGCACTATGGCCAACATGTGACCGTATTGGTTACTTACTGTATAATATTTGTCTTGTCTTGCAGATATACTTATTTCCCTTGCAGTAGACGGCAGTTTGGGCTTCTTGGTCCTTCTCTTCTAGAGGTCGATTTCGATGAGCGACCTGAGGAAGGCACATTGGCATCTACATTAGCGGTCTGCACTTTGTTTTTATACACCTTGTTATGTTATTGTTTGCTCTCTGTTCTCGGTCTTAGCATCATCACATGGTTTCACTGAGCAGGTTATTGAGAGAATACATAAAAATTTCTTCTCTCACACTTCACTAGACGAAGCAGATGTGAGGAATATTTTAGCTTCCGAGCAACGGAAGATCTTGGCTGGTTGTCGGATTGTGTTTAGTCGGATATTCCCAGTAGGTGAAGCCAACCCGCACTTGCATCCCTTGTGGCAGACTGCTGAGCAGTTTGGTGCTGTCTGCACAACACAGGCTGATGAACATATCACTCATGTTGTCACAAACTCTCTCGGAACTGACAAGGTAAGGCAGCCTGAGAAATTTTATTAAAACTGTTGGTCCATTTGCAGATTCTGAATGTATTTTGTTTAAGCAGGTGAATTGGGCACTAAGCAAGGGTAAATTTGTTGTTCATCCTGGCTGGTAAGACCCTTTATAAAGATTTGTTAAAAACATAAACCGTTTTTTTTACTTGTTTGTAATAGTTTTTCATGGTCCGAGTGTAGGGTGGAAGCATCAGCGTTTCTGTACCAGAGAGCAAACGAAAGCAATTTTGCCATCAAACCGTAAAACCAAATGCATTTTCCGCCCACTATATATCAAACTCCACCATATGGTGAAGTTTGAGATACTTGTTAAGGCCTGAATCTCCCAATAGGTCATATGCAAGCCCCGTGGGTTACGGGTTTGGGGGTACATAAGCATTCTTTTGCCCCACTAAGTTGCAGTTCATTAAATTGCCAAAAGTATTGGTAGGGGATTTAACCAAAAGGAAACTTCAACTTGTGTCTACTAACTTTGGGGGGAGGATGAAGGGGAAATGATCAGTCTCTGGATATAAAAATATCACACCAGAGAGACCCAGTAGAAAGTGATGGTGATGGGTCAGGATCGTGTTCAGTTTTGGTCCTCTTCTGTTGAATGTTGTTGATTCATGATCAGTCAAGTTCGCTTATTGTGCTATGTATGCTCTTGTGGGAAGCAACGTGGCAAAAGGTAACGGACAATAAAATGCGTAGTTGAATGACTGAACAAAGCTTTGATTGAAATTTCTAGACCTTATTAATCCCCAGAATTAAATGTGGTGGAGAAAGCAAATTCATTGAGACAAGTCAACAACATTAAACGGTTACTTGACAAACAAGTTATTGGGAATAGTTCAATGAGGCACTGATTCTTATGATAAGTACTTAGGAGAACGCAAATTGGGTTAAGTTCTAAGAACTTAAAAATGACACCAATCTCTCTAACTTTATGGACATCTCCGATTTAGATTCTATTATGAGTCATCCATGGGAATCAGCTTATCAACCAAGAAAATTTGATGAAATATTTGTATATCATGGTTAAACTCTCCTCTGCTCCGTGGGATATCTTACTATTTTTGATAAAAAGAACGTCAAGGTTAAAAGCTCTCCTTTTGGCCTTGAGAACGAAAAAAAGAGATTACCGTCCTTGTAGATTACGTTTAATTTTAATATATTAATTGGACAACGTTCAATGTGAATGTGAATCTACATATATAAAAGATGACAGTATCAATCTGTCCACCACCCTAAAAGATTGAGACATGTTGATGTTTCAAGTTATGTTGGGGAGAGTCTAGGTCTACCAATCTAGCAACGATAATGGATAAGCTTTTTAAGAATGGCTTCATGAGCAAAACCACATAAGTATTTATTTCCCAAAAATATCTGTATAAGAGATTGTTGATTATACATTTTCAAAGTTATTCGTAACTAATTTTTATAATTTGTTTTTAATCTTACAGTTTGGTTCGGTTTTATTGAGTTGAAAATTTAATCAACTAATTCTGTTTTGGATTTGTGTCATCTGGACAGATTTTATCCATCTTGATTCTTAGAAGATTATTAATAAATGAAGTTCTCTTTAGAGAACTAGAAACATAACAAGAGCTTGAGAAAAATCCTAAAAATTGTTTATAAAATAATTCTTGTAGGCAACATTTACAGTTGATGCTTCTCTTGTTTTCGTACCAGTGGCGGAGCTAGATGTTTAATTTAAAGTATTTCATAGAGGTCAGTTGACCACTCTATCTACAATGTGGCTCTATCACGGATTCCTGCATTGGACTAATGTCTTGATTTAACAAAGAGAAATAAAGTTGGTGTTCTATTTAGTAAAGGATGTATCATTCTAAGTGGATTTGGATCTGTCCTAGCTTGTCAATAAAATAATCAATATATAGGACCATACTGTTGACATATACTACTATTTTTGATACAGAAAAAAAAAAGAAAAGGGAGGGGAGGGGACAAAAGGTACAAAATTGGTTGAAACTAAATGAGAAGTGGGTGTGATAGGCATGCGGCTCTTTGATTGATTTCTATTCCCCACCACAATCATATACACACATTTGCACCATTCCCCGAATCCTAATAAAACACGCTTTTGTTACTATTGGAGAACATAACACATACTAGTATTATTGATTTCCTATTCTGTTAATGAACTTTTCTTCCAAAGTTTCAGACCCTTTTCAATATTACCTAGTTAACAGTCTTTTTTATGTAACTTCCAATTTCAGCATATAAAAGTGATGTGTGATAGGATTGAAAGCAGCAACTTTTAACATAAGGGTATTGTTTTCTATATATGTGTGTGATTTACTGTTTACTATAAACTTAACTGAAAATGAACCATATAATGTTCATATGAAACTTTTTTTTTTTTCTTTGGAACAGTTCATATGAAACTATAAACAAATTTCCCCCTTAAACTTTACAGACTTATGGTTGAGATTATACTCAACCTGCTGGAACACTACATCACTATTAAATGGAGTAAACAATAATGTTATGATTGGTCAAAGTCGAAGGTAATTAGGAAAGTTCAAATCCAAGACACCTTGAGAGTGAAGGTAGAAAATGCAACAAAAGTTTGACTACTAGAAGCGGTCGGGACATATTGATTTGGTCCTCATCACGTTTTGATTTGATGAGGTACGTTATTCTAGGAAAATGAACACATATCTTCTTTTTCTTAGATGTACCATTCCACCAAAATTTTGTGAGCGTCAACAAGAAACTTTACAAAGCCTTATAGTTAGGTTTAATAGTTTAATATTTTCCGTAGTGCCATAAATTTAATTAAAAGCTTGTGTTTTTGTTCTTTATATATATTTTTCATAATGTTCTACATACAACTAAAATTGTCGAATGTGATCGATGCCTTAAACGTCATGTTCATTTGCCTATGCTCTAGACCGGACATGTTTAATGAATTGTTATCCATTTTGAAAAGATGTGGTTGAATTTGCAAATGGTGGACGGACGAGAGACGTAAAGACTTAAGAGGGTGGGGATAGGCCATAAACACTGTTCTACACCACATATTTTTCTCTATTATTTTTCTCAATCTTCCATCTCATTTACATGAGTTGTTTCTATCTACCATAGTACCATGCGTAGAGAAAAATAGGACCACACCCATGTCCTTCCTAACTTTTTCTTCTGTTATTTTTTATTTAAGAAATGAAAGGAACTGAATATAAAATTAACAACAATGATGAAAAGACAACATGACTTTTTGTGGTTTGAGTGAAGTCCAGCCACGCTAAGCTCCATTTGCTGATCACATCACCAACCGTTTCTCATTGTTTATTCATGTTCATTGTGAAAAGTTAATTGCATATTTGATTGAATAAATTTCACATTCAGAAAAAGTTAATTGCGAAATTCTATGCAATAAAAAAGTTGAGTAATTCATAATCATAGCAATACCTTAAGAGTGACTAATGGAAGAAATTTAAACCTGTTAATTTTTCATGTACTAATATAGGAATGCTCCTGCGTTTGGAAGTTACTATTACTTCAACATATGCTAGAATAAATATATAAATATTATTGGATATCTCAAAACTCCATGCCAATAATTTCTCAAATGGGAGTTACTCTTATCAAATATACCAATTTAGAAAGCTTTCTCTAATGCTACTTGCATTTGTTATTTGGCACATCATCACTAATTAGGTAATTTTACCTTCCATATTACAGCTGAAGATTTATATACAAATCTAAACTACTGGCAGCTGCTTGTTTTTGTTATTGCTAATGATTCCGCAACATCAGTATTGAGCTATTCATTATCATCACATTAGCTGGCAGTAGTTTTTTTTACTGGCAGCTAATGTGATGATAATGAATAGCTCAGTACTATAATATATAGCTTAGTTATGTAATAATAGTAATATACATGCGTAAATGTTAACGTGCAACTCACTGCATTTAGTACTCGACAAAGATTATAAAAACTATGACAAAAAAAAAGTTATAAAAAAATAACTTACCTGTAAATCACGCGGCTTACGGCTTTTGCAGAGAAGAAAATATTTACAAAATACTCGATATTAACAACAAAAAAGATATGAAAAGGTGATTTCTTGATATAAATGTGAAAAAGCCAGAAACCAAAGTCATCTTCTATTCTCTATTGACTTAGACAAGAACCATGATGTCTCCCCGGCAATGCCTAAAAATGGTGATTGCCCTACTTCTGTTTCATGCTCTGAGTTTAGTAAGCTCTACTGTTATGTCCAGGGCTGACCGGATCACTAGTTTACCCGGTCAACCTCAAGTAGGGTTTCAGCAGTACTCTGGTTATGTCTCTATAGACGAGAAGAAACAGAGAGCTCTGTTTTACTACTTGGCTGAAGCAGAAACTAAACCCATCTCTAAGCCTCTCGTCCTTTGGCTCAACGGAGGTTAGTAGTTACATCTTTTACTAAAAAACCCAAATTCAAAATTTAGAATCTTTCATTTTCTTTATTACTAAAGATTATGATCTTTCATAACAGGACCTGGATGTTCATCACTAGGTGTTGGTGCATTCTCTGAAAATGGACCCTTTAGACCAAAAGGATCAGTTTTAGTGAGGAATCAGCATAGCTGGAATCAAGGTAAAAGTCTTTATATATACTTTTAACTTTAAATTTCTGTTCAAGAAATATAATTGTTTTATAAACTAAGTTCTTGAATTATTTTTTTTTTGCTAAACTAAGTTCTTGAATTATGCAGAGGCTAATATGTTATATCTGGAAACACCTATTGGAGTTGGATTCTCGTATGCAACTGAGAGCTCCTCGTATGAGGGTGTAAACGATAAGATCACTGGTAACATTTACAAATAAGTTTAGTTTTTATGATAATGGGGTGCATGAGATATGTTGCTTGTTAGATCACTTTCTACAGAAAAAAATAATGTTATAAATATACTTCCCATTAAAAACAGATACAGCTTTTCTCTGTTTATTCTTTCTCAGTCTGTAAAAAGTAGATAAAGGTTCGACCTTTTTGCAGAATCCAGATCGCATCTGATGAAATTATTCTCTTCTTCCTTGTTTCTTTTTGTTTGTCTTGACATATCAGACATTCTAATCTTTGTCTTTTGTGCATTTGTTTTTCTTGAAACATAATTTTACAGCAAAAGACAATCTTGTGTTCTTGCAAAAATGGTTTAAAAGATTCCCTCAGTATCTCAACAGGAGTCTCTTCATCACTGGTGAAAGCTATGCTGGTAAAGTTTTGCTCCATCTCTTTGTTGAATTTCCATTTTTAATAAATGTATTAATTAAATAGAAATTTGTTAGGTCATTATATTCCTCAGTTGGCTCAGCTTATGATTCAATACAACAAGAAGCACCATTTGTTTAACCTCAAAGGCATTGCTGTGAGTTATTTTTCATTTAACTTTGTGATTGTAAACCGGTTTTTGTTTTGTTTTGTCTTTTAATTCAATTTTTTGGTTTTGTAGCTTGGCAATCCGGTTTTGGAGTTCTCTACCGATTTCAATTCACGAGCAGAGTATTTTTGGTCTCACGGGTTGATATCGGATCCAACTTACAAAATGTTCACATCTTATTGTAATTACTCACGGTTTGTGAGTGAGTACTATAGAGGAGACGTCTCAAGTATGTGCTCTAAAGTTATGAGTCAAGTTGGCACCGAAACAAGCAGATTTGTAGACAAGTATGATGTTACTCTTGACGTCTGCATTCCCTCTGTGTTATCACAATCCAAAGTAGTTAGCCCTCAAGTGAGTTCATAAACAAATAAAAGTAAATGATTATTTTCTTACATGAACATACTGATTTTTTTTTTTTTATACTTTTGAATGGTTTAGCAAGTGGGAGAGACTATTGATGTGTGTGTAGAAGATGAGACGGTTAACTACCTTAACCGGAGAGATGTGCAGAAAGCTCTCCATGCTCGGCTTGTTGGAACTCGCAAATGGGCCGTGTGTAGCAAGTAATAACATCACTTATGCTGGATTTTAATTTTGAACCTTAAATTGTATGAAATGCCTAAAATTTACAAAAGGGTTTTATTGTGATGATGACAACAGTGTGCTGGACTACGAACTACTTGATGTGGAAGTACCGACGATAAATATTGTAGGAAGTCTAGTCAAAGCTGGAGTTCCAGTTCTTGTGTACAGGTAACTCAAACGTTTTTAAATGTGAGTTGTGAAGTTGTGTCTTAACTTGTCTTTTGTAATAACAGCGGAGATCAAGATTCTGTGATTCCGTTAACGGGAAGTAGAACATTGGTGAAGCGACTAGCTGAACAGTTGGGACTGAGTACAACCGTGCCTTATCGTGTTTGGTTCGCAGGACAACAGGTTAATTTCTAGTTACTAGTTACTATGTCAAAATTGAAGCCGTTTTAAAAAGATGTGGAATGTACTAATTTAAAGTGTGGTGTTACAGGTTGGTGGGTGGACTCAGGTTTATGGGAACGTGTTGGCGTTTGCAACGGTGAGAGGAGCGGCACACGAGGTACCGTTCTCGCAGCCAGAGAGATCACTTGTGTTGTTCAAGGCGTTCTTGGGTGGTAGTCCTCTCCCTGAAGAATTCTGATTTTATTTCCATATTTTCTCAGCTTGTAAGTAAAACATTATTACAGCTTTTGATAAGCAATATTCCAAAAAAAGGTTATACATTTGATTATGGCAGGATAAGGGAATTAAATACTTGAAAATTTGTTTCTGTGGCAAATGTGTAGGGATATGTACTGTTCTTGAATCTTAGCAAATGTTACATCGATCCCAAAAAGAAATGTATTGATTATCTAAATTGATCTGACCATAGATGCAATAACTATTCAAAACTTTTTTAAAAAGCTCAGGGTTCATGTTTCATAAGCAAAACAAGAATATGATTTGGACAATACAACTAACACATGAAAAAGATCAAAGAAGATCATATCACAGAGAGGGTTTCTCATAAAAAGAATAAGTAACGACTTGGAAAGCAAGACTGATCCACAAATCAGCAACAACATAACGAGGTCAAACTGGATCATTCCAAAACCCCAAAACCCAAAGAAAGTAGTATTAATGATTGCTTAAAAGACACTTATAGTTCCATCTTTTATGGCTTTATCAAATTGAGTAGATTCACATTACGAGACATGATCATTCATAATGTTATTTCTAAATAGTAACCAAACCCTCTTTCAACACACTCAAAAGGAAAAAAAGTCTAGAATAACCTTGAGTGCAATGGAAAGGAGACCAAAACAATGAGGGGCCTAGGCCCAAATAATTGTGGAATCTAGATTTGAAGTTACCAGTTTCTAAGAAAAGGAAAGCAACCCTCACATTCTCTTATCCATAGTATTCATTTCTAAATGGACGTAGCGGCAGTGGATGCAGCTGACCGTAGCCACTGTAATAGTCTTGGTGGACAAGGTGGTGGTGGAGCCTCTATTATTGGTGGGTATAGTGGCGATGGACCTGCAAAATTCATACAAAATATAAACACAAGCATGGTATTTTATCATTTAGGTATGCTATTTGTCATATATAAAAATAACCCAAAAAATATTTTGTTTCCAATAAGTATTTGTAATTTTTTGGTGGCATATTTGCCAAATAACCCAAAAAATAGGACATTAGATTTTGAGAAAGAGAATATAAAGAAATAAGAAGAGAAAGGAAGAAAGAAAGGTGGAGTGGAATTTTTTGAACAAAAAAAAAAGGTGGAGTGGAACTTTAGTTAGTTAGTGAATTTTTATTTGTTTTTGTCTATAAGATGCAATTTGTGGATTTTTTTTGTATCCACAAAAATGATTAAATTGTGAAAAAGGATTATGGTGCTACAAAAATTAAAAACCACGAAATGTGGAGTCACATGTCGCAATCATTATGATTAGCACTCATCTTCATCATTTAAGAGGTGGCCGCGATTCCTCAGGGCTCATTTCGTTGACCCACTTTAATGCAACACTTGTTCATAAACATTCCCCAACATTTTCTTTTGTAAAAAACATTTTACTATTATTCTTTTCAGATTAGAATAGGCAAACACAACACAATTATCATGTAAATGCCAATACATTTTAACATAATTTTTCCAACACATTTTAACATAATACCGTCTTAAATATTGCCATTGAAACCCAGTCGTTAATGCCCACTCACAAGAGAATTAACCATTAAGTTACAACAACATACGATTAAAGAAAGAGGAAACCCTAAGCAAATTCTCATCTGAATTTAAAAGCGATAACTGAAAGAAAAAGTGAAAACAAAGAGAGACGTTTCAAGGAGAATTAGAATGAGATCGATCAAAGTGAACAAGCTGTGCAGCACATTTGGGACAGTCCTCGACAAGCTTGGGAACCATGAAGTACATGAAACAAGCTTTGCATCCAGCAACAACGAGCACAGCTTCCTCTTCTTCTTCTTCTTCATCCTCTTCCTCTTTCTGATTCTCTCTTGATGATGGAGATGACTCTGATGAAGACTCCTCACTGTCGTAATATGAGCTATCTTCTTCAGAGCAGAATGTCCCACACGATTCTCCACTGTCATTATCTGCATTCATCATCACTTTCCTTGGATCTTCTTTCACTCTCATTCCATTTTTCCAGTTTATGTAGTAAATCTCTCCTGTCTAAAGAAAAAGAAATCACACCACCAGATTTGAATTTTAAAAAAAAAGAAAGTAAAAGGTGTAATTCTTTTTTGATATAAAAGTTTTCTATCCTTTTTATTAGTACTCTATATGCACCACCCAAAGTTGTGTTAAGACAAAAAGCTTTTGGTCCTAGATCTATAAATAAGCGAATGACTATGTACTTTTGACATGTATATCAGTGGTAGAATAGCATTGATTAAACAAGAAAAGTATACATGTGTTTGTTTGTTTGTTTGTTTAGAAAAAATCATTATGGGAGATGAAAGATTGACTGAAAAGCATTATTATAACTATAAATAACTATGAACTGGGCAATATTTATACGATCTTGGAAACAATAAATGCATCAGAAGGAAACAAGAAGAGCATTAAATAAAAAGGAACTTCTTGTCCCCAATGTACTAAGAAAAATTCATTTAATGCAATCCAAAGTACGAAAACGACACGAGTTCGAAGTTTCTGTAGTAATTAACTTATAACCTAGAAAGCTTACCTTAAGATCAAGACACTGTTCCCAGTGACAAGGAAGAGATAAGTGAGAATTAAGCTCCAGTGTTCTGTCTGAAATGGGAGGAACATGTTCGTTGCTCTCTTCGGTTGTTAACGATCTTCCAAACCTGTCTCCACCTCTTCTTCTCCGATCACTTAGAGAAAAATTCTGCATTGACTTCTCAAGAGATTTTGTTATCGTCTCCATGTTTGGTGCCTTCATCTTCTCCTCTCTCTCAGAGTAAAGAAAGAGGAACAACAAGAAGATTGTGTTGAGTAGAGAATATTTTTTGAGGAAGAAAACAAGAAAAGAGTGAAGGGTTGGTTATTGGTCCACGCGCGGTGAGGGTAAAAAGCGCGTGGAGATTCGTTGGTTAAAGGAGAAAGTGGACCAGTAACTGTCAGGACACAAAGTGAATAGAGAGGCTCGCACTTTGTCTCACGTCCGTGTTACCGTGTTAGTTGAAACAATCAGGAGCATACGGGACACGCGCGGGATAGTTGCGTTGGGATTTAACCTTGCGCGTGTTGTTGTATGGGAAGAGAATAAAAGTTTAAATCTTGGGAAGGGTTAAAGTGGCAAACCTGAGAATTTTATTTTTTGAAAGAAGAGAAAATTCTGTATTTTTTTTTTAAATATAATTTAACGTAGGTATCGAAAAGAATGCCGAGAACATGCTTTATTCTGTTATTTCGTTTTCTTTTTACCCTGGAAACTTACAAATTTACATAAACACAGCTCACATTGTATATTGTTTGAACAAAGAAAAACAAATTATATATATATATTTTTTTTTTTTATTCGCTACTAAGATTGAATTATTACCCCATGATAGTTTGGAAATATTTATTTTAAAACATGTGAAATTACTTATGGCTCATTTTCCAGCTTTTTCACAATCTTTTTATTTTGTTTGCTGGTTAGTTACTGAACAATAGGAACGCTTTACATAGGCATAGTAATCCTTATGGTGATTTTGAAGGCTTGAGGTTTGGTGCATACACTGAAAGTCAATAGCACACACGATGATACTCGAGACACTGCGACTATATGATAACAAATATTAACCTCAAATATGAGACGCATATGGTCTGATGGTCGTGAGATGGGAATTTTAAATTGCAAAACCTCATAATGCAATATGATGCTTGGATTAAGCCAAAAAAAATGCGTGGAGCAAAATAATCGAAGAATAAGTTTGTTGGTGTGTTTTTATAGAAAAGTCAACTAAACTATAAATAAAGTGAAGGGAAAATGTCAACATTTAAGCCAATTAGAGTAAAGGTTTTTTCGTGGATACATGCTCTCGAATTTTAGTTGTCATGATCAAGTTTATGGAAAAATAATTCATAGGTATTTCACATCAGTTGCCCAAAAAAATTGGTATTTCACATCACAAATCTTTAAAATAATAGCCAAAAACAGCACAACAAAAAGAAAATAGAAACTAAAAACAAAGACCATCACCAATAAGTTTATGTAACAATGCACAAAGAAATAACCAAGATTAGAAAAGATAACCCAAGCTATTCAAAACCATATGATGTTCAACATATTAGGTACAACACATAAGCATCATAAATTTGTATTGTGTAGTTAGTTAGTTAAGATATTAGGCTATTAATGTATCATGTATGATGTATATATAAAAATAAAAACACATAACATGAAAATGTCCATACGTACATTCACACATGCAAAGATTAACTAAAAAATATAAAAGAGAACAAAATTGTGATAGACGAATACATGTATTAGTCTGAAGGAAAATGATGTTTCCGTAAATCTTTTCAACCAGGAAAAATAAAGTTAACAAACAAAAATAGTGAAAAGAGTGCAAGGGAATCTGTCGGAAGTGTACAAAGGGATAGCGACGAAGCAGTCCAATCTTGTGTTGTTGTTTTTTTTTTCTTAGATTTTGCTTTTACCAAATAATAATGTCTATATATAATAGGGTACTGCTGGTAAAGAGGGTTTCTTAGTTGTAAATATGCAGAAAGAGAGACAATGGGGCCTAAGAAGGGAATCTCTGAGGAGAGATAGAGATGTTTCAGATCGAAAGAGACATCAAAGTGTGTCTGTGACCCTCTCTGTATCTGGGTCTCTCCTCTCCCTTCTTTATCGAAACCAGATACACCATTTTGCTCTTTTCCTTTTTACTTTTCTTTTGTTTTCTTTAGTTTGGGACTATAACATTTTCGGTCTATCTCTATGTTGATCAATTCTAAGGATCTTTGTTTTTTAACCCCCACAAGAAGAGAGGACAATGTTGATAACTGTATGGTTCATCCAATCTTCCATGTTGAAAAATATTTTGCCAAGGAAAAGGTTCTTACGACAACTTAGAGCTATATGTATTTATATTAATATTCTTATCGAATTTGTTCCATTAAACTGTGAACTCTAATCTTGCTCAAATTCCCACATGAAGCATACAAGAGCTCAGGGCAGGTAGCAAACCCGTCTAGCCTTAGCCACAAACTATGTTTGGGAACAATCGTTCGAATGTAACGATATGGAGCATGGATGCACAAGAACAACATTGACCACCACCTTTTTCACTTCTAGTTTATATAAGTAATGTGCAAGCACAAGACTTCACATGAGTGATCAAACCAAAAGCTTAGTTAAAAGTCTTTAGAATATAAACTCTTAACTGAGTATAAACCTATATGGTTCAGAAAGAAGAAAGTCAGACATTACTATGACCACTATGTTATATATTATGATTATAGAAAACCAAAATTCCTCAGGCAATTATTTATTACTGTATGCCTCTCTTTTCTTCCATCATCCTCAGAACAAAACAGGAGGATATATACATATCTGCAACTAGATGGAATGTCTTCCTCCTCCTATAAGCTTTTCGGCACTGCTACAAACAACTTTCACCTTTAAGTCTTCCTCTGCAACTCAACCATTAGCACAAAAATCAGAACAGTCACGGATTTTTTAAACTCAAACCAGTTTTGGAACACGTATCAGAACTTATGGTTTACCTCTTGTTTGGACATGGTTAGGTGGTCTGCATGCTCAGGGAGAGCAGAAGGAGGTGGATGGGTCAATGACATTGGGGTTAAAGGAGGCGAGGGAGTCGTCTTAGACATATCTAACTCTGCTGCTCTAAGGTGGCTAGTAGGTATAGAGAAGCTACGAGAGATTACAGGTGGTGTCGGGAGAGGAGATGGTGAACTTGAAATTAGAGGTTTACCAAGCAATTGGCTTTTCGAAACCAGAGGTGCTGAGTATCCAAATGCCCTAGAGGACTTAGCAGAGCTGCTTGATGGTGGTGGTCTAGGAAGCTCATGGAGCTCGCTTATTTTAGGTGTTGAGACAAAAGTAGGGGAAGAAGCAGTTGGAGATGATGATGACACTTTTGGTAGCTTGGAAACTGGATTCCTTGGGATTGGACCTGAGTATAAACGAGGCGCTGAAGACAGAGGCTTGTTAGGCAAGGGTCTACTTGTTAGTGGACCAGAAAAGGATCGTCTCTTGAGTGTCCCCATACGAGAGTACAACAGTCCATCTGATAAAGGTGGAGGCAACCGAGAAGATACATTCTTGTTACTCTCTCTCAGGACTTGTTCTTTCAAGGCTGTCACTGGTCTAGAAGAGAACTTTGCAGGTCCAGGAGCTTCTAATGGGGATGAATGCCAAACCTGTTTTGTAATTGCCTTTGCAGGGTTAGATGAAGCCATGTTGCTGTTGTTACGAAGACTTGTCATAGATGAGGGACTTCTTGCTGTTTCCGCAGGCGTCGGCAATGCGTAAGTGCTGAATTTCCGCGTCAGAGATGATCGCATCCGTAACAGTTTATCTGAAGGGAGAGTTGTGCGGTTTTCGAAAAAGAGAGGTGCTGATTGGCTCTCTATCCTAACATCTCTCCTAAAGGAATAAGACTTCCTGTAATTTCCTTCCTCATGTTTCTGCTGAAAAAAAGCAAAATAGATAAGACTGGTAACAAATTCATGCAACTGCAACTTCAAATCATTTGAGTGGTTCTACTGGTAGGTGAATGAAATTAAATTCCTTGAACAATGAACATTTTGAGAATTTTTCTAAGTCATTTGAAAGGAAAAGTAGAGAAGATAGGATCATCAGTTACCTGCGCAGTGTTTGGTCCTGCAACTAGTGGAAATGTGATGTCTGACTGACCCAGCTGCATGCATTAGGCGAATATCTTTCAGGAAGCAGGTTTGGAAAATAATATAGCACTACTTTCAACCAACTCTACTCTAAATGGCATTTATCTACTGCCAGTTTTATTACCAAATTTATAATTATTTGTTATATTAGTTACCTTCAGGAGAATCATCGGCATATAGAGTATAAATATTCTACCAGTGATCATCAGAAGTACCAAAAAGGGAGGAAGGAAGTATCATCAGAAACGTAAACATATGTAACAATCACCTCTGAGGAGAGAACAGGTGAAGAATCCGTATGGTTGTCCTTGAAATTCTCTCTATATTCAAAACTCAACTCTCCATCAGTATTGACCTCAGAACCATCGTCGTCATTGTTTTCGATTTCATCATCCCCATCATCATCTTCTAATCCTCTGAAATGGTGATCAATGTGCTGCGACTCAGTTACCATCTGTACATGTGGCTCAACTTCTTCAAGGGAATTAAGAGCCTTCTTGAAGAAGGATAACTGCAGAAACCCAACAAAGGGACATCAACACGCTACGCTCTGGAGAGCGAAACAGAAGGACGAGAAACCGCACAAGATGAATACCTGTGCTGCATGGTGGCGTGCTGCCTGAGTCAAAAGACTACGGGTTTGCCCTTGTTTTAAGGATTTTAAGCGGAAAACAAATAAAGTTGTCTCGTTTTCATATTCATCATGGGCTTCTTGTAGTTGCTGAGTCGAAAAAGTTTCTCCTTTCACACCCTTCGACCTCCCTTTCTCTCTCTGTCTTGTAAGCATCCCTTCATAAACATTCCTGAAAGGTAAAAAGTTCCATGAAAAGATAAGTAACTTTTTGCCCACTAACAAGAGAGGAGGTTTAGAAAACAGGATATAGTTTAGCAACTAAGGAATGGTATTCCCAATCATGAGACCAAGTATCTCTATAAAACTGAACAATTAACTTTTCTTTTTTAATCATAGCAATGAAAATAATAGCAAGGTAAGATCAACCTTTTCTCATCACAAAGCCGCATCATTTCCTGCATCACATGTAAAACACATTACTACCGTCACTTGAAAGGCTGAATCAGCAAGAATATTAATCAACGCTCCATGGACGTTCAGATATACGCAGCAAGCATGTTCAATAAAATAGATATAGATTCCAAGTGATCAAACCTCAACTATGCGGAGTTCATTAAGAAGTGACTCTGAGGGGACTGTTATCGTTTGAAAAATGTGAGACCGCTGAATCAGTAAAAGAGATAGTTAGTTGAAGTTTGGGTGATCAAACAATGGAAAGCTCATTTGAAAAGTATCGAACAAAATCTCAAAAAAAAAAACTCACATATTTATCAACAAATTTTTGCAGTTCAAACTGCAATTTTCCCAGCATAAGCAACACCCTACCTGCATAAGAAGCAAAAGAGAAGCAGAATGTCAATACAGTATATAGATCGAAACTAACACAAAAGAAATACATTACGCACAGAAAACTTGGGGGTTTTCCAATCTTTAAAACATCGACGAGAAAGGCAATGCATATAAAAGGAATGTGCTAGTCAAACTTACCACTTTCTTCATCGTCATTTAGAGCAGTTTTCTCAAGAAGGCAAGCGCCTAGTTCTCTCAAAGATTCAGAAAATTCTGCACCCAAACAAAATCCACAAACGATAAGAATTATAAATATATTTATTAACAGGAAGATGTTCCATCTCCATAAGCTACCATGTATTTAGAAGCTAAGTTTATGATTAACAACAAAAATTACCATAAGCACTATTAGCAGTAGCAGCAGCAGCAGAGAGCAAGCTATCATAGCAATCCCTCATCTCTTGCACGTCCTGCCAACACACATTCACATTTTCACTCTACCAAACAAACAAAAAAGCTCAAGCAAACCCTAAGCAGCGGTGACATCTTGTTAAATTCCGCAGATTTTCGACTTAAAACCAACTGGTGATAATTGGATTAAACCTAATCCCCCAACTACCGATTCATTCAACTTAATATCAATTGGTGATAACGTAATTAATCCTAACCGCTCACTAATTCTCCAACTACCGATTCATTTCATTCATTAACCACATCTGAATAATAATCACCATTTCGAAAAGAGATTGGAGGAGGCGCTGACCTGGGAAGCCTGGGCGAGCTCGTCATTGTTGTGAGCAAGAGATCGGAGATCTCTCCGATCCTTGGATTCATCGTGCCTGTGAAGCACCCCTCGCAACCGTCGGAGAGAGGTTTTCATGGCTGCGAATCAAAGGAGATCGAGAATTTTTTCAGGAACGGCCAAGTAAGTTTAGATAAGATAATCGATTCGTCGTCTCCTTTTTCTCCAGCTTATGCCATTTGAAGAACGTAAGGATGATAATATTAAAAAAAAAAAACTGAGGAAAAATCAAAAAAGGAAAATAAAAATAAAAAAGCGATTGTTTAGAGGAAAAGGAAACTTGAGCCTTGACTTCGTCGTCTCTTTTGATTCTCTTTCGTCCTTTTTTATTATTGTTTTTTTCATCGCTCATGTTTACGTCAGTAACTGTAATTAGTGATGTCAGCAAATGCTTTCAGTTATACCCACTGTTTTACATGAGATAATTTATCAAATTTAATTTTTACACAGATTTTCATATCATCAAAATATGATCCTTCTAGTGTGTTATTCGATCTAGAATTCGATTTTGATAATCTTTATTTTAACTGTTTTAACCCCTCTATGTAAGGTATTTCTCAGTGCTAGATATAACTTTTTTATATATCTTTAAGTCAAAATTAGAGGGGTAGGTAGTCTTTTAGCTTTCTTAATGAAAGTTTATGTGAGAGGTTACCATTTATGAGCTTTATGAACCTGGATTTATTATTTACTTGCACGCTTTGATTTTTTTCTAAACCACATGTTAACAAAATTTTTTTGAATGAATGTAAAATTTATTGAAACAAAAAACATGTTTACATCAAGTGATAGCCTTCTCTAATAGTGTTTTGCTGAAAAATAAAATTAAACAATGAATCTAATTTTAAGATTTCAGCAAATGTTAACATTAAGTAATTAGTGTCTTGAAAGAGTCCAGTCCTTTTTGAGCCAATGGTTAATTTAATGGTATGGAATATCTTTACACTTTTAAACCAAAGGTTGAATCAAATTCAAAACAAAAAGGATTGGACTAATTAACAAGATATGACTTATGATCTCAAAAAAAAAATGACTTACGAAAGAAAATTAGTTTCGCAGCTTATTTTAACATAATCTTCACGGTTTGTTATTACTTAGAAAATGATTAATCCAAAATTTTTAAGGTAATGAGTTCTTAAGGTAAAGTTACGAAAGTTAAGAAATTGTTTTTTAAATTCCGTTTAAAATCTCATCATAAAAGTTCCAAGTTAATCATGGTCTTAGCGTGTAGATAAGGAAATGGTGTAATTCATTAAAAAAAAAATTACAGCTGATATACGGAAATTTAAAATGTGTTCAGTTTCTTTAAAGAGTGGCTATTAAAAATATCAAAACCAAGAAAGACTAACAACAATTCCCTTACGAAAAAAAAAAAGAAAAAAAAATGAATGGCTGACAACATTGATTATTGATTGAATAATCACTTGGTAATCATACTGATCTTACTTATAGAGTTTAAAAAGAGCGTTCCCAAATTTTATCACTTATTACAGAAACAAAAGAAACTTATTTTCCCTACAATTAATTTCTTCATGATGATTATCAGAGTCACTATTAAAAGATGTCTGAGTTAAAGCACTTGAACAAACCGATGAAGACGCTGAAGAAGAACAAAACGTACGAATCAAATTTATATCGCAGCATCTTCTTGTCTTCACGTCATTTCCCAAAAAGTCATAGAATATCGGACAAGTACTCTTGTTGTCGTCACTTTCTATCTCTTCCTTCTCCTTCTTCTCTCCCTCATCTTCTTTCTTCTTGTTACTATTATTGCTCCTCTTCTTCAAGAACACTCTGCATAGAACCCAATTCATGTTCTCTCCCTTTTTTGTCAAACAAACAAAGAATAATTAAGAGACAGTTTTTTTAGTCCATGCAGTTTCAATAGGATCGAATCATTTTGATCGAGTATGTGAATCTCACGTACGTATGATACATGTTGAGGATCAACAAGACGATACTCATGAAGAACCCAATTGGTTCTTGTCCCGTTGGGAGGTTTCCCTTTATAGAAAACCAGAGTTTTCTTCATCCCAATAACCTTCTTCCCGATTTGCCTATCAATTCCGGTCGCTTTCCAGTAACCCGAACCGGTTGATCGGTTCGACCGGTTTCCGCTTGGGTATTTAGCTTCCCTAGTGCTAAAAAAATACCTCTCTGAATCACAAGCACCTGGATCATACATACATACATGCAAATTAAACCATCGAAAATTTGGATTAAATAAAACAATGAAAAATAGGATTTGTATTTCCTTACCTGGTAAATCCCATGGTTCGGTTTTACAGATATCGATTTCCGGTATAACATAAGCTGGTAAGGGTAAACCAGACACTTTTCGACTTAAATACTGAACCACTAGCTCTTCATCTGTTGGGTGAAACCGAAAGCCTGGTGGTAATCTCAGTTCTCTGGTCTTAATGGAGCTCCGTTTTTCCATTTTTTTAAGGATATGTTTTAATGTTCAAATCGTAGAAACAGAAACCAAAAAAGGAAGAAGCTGAGAGGTTATTGAAATGGAGAAGGAACGTTGAGTTTTATTTTATAGCAATGGATGCAGTTGAATATGTGTTCCTAATTTTATATTCTTACCCATGTCGTAATGAAGTGAATTAAGTAGCACTACAATTTTAAATTGACCAAGAAACTAGAGCATTTTCTAAGTCACAAGGTCAATGGATCGCTCTGGTATTGAAAGATTATATAAACCGAACATAATTTACCAACAAAAATACATTAGGGACTAGGGATTACATTAGTTTTGTATATGTGTGTTAGGAGGAATGGTAGTAGATAGAGATGCGTATGCAACTAAATTTCGATAACATTCAATGACACAGATGTGATTTCATGGGGTCCATGAAAATAACTAATACCCTGCAGATTCCTTTACTCGGATGGATGGTCTAGTTATCTTTTCCGAATCTAGATAATGAATTGCATAATCCCTGGTTAAGTATAGTTTCATTAATATGGGCTTTTCTTTCTTTTTTGGTCAACCATTAATATGGGGTTTTATAAACCAACACGTTACTCAATCAAAACTCTTACGTAAAACCGGAGAAAAGAAATTCCAAAATGGTTGGCTTTGTGCAACAATAATAAGATTAAAGAATAAAATTGAATATTGGTGTGCTTCTAGTATTTCCATTTCGACGGAATAACGTTTTATATGGCATATTATATTATATTTATTTTTATTGATTGTAAACTTTTATGTTAGGATCGTTTGCTGAGTTTTATTGATTGGCAGAAAACGAGTTTTGGTTATGCCACTATTCATAATGCAAAGATTTAATTGGGAAAAGTTGTTCGTGTAGTCTTTTAAGAGATATATAACCATTTCAGGAGCTTAAATCAAATATGGCTTGCCAAGTTGCCATGAACTAAAACAACAAATAGCGGTAACGTTGTAGAAAAACAAGATAAACATACGGAACATAAGCAAAAACGAATATAATTGATTGCATGAAACAACCATGACAAGCACTTGTGAATGAATCACATACCCTTTTTGTGTGTTAGTGACAAAATACGGTTAATGTAGTTAAATCGTAAAGTGTATATCTATTAATGTATTATGGAGAATAAAAGTGGGCTAGTTTGGCATTAAATGTGAGGCCCAGAGATAGAGATAGTGGAGACTTCAACATTGCCGTTTGCGTGAGGTGAAGGTTAAAGTCATGTCCAAAAAAAGTACAATGTGGATTTGTCGTCAACGAAATTCATGATATCGACTTATTTTCTTACAAGATAAAGTTCTCGTTTTCTTTGGACTTCAAATGACGATTTAGACGGCCGTGGAATAACGTTTAGGGAAAGGTTTCTTGCAGCTTCTGCCATTATATATACAACCTAACCGGCCAACAATTTTCTCATGCTCCAGTTGATTACATGCATATTAGCAAATATCTTACCAACATGTGTGCGAGTGTACGTATCGTGCTCTAAAACGTAACTAAACACACAATATATTTCTTCATGTATGTGAATTCAGATGAAAAGATGCAGCAACCCCAAGGTAAATTAACCCGAGGTTGCTTACTTTAAAGAAGATTAGAGCCATGTCATGTTACGAAAAATAAAACAGACGTGGGTGGCACGTATACAAGACTCATTGACACCAAACGTTATAAAATGAAATAAATACAAAATATGGTTCCAAATGCTTAGAAACTGCGCGTTTAATTTATTCTTCCCCTATGAGATATGGGGTGTAATTGACAAATAAATAAATAAATGCTAGGGCTATAATCAGCAGAACCGTTTATAGAGAAATAATTTTATAAGTTCTTCTCCCTCGAGAGAAAATCAATCTCTCTGACTATCAAAATCTAATCAAGGTACGATTTGTTTTCTCATTCTCCTTTCTAGATCGTCGTCATATTATTTTTCCCCGGTAGCATTATCGATACATCTCTTGTTTTTTTGTGTATTCTCACGTTGTGATGTGATGCTGCTATGTTTGATCGATGGATCGGACTGATTTAGATCTCTTGTTTGAATAGGATCTGTGTGTGCATATATAGAGAATCATACGTATGGATTTGACTTATATCTTGCAAATGATTTTCATAAAATTGTTAAATCAATTCTTTTTTTTTGTCATTTTGCTTTTTTTTTGCCCATGTTTGAGTTTCTCGGTTGCTGAGATAAGTTTTAGATCCTCCACTCAATTGTTTTAGAGTTTTTTTTATATGGATTTGTAAAATGTGTAGTAATGTTGATTTTTGTGTAATAAAAATATGAATTTTCTTCCTTTTGTTCTCCTTTTCAGTTCTGTTTTGAAAAAATGGAAGGGACTGTGTTCACGCCTTGTTTGGAAGGAATGAAACATGTCAAGTCTGAACATGGCGAGATGCTTTCTAAGCCTTTTCTTGACGTCTGCAAGACCATCTTGCCTGTTTTAGGTAACTAAAGAATGATCATTCTTTTGAATGAAGTTTTTGCTATTTCTATAATTATTTTTTTTTTTTTCTGTTTTATTTCTTTTGCAGATAAGTTTGGACCAGCTATGACTCTCGTGAAAGCTGACATTGGTGGCAACATATCGGTAAAAATTCATTTCTAGTTTCCTCATTTAGCATTCACAATACAAACAAGTGATAAATGTGTCTTGCTTGGATTGTTCTCTTACAATAAAAAAATATTTTGTGTAGAGGTTGGAGAAGAACTACTTGTCTGATCCAGACAAGTACAAGTACTTGTACACCTTTGTTCAAGGTGAAATTGAGTCTAAGACAGCTAAAGGATCCTCTAGTTGTACCAACGGTCTTCTCTGGTTAACCAGGTAAAAAAGATAGATCATTTTATTATGAAGAGAGCTTCTTTTCAGAAACTTATATGATTAATTCTCTCAGAGCAATGGATTTCTTAGTGGAGCTGTTCCGCAACTTGGTAGCACATCAAGACTGGTCAATGTCACAAGCCTGTGCCGACTCATACCAAAAAACACTCAAGAAGTGGCACGGATGGCTTGCTAGCTCTAGCTTCACTGTATGAACTTACTTGCTCCTTTCCATTCACTGTAAACCGGTCCTAATAAAATAGTAAACGTTTTTTTTTTATCAGGTGGCTTTAAAGCTTGCTCCAGACAGGAAGAAGTTCATGGATGTCATATCTGGTTCTGGTGACATCTACACTGACATGGCAATGTTTTGCTCTGAGTTTGGTCCGTTGCTTCAATATAATCATAAGTTCTTGGTAAGGAAGTTTTTATAAAACTTTATATTCGTCACAGTTTCTTCATAGTTCTTCACTAGTTTTTGATTCTTTTGAACTCTTTTTTTCTTATTCGCAGGCTAGCGTTCGTATGGACGACATGAAAGCTTCTTAAGCCATAATATATGGTTTTGGTTATCGATGTTACCGTAATCTTCTTTGCCGGAAACGTTTTTACCTTTCACTTTGGGATTTTATAACTTTTAGACCCTCCAAAGAAACATAATAATTTGTCCATTTCTATCTGAATGTTAGTTCATTTATGTTATATGTTTATAACACACGAATCAATCTTATCAATTCTTTTTTTAGTGTTTGTCACAGTGATTTTGTCAATCTTTTATTTTTCTTTTTGATAAATGTTTCAAATATGTCCAGTTTCAGACAAAACTCAAAACTGTTATCAAAAACTAAATATTTACTTGGGCTGAACATATGTTTGAAAACTAAGGAAAAGAAAAAAGGTATAGTCACAACAAAACTTATATAAGACAAGACAATAAGTATTTGATAAAACACCATAGTTCATTAATTAGCTCAAATAGAAAAAAATCACATTGTGTTAGAGATCTTCAGTTCGATCGAGTAACCGGTTTTGGGTTTGGCAGATTAACGGACCCGAACCTTCTAGTATTTGAAATAAGAGTATTCACAAAATTTATATGAGACAAGACACAAAATGTATTCAGTTGCAAGAAGAATGAAACCTTGCAAATCACTTATACCATCTCCAAAAATATTTGAACATATTATTACATCATCAACATGCTCCGATAGTATTCCAATGATGATGATTTAAATAAAATAAGACATTGATGATGATATACTCATCAATATAGCTTAGATTTCGCATGCAGAATCAAATACATGTGCATGTGTTATTACTTATTAGTAGGTGGAGAATAATAAATAGTACTATATGTTTTGGTGTTGTCTTTTGTATGCTTCCTTATGACCCGGAAAAATCTTCTTGACAACTTTGCTTCCTATCCTATATATATATGGAGGGTTTTGATTATCTCCACCTTGTCACCATTACCATCAACAATTTTAAATATATACTAGATTTTAATCTATGCAATCGCAGAGTGTTTGATTTCATTTATACTCTTTTCCTTTCATTTTAATTGTCATTTTGGATTTTTACACAATATATACATATATCAATTTAATATAATTTATCATAATTATTTCAGTATACTAATTATTTTGATATAATAGATTATGCTTAGAAAATAAATAAAATATATTAGTTTTTTATAAACGATAAATGAATATACAGAAATTCCGTAAGATAGACATAATTTTTTATCACAAATATAGACCTTAAAAATAAAAATGACTAACATAGATTTGAATATTTTTATCAAAAATAAGTAAATATACGTTTATACTCTTTAGGTTAATTAGTCCTATACCTTTTTGTTTAATGTTGAAAAGTAGAGTTTTGGGATATGATTTCAGTTTTTTTATCTTAAAAAAAAACTTAAAATTTTCAAAATAAAAAATAATATTTTGATTATTTTTGTTTTTGAAATTTATTTTAGTGATAAAATTTAAAAAGATCTATTTGAGAGATTTGTCATGAATATACATTAATGTATAATAATATTTTATTAATAATTACAAATTTATATACACTTTAAAACTGAGATCTTGTAAAATCTTTTACAACAAATTTATTAAAAAAAATTTAGAATATATTTCCATTTCAAATTAGAAGATATCAAAAGATATATGATTAAATTAGTTACATAGATTTTATATTATTTATATTAAGGAAACATATTTTTAAATTTCTAATGGTAGGTCCAACTTAATATTATATATTCTGTAAATTTCAACTTCTAAACATTTATTCTGTTTCCCTATCTATGGTAAAACAAAAAAAACAAAAAACAAAAAAACGTAGTGCTCTCCCTCTTCTTCTCGTGGTTGTTCTCAACCAATAACTTCTACGGGATCTCTCTCTCTCTCCCTTCTCTTTCTCTCTCTTCTTTCAGAAAATTTCAACATTTTTTCTCGTCAAGAAAAAATCAACACGGTTCAAGGTTTTGAGCCTTTCACATTCTGCTACCTTCTTTCTTTCTTTTTGTTTGTTTGTGTTAATTTGTTTCTTTGATTTGTCTTTGTCCGCAAGTTTAGGTTTACGGGAGTTACAAAATCTGTAACGATCGTTAAATCTTGAACGGAAAAAAGGTTGTCTCCGGCGTGTGGGTGGTGTTTGGTACACACTAACCGGGGTCAACCCTCCATAGAGATCAATGGCGACGACGATGAAAGGCCTTCTTAAGGGCCTTCGTTACATTACTCAGATTTTTGGTGAGTCTCTCCTCATTATTTATCAATAAGAAAACAACAAACCTCTGTCTTTCTTGCGTCACAAGTCATAACAATCATTCTGTTATTACAGACGAAGAGAAAGAAGAGGAGATGAAGATAGGATTTCCGACAGATGTAAAACATGTTGCCCACATCGGCAATGATGGTCCATCCACCAATGCTCCAAGCTGGGTACGGTCTCATACATTTTTTACTTAATTTTTTTATACATCATCATCAACATCATCGTTACCAACTGCAGATGAATGACTTCAAAGCTCAAGAACATGAGCAAGGTCAAGTCGTTTCAAGAGGAAACTCCAACAAATACAACAGCCCTCAAGGTTCTTAGTTTTCTTCCTTTGTGTCTATCAAGATTTTTGATTGGTTCAGGAGGAATTGATGTGTGTCTATATGTCAACAGCCATGAACCAAAGTGGAGCAGGGCTAAAAGAATTGCTTCCTCCAAACACCAACGAGAAACAAAAACAGAAAACAAGGCGTCCAAACCATAATGGTTCTGCATCATCAGACGGATCAGTGAAGCAGTCAACAAGACATAGCAAAAGCAAACACGGGTCAGTAGACTCATCTAGTGATCAAGAACCTTCAGTACGTAGAAGGCGTGGTGGTAGCAAAGACACACAAGGTTCCTCAAGTAGTCTTCCTGATGGTTCAGCTCCACCAAGGAAGGATACATCACGACCGAGGAAAGTTAAAGGATCAATAGGAGGAGGAGAAGGGTCAGTGAAGAAATCACCAAAAGGAAAACAACCATAGAGTTCAGTTGTTGATGATACATGTAACGTTATTATCTGAGAAATAGATAAAAACAAAAAAAAAACATGAAATGTAACTTGTGAGGCCACCTCCATGTGAGGGTTTGTTTTAGTTTCTTGACTGATATCAAGAAAGGAAACAAAAACTGTCTCACAAGAAACCAAACACAGTTTCTGAAGAGGGAATGTACTAATAGAGATGAAAGAGCAGAAAAGAAATGCATATAAACCATGTAACCAATCAATGTTTTTTTTTATGTCTATTTTTTGCGAAGATCAATGCCAGCTTTTTTGGCAACAGCATCGAGACCGTTCTTCTCAATGGTCTTTAAGGCTTTAGTAGATAAACGGAGTTTGACAAAGCGTTTGCCAGCTTCCCACCAAACTTTCTTGTACTGTAGGTTTACGAACTGCAACTTCTTGGTCTTGTGGTTAGAGAAGGATACTTTGTTGGCTCTGTTTGCTTTTTTCCCAGTAAACGGACATATCCTCCCTGACACATACAAAAAAAAAGTTTCAAGAAAGAGAAGAAAAGAGGCATAATGTTTTCTGAATTAGAGATATTAAATCATTACTACAAGACGAGAAACTGGAGAAGCAGAGGACGCTGCAAAGTTTTTAAAATGAGACCTAATGAAGAATATGCAAATCAAAAGTGTTTACTATGCTGATGAAAGAAGAAGCAAATTCAAAATAATCATATCAACTACTAATATCTGTCACGAACTTTTTTTTGGGGCAGCATTAAACTCAATTCAAATGTCTTAGGGCACAAGACATTATGCAACACAACTTAAAACATTTTTTTTACAGACATTATCATTGCAGAGAATCAAACACACAGATACAAGTCCTACCATAACGATTCTGAACTTGCAAGAGAATCATATGAGGTAGGAGAAGGAAATTACTTGCGACAATTGGCTGAAGACGACTGGGAAATAAAGGAAGGGAGGAGATACGGTTGCTGACGTCAGTAGAGAGACGATGCGAGATTCTTAAGCCACTGAGCTGTGAAGTGACAAATCCGAGCTCCTTTAAAGTCACCGTTGTCCTAAGGATGAACTTCGGTGATGAGGTCATTTGTAATTGTAGCCATGCCCCTTGCGTCGCCATTGTCGTCATTTTTGGCTCTTCTGACTCTGCTTTGAGAGGATTTGGATAAAATGTAGAGGACTAAAGCTTCTTGCTCACGTAAAAGGTTATGTTCTGAGTAGGCCGGTTAATATAAAACCGGGACCTTAGCCAAAGAAGGTACGGTTTCAACTTTACTTCTTAGATTCTTGAATGCACAAATGTGATGGAGAACCAACATGATCAATCCCAACGATTACAAAGAGATTCTTAAAGAATCTCTGAACCAGGTTTGAACGGGTATGTAGGTAGACAAAATGAGAAGAATCAACCTGAATTTACATTATTATGATATAAAAATGTTACATATAATCAAAACTTGGCATCTCAACAATATCCAAAGCTGCAAAGTGTTGGAACAAGCAACGTTCGCCTGGCAGCAAACATCATCACCATTATCATCACTATCATACTAACTTTCCATACGGTGTAGGTATATCATCCTCTTCAAGCCGCACTTCAACGTGTGTTTTCTCTGCGGCGAGAATAGCGAGTTCTGTCATTGTATCTCGGTCTATCTTGAGCTCTCTGTGGCTGCGGCTCAACTCTCCTCTGCCTCTCTGGTGATCGTTGCACTATCTCTCCATTCACAAACAGCTCAGCTGCAAAGTCAGAAACAGAGCGATTAAGTAGATATTTAACCAGGAATTACAAGATCACTGTGAATGTTCTTTTTGATATGTATCTCTCTTAATTGAGTCTATTGCTTCTCAGATAGGAAGCGCACAGAGCAAGAAAGAGAGATTTTGGATGTCCGTCCATTAGCATTCAAAGTTAATCATTGTCCAAAAACGACTAATTAACTTTGCCAAGATGGACTTTTAATCTACATTTTTCAATGTCACGACAATGTTTCATGTTTTCATCTCGACCGGTCTGCACTTAAGAAGTCATAATTCGATGGAAGCCATTAGCACACAAAATAAATCACAGCCACAAGACTCCCTAACTTCGCTAAGATGGATTAAGAGAAGCATGAAGAGAAACAAGGGTTTCAATATATGTTTCATCTCAACCGGCCTGCAGTTAGATACAAATACTATACTGCCTATCTGCAAATATAGGCTAAGAGAAAATAGTTTCGTGTCAGTCCATTAGCATTCAAAGCTAATCATAGCTCAAAAAAAAAGACTCATTAGCTTCGCCAAGATGGACTGATAATCAAAAACTGTTTTCGTGTTTCAAGAGGTGAAAAGCACTCAAGAGTTGCATGCAACATATGTTCTCTTCTAAACAAGCTTGCAGTTAAATACATTTACTATCTATCTGCACATATTAGTTTAGTAGAGAAAATAGTTTCGTGTCAGTCCATTAGCATTCAAAGCTAATCATAACCAAAAAGACTCATTAGCTTTGCCAAGATGGACTAATCAAAAACAATGCTTTCATGTTTCAAGAGATGCACACACTGAGACTCGAGAGTTGCATGCAATATATGACTATATGTTCTCTTCTAAACCAGCCTGCAGTTATATACATTATTATCTATCTGCACATATTTTAGCTTAGAAGAGAAAATAGTTTCGTGTCAGTCCATTAGCATTCAAAGCTAATCATAGCCACAAGACTCATTAGCTTTGCCAAGATGGACTAATCAAAACAATGCTTTCATGTTTCAAGAGATGCACACATTGAGACTCAAGAGTTGCATGCAATATATGTCCTCTTCTAAACCAGCTTGCAGTTAGAAAGTATTATTATCTATCTGCACATATTAGCTTAGAAGAAAAATAGTTTTGTGTCAGTCCATTAGCATTCAAAGCTAATCACAGCCACAAGACTCATTAGCTTCGCCAAGATGGACTAATCAAAACAATGCTTTCATGTTTCAAGAAAGAAACACTGAGACTCAAGAACTAAAACCATACCAAAGCCGAGGATGAACAATTACCTCCATAATCTTTATTTTCAGGATCAACATAAGAATCTGGAAGCACAAACAGAACACCAGGCAAACCTGTCGTAAACAGAAAAAAAGAAAGAAACATTTAAATAACAAACTCTTTTAACATCAGTTAACAACACTAGCTAACATAAACTGTAAAGACAAGACCTTCAAGCTTAGTAGAAGTCTCTTCATCAATCTCACACCCAAACCCTAAATACCTCTCACAAGAAACATTATAAATCCTCTTCTTCGCCTCTTCCTCACTAAACCAAAAACCAAACAAAAACACAGAGTAAACACACAAAGACTCCAACTAGTTCAACACACATCAGCTAAACCTTTACCTTCCAACGACTTTAGCTAATGTTTGGACGTAACAATCAATCATCTCCTGCTTCGTCGCGCCTTCTCCGCCAGGCTTATCCATAACAATAAGCCAGTGCTCGTAATCACACCCTGGAAACAGAGGCGCCATCTCCGTCGGAGGCCGGTCGCTGAAGTTAGACCCGGAGTTCAGCGGCGAGTAAGCTGAGCCTGAACGGTTAGCTTGGCATCGGATTGAGACGAACCGTGACGAACAAGCTAACGGATATTCAAATCTAATGTTGTGAACATAGGAAGGAGTTCGAGGAGGTGGAGCTAAGGTGGCGATGGATAAGAGAGAGCGCGTGAGGTGGCGCGTGCCGGATATAGGCAAGGACATTGTAGGAAGGTAGGCGACTGAAGGAAGAAGGTGGAGGTTTTAGTGTGTGGATAGGGTTTTGGTGTGATTAATTTATATTTTGCTTTCTTTATATTATGAAAATTATATATGGGCTTGAGGCCCATTAAATTTAGGCCTTCGCAAATTATCCAGATGTGAAGTCCCAACAAGGGTTTTTATCCGAACTCAGTGAGCCGAATTGGATCCAACATGAGTACATGGTTTCAATGTCTGAGGATCCAGACCAACCTCTTTCTGAGACGTTGACACAAGTTGTAGCGCTCCTGCAGACACAACACCTCTCGGCAGACACAACACAAGATCTTGGGACTGTGAAGTTTCCTTTTTTGGCACGCCAAAAGGTAAATTTTCTTTTTTCGATTAAGGAAGAGAGTAGTTTTGTATGGAATCTCCAAATGGTTTATAACAGATACGGCTACTTCTGCCGCCAAGAAACTCCTTAAACTAAAAATCATCCAATCAGAAACTCAGAGCAAGAATCATAAAATGAATATTCAAAAGAATGAATACAACAAAGAAAGAAAGATGAATAATGATAATATGGAGGAGTTATTGTTAAACACACAAATAATAAATAAGCACGCAAACTTCAAAAACTACAACTTCATAGGAAATACTGAAAACAACTTATTAAGAAACTAACAAAATAGATAATCCAGCGCATGTCGACCTCCTTGCTAAACCGCAGCAGTACAGCGGAGAGAGGATGTTTCAAAGGTCAGGAAACAAAACCACCATCATTGTAGTAGTCTTGATTCCACCAATCACTGTTGTTGAGCTTGTCTACCATAACCTCCGCCATATCCAGCTTGCCCATTCCCTAGGGGATTCCCATATCCTCCAGACCCATCTGAAACATCAGCATAACCACCAACGCCATGGCTGTTAGGCCGCCCACCGACTGCACCATAACCAGATTGAGTTCCATAAGAGGACTCATTTCCACCGTAGCCATATCCCTGACTGCCATAACCAGCAGCTGCACCTCCTTGACCCATTACTGCTGAACCTGGACCAGACCCGCCCCAAGGAGCAGCATTTCCATATCCCACGTTGTTACCGTAACCTGATGGTGCTCCTTGACCTTCCCATGAAGGTCTCGGACCACTTCCAAACCCAGCTCCAGGGCCACCAGGATTCCCATAAGCCGCACCAGATGGATTCCCATACCCTCCAAAACCTCCATAACCTCCACCGTTGCTTCCATAACCATAACCAGTACCATATCCAGAAGCACCGTAAGGAGGATAACCACTTCCAGTGTTTTGAGGCTGCATATATCTATTGGAATCAACACGACCCTCATACCCACCACCTCCACCAGAACCACCATATCCCGGGAAACCACTACTACCGCGACCACCACCTCCGGTTAATCCAGGATTAGCATCTTTAGGAAGAGCTCTCTTAACTTCCACTTGTTTACCGCTCAAATCGTGGTAAGTCTTGTGTAAAACAAGGTCAACCGAATCTTCAGAGTCGAATGAAACAAACCCAAACCCTCTAGGACGTTGTGTAGCCTGGTCAATCATAATGACTGCATCACTCACAGGGCCGTAAGTCTCGAAGTAAGCCCTAAACTCATCTGACGTTAAAGCAGGAGGCAAACCACCAACAAATATCTTCTTAGTCCTCACGTTAGCTCCACTATCAAAACTCCTATTACCATTAAAACTCCCTTGTCTCCCACCAGGACTCTGCTCGTCTCTAGACATTGCTCTCTTCACATCAACCTAATATAACATTTAAGTTAAAGCTTGAATTTTTAACAGCAACTAGAGAAAACCCAATTTAGAAACAAGAGAAAGTTTTGAAATTTTTACATCTCTATTATCGATATGGTGCTTGTCCTGAAGAACTCTATCGATAACGGCGGGATCGGAGAACGCGACGAAGCCGAATCCTCTGGGACGACCTGTAGCTTTATCTCGCATGACAGTAACCTGCAAAACCTCTCCGAAATTGCTGAAGTATTCTCTTAGGAGATTCTCGTCTGTTTCCCACGAAATCCCGCCGATAAAGAGCTTTCCTTGATCTGAATCCATTACTTAGGCTATCTGACGCCCGAAATGAAGAGCCCGAGATTCGAACACCGGTTGAATCCCTACCGGTGAAGAAGAAGAAGAGGAAAGGAGGTAGTGTCACGAGAAAATTAGGGTTTGGAATTGTGAAATCAGGTGAGAGAGAGAAGAGGAAGAAACAGGATGTAGTAGCGGCCCATTGGGCTGAAAGAGAGTGAAAGAGAGCAAACTTTAAATTGCTTGTAAACATTAAGCCCAAAATTAAAGATAACATAACATGAGTAAAAACTAAAAAATAAGATAATGTTATTCAATAATGTATTTTAATAAATTTTAAATCTAAACACAATCTATTGTTAGTTAAATGATAATTTCAAATTCTATTTTAAAATCTAGTATTATTCAATGAATGATTTAAATTTAGTTTTTCAAATATTAGTGTTATTCAAATTTCAAAGATTTCAAAATTCTTTGTATTTTAAATTGATTTCAAATAATTTCCTATGGTTTCTCATGAACAAATGACTGAATTCAAAATCCAAAACATATTATAGAGATTTTATAGTTACAAAACATTAATAATTGATTTAAAAACACTCATAGAATAACACCCCCTAAACCATTAGGCATACCACATTGAAGTTTCTAATAATTTATCCAACTCAGTTCATTTCATAAAATTGCCAGCATTTTCCCTTTTCTTTACCGAATATTTTTCATTTCATTAAAACAGCATCAGGATAATGGCTGCAATAACTGTTTTTTGTCTTTTCGTATTAAATAAAAAATAGACTAACGGCATAAACTCCGTGAGGGTACCGTCACTATCATCTTTTCTGAGATCCCCAACGTTCCTATTTCTATTCAAACACATCAAAGAGGCAAAAACATAAATAAAACAAAACTACCATCACTCTTTGTCAGTCTTCCTCTCACTCTCAATAATCAAAACCGAAACAGGAGAAACATCACCACCAATGGGATGTTTTATGGGCTGTTTCGGTCTCTCTAACAACAAAAAACGCAGAAACTCCACCAGGAAGATCCTGCCTCGACATCAAGTAAGCTTCTCTTTAACTTTTCTCCAATAAATCAAAAGAACTCTCTTTCTTTCTATTCTTAGAACTCAAACACTTACTCTTGCAGAGAATCTGTAGCTATGAGCCTCTACTTTCTTCAGATCCGTTAGATGCAAGTACAGTTTCAGATAACCCGGAAAAGATCTTGAGTTCGAACCTCAGGTCAGTCCTTCTTCCGTTTACTATGTTCTAGGATTTGGATTTACTCAAAAAATGATACCTTTTTGCTCTGAGGTTATGAAACATGTGGATGTATTGTGTCAGGTGTGAAGTGGAGACAGAGGAGAAGAAAGGAGCAAACAAGACGAGAAAGAAAGTCAGATTTGACTTGAATGTACAAACCTTTGAACCTGTTCCACCTTCAAGATATGAGAACTATTGCAGTGATGATGAAGATGGAAAAGGAGAACTAAGCAAGGCATCTTCAGTGGATCTGTCAAATAGTTCTGTGTATCCTTCGAACTATAGATACCACAATTGTGTTGATAGTTTTGAGGATGAAGATGAATTGGGCTATGAAGAGAGTGATTTGGAGGATGAAGACTATTACACAGATGATGAAAATGACTATGAAGATGATGCTGATGATGAAGAGGAAGAGGAAGAGGATTATGAGGACAAGGACGTGACACCTCTTTTGAATCCAGTGGAGAATATCACACAGTGGAAAGCTGTTAAAGCAAAGCCACTAAGAGCTAAACAGCTAATGAAGGAGAACAATGATGATCAAGCAAAACCGCTGCAGAAGGAGATAATAGTCAATACTAGCCTTTCAAGTTGGATATCACCATTTGTGGATATCACCAACATGGAAAAGAGGTAAAAGTGGTGAAGAAGGAGAAGAAACAGTGTGTGTTTGTTATTTGTTTTTATAGCCTTTCTGATTCTTTGTGTGTGTAAGGATATGATTATGATTTGTTTATTTTTTTTTTTCCACTGGTTGTTTTCTGCAACTAAATCTTGATAAAAGTTGTGATCCTTTCAACGTTTTTTTGCATTTGGTGTGGAGAACTTACAATGTTGCAGAAAGACATACATAGTTGTTTACTATCAAAACCTGTCAAAAATCAAATAGCACTCAAGTATTTGAAGATCAGCCTCTGTTGAACAATAAAGAAGTAATCTGTAATATATATACTCTCTCACTCCTGTGACTGAGATGTGACGATTGGATATATAGGAGTCTACATCCCTTGTTTGAACTGGATTCTTGACACAAGTCCTGAGCATAAAATCAGATTGTGATGTTCACTCTCGCTAATGTTAGTTTCTTCTGTCCTCACAAAAACTGTTTGCTGAAAAGAAGCCAACGAGCTCATTGTTATAAACTCCATGTTATATGGTGGGTTTGTTGTGGGTTTCTGAAGATTACATAATTGTGCAGATGCAGGAATCTGAATCATCGTCTTCTGCATCGCTTACTTCGCTGCAAACATAAAATGGAAGCAACAGTAAGCAATGAAGTAACTGTTTTCAATTGTAAAGGAAACAAACAACAGTCTAGGAGAGAGAGAGTTAGTTCTTGAACACGAGATAAACCAGTTCACGAAATGAATAAGCCGGTAGTTAGTTCATAATCTTTAAGTGATTTTCGCTAAATTCAGCTTCCACAAGCCCCAGATTCATGAAAGAAGCAGGCCTTAGAAAATTATTTTATGTATCACAGTTAGTGAACTAAACACAAACGCTAAATTTGCAACCAGCTGTTTGTTTGGAATACAAATAAAGGCAATGAGCTATATGAGAAAAGGCAAACCTAAGTCTTTCTTGTAGACACATCAACAATAACATTTAGCTAAACTAGTTCCAGGTAACAAGAATTTTTCTCACCATTCCTAACCAAAAAGGCCACTACCTAGAGATCAAGAAGAGCAATCCAAAACCACAGATCAACCTAACGCTAATTATAGTAATCCTGCCTATGTGAAACTGTTACCTAACATACACGCAGCAGAGAGAAGACCAAATAAACAAGATGGCCAATCAAAAAAAATCAACAGAGATTATTGTTCCATATGATTATACCTTGGTTCATAAACTAAAACCTCAGCAAGATTATCTCCTTTGTTATCATTCCACTGAACAGTCCTCTTAATCTTGTCAGTACTCCTCGACATACCTCCTTTCCTAGGAGGCGGCAATAAACACTGTTTCTCACTTTCTTCTTCTTCTTCTTCCTCCTCCTCACAGACTTGATCCTCAACCTCACTGCTCTTTAGACTAACAACAACACCCTTGTTATTACCATCCTCACATCCATTGGCTTCTTTAGCCTCTCCACAAGTCGTATCCATAAGACAAATCAAAGCAACACAGAAATGGAACGTAGACCCAAATCCAAAACAATCTGGAGAAGGCAAAAGTTTCTTCCTTTCTTTCCTAATTCATGTCAAATACAATCCACCTGAAGCAGCACGATTTGCACCAAACCCTAATCACCAAAAAAGCAAAAGTCAACGATTTGAAGCAAAACCCAGATCAAGATCCGAAAACTGAAGATGAGAAGGCGTTTACTTACGTAATTCACGGTTTCTCCGGAAAAGAAAAACTGAAACTTTCTCGGGAAAGTTGAGATTTTTGAGAAGGATTAACGTAAACAGAGAAACCCTTTAATCTTAATCAGCAGAAAGTTTGAGAATCTGACCAATCCAGAGACCTCAATTTTCCCAATTGTTGTTCTGATCAAAAGGGAAAGTTGAGAGGATTGAAATCTGGGAGAGACGACGCGTTTCTCTGTTCTGATTGGATGCTGACAAAAGCGAATGAAAAAGTCGTTAAAAAATGAATTCTACGGCTGAGATTTAATGTGAGGTTTTTGTAGATCAGATTAAAGGCTTGATTGATGCACGGTAGGTAATCTCGTTATGAGTTTCATTAATCTGGTCGTTGACTAATCAGTTTTTAATTAGTAAACTTGTAATATTTTAATGGATTAGTGTTTTTTTTTCTTTTAAAATTACGACTTAATAGTACAACTTGTTTTTTTTTTTGCTTAAGACTTGCAAGTACGACTTGCGGAGCTATAATTTAATTTAATATACTTTGAATTTGTCATAAGAAGTTAACAACCAAATTTGTAGAAATATATTTTAAAATTTTGATAATCTTTACGGTGACGACTAGCATTTAAGTTTTAAAATTATCAGGAAAAGAAAGTTTAAGGCGATATTCAACGGGTTGTTATTTTACAAGTTTTATCATCCAAATGAGTTTATATTTTAGTATTAATGGTCATCATACAAAGATAGCGGATAAGTTTTAATGTTTTTATTTTAATTTGTGTATATAAGAATATATATCTTGATTGTGAATTTGTAGAGAATATATATGTATATTATCTATAGCTATATATATGCCTATATACAGTGACCACTCTTTTACTCTAAGCAATCCAACATCGAGGTGGGGATAAAGAAGAATTGTGAATATGTTATGTTAGTGAAGTCAGAACCATTCGACTCGTGTGAAACCGACGCATAATCATACATCTATGTAATTAACGTGGATTACATTTCAAGAACTGCTTTTTACCGGTAATGTCGACAGAGGAAATAAACAAATCATTATTGTTCTCTAACAGTAGTAGGAATTGTGAGTGTTTTTTAAGAGACACACTAGCTAGTTAAAAAGAAAAAGAAACACACCAGCTCAAATTAATAATCAAAGACTAGTGGTTACAAATATCAGATATTCGACGGTTTAATTATATAAGACAAGACATAGTACCAAAAGTTAGAATCTAAGCTTTCATACTTGGACTATAACTATTTCATTAGATTCTGTTTTGTATGAACCAGATTAAAATGATTGCTTAAGAACCAGATTAAAATGATTATAACTTTAGAACTTCCATTTTACTCAACCTCCAATAACTCTCACACATACAAACAAACCAAACGCACTTAGAGGCCACACATAAATACACATACATATATATGCTACGATCATAGACATAATATTACAAATGATAAACAAAAAATTATAAATTCTTTTTTTCCTCAAGTTTCTTCCGAGCTCTTTTAAGAATGGCATATCTGGGAAGATCATCTCCAACATTAAAAGAAACAATCCTCAAGATATACCGGTAAGACACACGCACACAACTCCTCTTTAATAATCCGGTTCTACTTCATTCCCTGTTTACTTATCTTTTCGCACCTAACCAACTTTTCCGGTCTATCGGTTGAGATTGTTTGAATTTATTTTGCCGGTATACAGTCCTACTATAACGTTTCACAGTATTATAATGTTTCATTGTCCTCAATTCATGGCAGTGCTGAGAAACCTATCGAGATGGATCAACATTTCTATGAGTTTGGTTCGATTCAATATCACATCAAGGTATAGTTCTACAAAAATGGTTAGATGTCTATTACAGAAAACATAAAATAAATAATTTGGACATGCAGTGCTCCATTTCGGATCCAAATATTGTCTATGTATCGACGTTGACGTTGCTTGAGACACAAGGAACAGTGATGTTAAAGGAGATGTCAAGTCACACTTACGAGGTGATTAAGAATATTGCAGTTGGTGTGATAGATATTGTAGATCCACCAAGAGTAGGGTTTCAGTTGACCCTTAAGCTTCATCTTGATAATATTCCACGTGGCAAAGGTAAGCGTATGCTATTGTATTCCTTATTTTTTGTAATGATCATGCAATATACTAAATATATATCTTCAATAATATCAACTGAATTACACGGTAGTTGTTTTCTACACTTAATTATATAAGTTTTCTTCATTCTTACTCCTTCAACTGCAGAAGCGATTATAACCATTACAAGGATTTCTGAAATACAAGCGATAATACTAAGTAGCCAATTAAAAGAGATGCTAAAAAGTTTGAATTTTCAAGATGATTCACAAGCGATGAACAGCAACAGACCCATCAGGATTGTTTATCACCCAAGTGAACCTTTTTACGTCTCTAGACAGGTTTAATTTCCCGTTGTTGTTTTTCCATGTATGATTCATAAAGTAATTAGGATAACTCTTTTTTTTTTGTGCAACGGAATTAGGATAACTCTTGAATGTTTTTTCAGCCGGAGAAAATTACGGCGGTGTTTCCAATGAATTTTAAAGACAACTCCGATGTAGTCATTGCTATGTCATTCTTCCAGGTACACATGATCACTGTGAGCACTGAGAAAGTGTAGTCACTGGGATAAAAATGTCAAATGGTAAATCAAAAATGAAAATGAGTTATCCTTTTTTTTCGAAACAGAGTTATCCAATTAATTAGAATTGTATTATAAAAGCTAGGAAAAGTAATTAGTTTTAAATAAAAAAAAATCATCAGCTCATTTATTTTTTATACGAAAGAGTAAAAAGTTGAATATATAATTAAAACATGGGGCAAATGAAGGAAGGAACAATTAGTTATAGACTTCAAAATTTAATAACATTTTAACTAGCTCAAAAATGCGAAGCAAACTATTTTATTAACGGCTGAGTAATCAGAAAATACTTGAAACATATCATAGGCATCAAATACCATTAGTCAAATTTGGCTTTGAGTATTCAAAATAAATTAACATCCAAGAAGGATAAACAACTTTTTTGTATTTGAATGAAATACATAATATATTGTGTTCAAATTTAAAATAGCAAGTTTATCTCTTATCGAAATTTTCAATATTTGAGAAAAACAGGAACTAGTGGAAGTGGGAAGCCAAAAAGAAATGGGAAAGGCACCACAATGTAGTTGGTCACCAGTTCCTCCTTTCCAACTTAGAGGAGAACCGGTCCACGACTTAATCACCAATGCTGGTTTTGTCTCTTTTGGTAAATTTAAAACCCTTTAATCTTTTTATTAGTTTCAACCTTTCTAATTAGTATTATATTCACGAGTTTCAATCTTGTTGTTATTGCAGATATCACTTCACGGCATGTTGAAGGGAAGAGACTAGACAAAACGGTTTGGAATTTACTAAATTTCTATGCATACGTTAAATACCATATTAAGGTAAATATTTATGACTTTTATAGAAGAAAAAATTAATAGATTTTATATACTTTTAAACTGAAATTCCCAACCTCTTATTGGTACTTGGCTTCTTGGTAAAATAGTGCTCAAGAGGGTACATACAGAGAAGGATGAGAAAAAGAATGGAAAGTTTGGTGAAGGTAGTTTAATCATATTACGCACACATGAATTCACAACAAATAATATAATTTTGATATACAATAAAACTTATTTTAGTAAATTTTAACTATATAAGCAGCAGTTAAATAACACAAGGCTCGAAGAAGAAGCTCCTGAAAAGGGTATTCTTTTATCTTATTTTAGTTTTATTGCCTCTTATAATAGTTTTTTGACATTTATTTTACATGGATATTATTGGTAATTATTTTACATGGAACTTATAGAAAATGGGGGATGCAAATACGTAAAGGAGCTTGTGAAGGTACCAAAAGGAAAATTTATGATGCAACAAAGATGCAAGGATATGACAAGGAGGGTGAGGATAAGTAAATTCCGGATCAGAATCAACGGATGTGCTCGATTTCGGTGGATATCTATCCCCAAATTCTCTTCGAAATTCTCAAATAAATCATACACAAAACTGGACTAATTGCAATCTCGTAACTACTATATAAACATGTTTGCACACACACACATATATATGTAATTTTAGATTCATTATATTACGACAATGCAGCAAAAGTAACGAAGAGACAATGAATGCATGCATGTTACGTAAGAGCTATATTGTTTTGCACCCCAAAAAAGAGCTATATTGTTCAAGTGCCATGTACATCAATCAATCTTCTGTGATTCTCATTTTACGTTATAATGTTCAATTTATTTATTTTGGGATACATTTTTTTTTGTCTCTATTTTATTATGTTACCAAAACCTCGTCAGGACGCAATACATTCACTCATTTAACTTGTAATTGTAATCAGCCAAAATGGGACAAAAAAACATATCAGCAAAACACTACTCTTAAGCCCGATTCGATTTCTACATGTATGGACTAAATCAGCGGTTCCTGATCACGTGAATAGAACCACACACGTGGTCACATTGCTCGTTCTTTTTCTCTTGTGACCGATGAACTCGTGAACACACGTCTCCACCATTTCCAAATCGTGCCCAATACTCCCATTTTCTTCCATATAAAGCACCCAAAATTTTAGTTTCCATAGGACACCACTTTTTCCGAAGAGTATTAGGACACGTCGGCGGCATTGGATACTTACCTTTAGAGTCATAAGTTCAAATATGTTGGGACATGTTATGTTCAATCCGTAAAGCTAAAATTTAATATATGTTGTGAAATGATGTAAAACAGAGTTGGTTCTAACTTGCTATCACCATTATTACCGACTTGAGACAATGTCACAAACCCTGAAAGTTGTGGATGTTCTTAGTTATTCAAGATTCTTGTGAAGGACAAGGAGTGGTTCTTGTCCGAAGAAGCTATAAGAGAATGCTTGAAGTTGGATGTAATGGGAGCTCTTGTAAGTATTGTAGAAGGGGATAGTGATTATCGCAGCGGGTTTATATGACATGTGAGTTTTCAAACATATCGTATAATATTTTACCTTTCCATTATTTTTAGAAAATAGCTAGTCTATGGATTGTGTCAAGTAAAACAAGAAGGGGCAACAGTTTTGTATAAGATAATTAAAGTCTTACACATGTTACATTTTAATACTAAATGAAGTAATATCATATTCTAGTTTGTTTTTGCTTCTAATATGAAAACTCATTAATTAGGACGATGTTTTTTTCGCCGACCTCTCTCGTAATAAAAATGTGATTCATTTGAACGAACCAGAAGTCACCACGTGCATGGCCCATATTCGATGTGATCATGTTTGCTTTGTCCTTTTGATTTCTCTCAACTCCTCACACCACATAATTAAGACACGTGCCCCTCTTCAATCATGATCTTTTATATCGTTTTACTTATAAAAAGAAAGTAGCACGAACCAACTTTCACTACAGTGTCCATCTTTTACAAAAGAAGAAACTGAGAGCATCTTCAATTATTAGCACTTACAGAAGAGAGGGAGAATGGGAGACGCGTCAGAAGCTTTTGCCACGACGGCGCCGTTAGCTCCGGTGACCAGTGAGCGAAAAGTACGTAGCGACTTGGAGGAAAAACTACCAAAGCCATGTAAGTGGTCATTATATAAGTTAAAGACTTAACCTTATAGAAAATTAACTGAAAATATTAAGAGGATCAAAAATATAAAAATCAGATTTGGCAAGAGCACTAGTAGCACCAGATACAGATCATCCGAATGGAACAGAAGGTCATGACAGCAAAGGCATGAGTGTTATGCAACAACATGTTGCTTTCTTCGACCAAAACGGCGACGGTATTGTCTACCCTTGGGAGACTTATGCTGGTAAGTAGTTACTCTTTTTATAACATTTTTTGTAACTTCGTTAAAAAGCAATCAAATATTTATTTACAAGGTTAACAAAACCATTTATTTACCACAAGTATTTTGAATTTTTTTTGCAGGATTCCGTGACCTCGGTTTCAACCCAATCTCATCTATCTTTTGGAGCTTAATCATAAACTTAGCGTTTAGCTACGTTACACTTCCGGTATGGGAAACAAAACCTTATTCAGACCCTTAAAATTAAATTAAATTACTAGTAATTTATATGATAGATATGTGACATATCCTATGGTGTTAATGTGTAAATAGAGTTGGTTGCCATCACCATTATTGCCTGTTTATATCGACAACATACACAAAGCCAAGCATGGGAGTGATTCAAGCACTTACGATACCGAAGGAAGGTAACATTTATTCAAACACACGAAATCATTTAAAAAAAAAAATTGCGATACTCAATTAGTAAAATCTCGAGATTATAGGTATGTCCCATTTAATCTGGAGAACATATTTAGCAAGTACGGGCTAACGGCTCCGAATAAGTTAACATTCAAAGAGGTGTGGAACTTAACCGAGGGAAACCGAATGGCAATCGATCCTTTTGGATGGTTAGTACCAAAAACATTCTTGGTTCTTAGCTGAATATCCGGTTAAATCGAAATTAAATAGGTCGGTTTTGTGGTTTGGTTATGGCAGGCTTTCGAACAAAGTAGAATGGATACTACTGTATATTCTTGCAAAGGATGAGGAAGGGTTTGTGTCTAAAGAAGCTGTGAGAGGTTGCTTTGATGGCAGTTTATTTGAATATTGTGCTAAGAAGAATAAAGAGAAGGCCAATTCTCGCAAGCAAGACTAAGGAGTTTGTTTATCTTTTGTATAAATAAGTGTGTAGTATTGTATTTGCATCCTGTTATTATTCTTAAGCTTCCGGTCTTGGTTTGGGAAAAAAAATCAATGTGGAAGGTAACGTTTGTGTGTCTATTTGTGTAAACCTTGTTGAACAAATAAATGAGATTTTCATAAATCATTGTACTATTTGGTTATGTAACTTTCACTTTATCTAGACCAGTGCTTGACTAAATTTTAAAGTTTCTAAATTCTTTAGAAATGAATTAACAGTCATATAACAGAACGAACAACAAACTGCAACTTATGCAAACAAACATAGCTAATATAAAGAAAGCTATAATGTCAAAATCGGAAGTCAGAATTTACATTGCACACAAACCTTTAGAAACAAAATAACACATCAAACAATACCAAACTTACAAATGATTTCAGGTCAAGAGACATTTTCTATAAAAAAATATATTAAATAGAAAACGAATAAACTAAGAAAATAATTATTAACTCAAGAACCTGCTGAAATTACGAAGGCTGAGTTTTTGCCTATCTTTACTTTGTGCAAATCCTCTCTTTAGCTTAGTTAAGCTTCACTACACACTTCCCTGACAACCATGGCCTAAGTCTCTGACTCTGGCTATGAACATATGCCAAAGCCGTTGAAAAAGACTGCAACACAGACATCTTTGCTTGAAACTGGACGAAGTAAAGACCCTCTCTTACACTCATGATCCTTAGTCCAGGAATCCCCTGCTTTGATGATCCCTGAAAACAACACACAAGAATTAAACAAAACCAAAATGACAAAGATTGAATCTTATAGGTATGGTAAATGGTTCTTGAATGTTACCTCTGTGTAGAGCTCAAAGAGAGTGCATTGACCTTCACTTTGGTCTTTTTTAGCCTGACCTTTGAAGACGGTCAAGGGACAACCTAAGTCCCATCCAGAGCAATCACAGCTTCCTCCAGACTTCCATCTCTCAACCAAGCTCGAAGGACCATCACCGTTTCTGTTTCTTGGCCCTCCGTGAATCCCTGAAGGAATCACAACATCTATGCTTGTTGTTGAGTGCTTAGAATCTTCATAACCTTTCTTGGTTCTAGCCAAGGGGGTCTTCTTGAGAAACTTCATGCCCCAGCCTCCAGCTTTCTCTTCCTCGTTTACTTCCTTGAGAAACTGCTCTCTCACAACAACAGCTGAGGCTTCAAGGTTTGTTGGTAGCTCGTTATCTAGCAAACTCACAGGTTCAAGATCGTGTTCAGGTTCTTGAAACGGCTCCCAAGAACATAAATCAGTAATGGAGCTTGTTCTACTGAATCTTGAGATGCTTCTTTGCCTTGAACCGCGTTTGAGCGCATCAACGACTTTCTTAGACAATCCTCTGTGTTTCCTGTTCTCGTTGTGGCCTTGTAACTGCTGATTCCCACCGTTACTGAACAGAACAAACTGTCTCTCTACGATCTTTTCATTAGTGGATGAGACAGAGAGCAATGTTGATACCTTTAGCTTACCAACCAACTCAGAGACACGGCCTTTCTTCAAATGGATCAAATAAGAATAGTCTAGAGAGCTACGGTCAAAACCAACAACACTGCTTAAGCTAGCTACATAGATCTCTTTCTGATCATCCAATGAGAAAACAAAACTAGGCGTCTTGTTGTCTTTCATAGTGAACTGAAGCGTTCCTTGAGAAACCATTGAAGAAGACGGTGACCAACATGAAGAAGACTGCTCAGAAGAAGAAGAAGAAGAACTCATTGAGTTTGTACTCGATAAAGAAACACCATTATCATCTTCAAGGTTGTGTAACAATGGTTTATCAATCATATGCGTAACCCTCTTGCAACCAGTAATCACAGGGCTAATCACTACATTCCCTGAATCATCAACCAAGGGAAGATCAAACACAAGACGAGCAACATTCTCTTTAGGGATCATAGTTGAGTCAAAAAGATATGAAGAACTCATAGAAAGGCTGCAACTAGCTGACTTAAAGGCACTGATGTTAATCAACTCGAGACATCTACGGAGATACTTCTCGTCTAGTGACACCAAATGCCTAGGGATCTTGCTATCAAAGAAGCTAGTGGCGCGTGAGAATGAACCTCTTGGACCGTTTTTAACAATGTGTAGCCATTTTCCGCTGTTTGAAACTAAACTACATTGCTGTCTTTTCTGACTCAACAAGACAGGGAGATTCTCTTTAATCTTCAATGAATCTTCAAGCTCAGAATCATCTTTCAGAGCATCAGGAGGAGTAAGACTTCCCATTATTTGCTAGCTAAGTTGAAATCAACACCGAAACAAAACTCAGTTTCCCATCATATCAGATAAAGACCACTTCCAAAGTATCTGAAAAGACAAACATGAACAGGATAAGTGAGAAGTACTAACAAAAGATTAGTACAAGACCATTTTTAATACTCTCAAAGTGTGCAAAGAATCTACTGGTCCAAAACAAAAGGTCAGATTCAAGACACTCTCTGAAGGCTACAAAGGAAAGATTTTTTCTTTTATGAAAAGTCAAGGTTTTTAAATATTTTTACCTAATCTCTTACCTAAAAGGCAATTAAAAAGCTAAGAACCCTACAACAAATTGACAAATTAAAAGAAAAGCTTGGATTTTTAGATGGAACCCATTAATTGAATTAGAGAAAAAAGGACTAAAACTTTAAATGGAGTTTTTCAAGCTCAGAGATATGAACACTGAAGGATTTTTGCAATCTACTCAAGTTTAATGACAAGAAAAAAGTACAAAGAACAGAAGTTTACTCAGGATTGACATAGTAGAAGCTTGTCTGAAACACTTAAGCTGATTCAGAGTAACAAGTAACTGCTAATGCTCAATTAGGAAGTAAAAAAAAAACATAAAACTGATCCAGTAAAAAGAGGAACACAGAAGCTAATTAGTTTATGCAATAAGACACAGATATCTTTTAAAAAAAGACAAATCTTTCATTTAATTTTCTTTGTACCTGAGTAAGAAATAATAGATCGGAGAGATTCTCCTTGGCCAATTCTGAATTTCTTCAGAGTCTCCAATGTTGTTACTAAGAGAAAAGAATAATCAGATCCTGTTTTATGAGTGGGAATATAAGAAGAAAGTGGGAGAAGCTTGGAAGCAAGAGTTCTTTGTTCAGAGAGAAAGATGGGTGTTTTAGTAAGGCACGTTAATGTCTGAATAGTACCAATGGAGACGATGGAAAAAAAAAAGGAACAACTTTTTTTTTCTGGGTGTGTGTGTGTATGTGAGAGACTTGACTATGGCCAGGCCACACTAGTAAAGAATAGAGGGTTCTTACAATGTGGGGCCCCACCTCGTTGTGTGTTTTTTCTCTGTTGGCAAAAAAGCTTGAGATTAAGGGTTTTTTTTTGTTAAAAGTGGAGATTGTGGGAAGGGATTAGGAAGTAAAAGTGAATGTGAGCTGAGCTGGTGGGCACGATTGAGATAGAGAGAGGGGAAGGTGGTGGTGGTGAATGGGTGTGATGGCTACTCGTTAGCAGAAAAAGATAGAGAGAGTAGTGAATTTATAAAGAAAGTGCTCACATTAATACCCCCATTTTCTTCCATCCACTTTTTTATTTTTATTTTTAATTTTTCTCCTTTTTTCTCAATTTATTCAGTTTTTACCAATACCAGTTATCTCATTGTTATTGGAGAATTTAACTTCTATAAAACATCTAATAACGCCTTACTATTTTTAATTTTACAACAACAAATAAGTATATGATATTGTAAGTTCAAATACCAGAGAACACAATGTTTTACTATTTTCTAACAGGGGAGAGATATTTTCTCAGCGGTGATTGGTTCACTATCTTTAAAGAAACCATTAAGAAGCAACCATATATATGAATGATATCACATGCAACCACCTCTGTTTATAACGTATTCAACCGAGGATGGCAAACATTAAACTCGTATAGATCAAACCTTTAACGCTAATCTCCTAAGCATCCCATATGTGCATGATTTAGATGAAGATCTTAGGACAAACCGAGGATTAATCATGAGATCGAGTTGATAGTACTTACATAGAGAGGAATATGGATGTCGATGAGACTGAGGATGGCAATGAAAAAAAAGCTTATGGATATGTTTATGAGGTTGATTGTAATTAATTATTGGAGCTTTTCGGTTGTATTTACAAAAAAAAAAATAATACATATCTACACACGTTATATTTTATCTACACATCTCATATATTTATTTTACCAATATTTTGTAGGTTAGTACTGCTAAATTTTATTTGTTCATTAGTTATATTTTTTATACATGGGACCAGTGGGTTAGAAAAGGACATAAATGGACTAATCATCCTAACGTTTAGCTAGGCATATAAAGAAGAAGTTTGTTATAAGCATGTAAGTATATCTCAACAAATTTCCTAAATCCTCTAGTTTGTTTGTAATTTTGTCGTTCTTTTAATTTTAACAAGATATGTGCACACCATATACAAAAAATAGCACTAAATTGTGTGTTAACATCTTTAAAATCATCCATCAATTCAAGCAAGTTCCTTAAAGTTATGCATGTGTTAGGAAACCGGTAGGTTTTCAATTAGTGGTCTAATGGAAAACGGACTTGTGATATGGTTAGCTCCGTGTACAATAATGGGTATAATTTAACTATCAGATTATTTGAAAATCTTAAAACAAACTCTACAATACATATTTCGCCTTTCTAAAAAAAATTATACATGATTGGAGTCTTTAGAACATGTATTGATATTTTATTTAAGAATATTTTTATATAAAAATGAGAATCTATGGACCAACCAACAAATTGACAAGATTGTTTTGTCTCATACCAAGCCGTGAGCTTGCGGCACATGATTGAGTCTCGACCATTTTGTTGCTTCTTCAGTTGCATTTTCGTATTTAATTTATATTCAAAATTCAAACATGTACGCCTCTCCATATAATACTATAGTTAAAATTAGTCCACTATTTATGTGTTTTATTCTTCTTGAAGGTCGTAAATGTCAGCTCAATTATTCATCTAGAACATCATATGCTAGTAAATATACATCTATATGACATTAAATATTCGTGTAAACTGAATCGACCTAACCAATTTGAAAACTGATGCCCCGGTTTGTATATAATCTAATAATCTTCTCCACCAAATCCGGTCCATATGTTTGCACTAACCGCATAAACGTTTTTTAAATGTGAATAATTAGACTAATTCGTGAAGGCTTAACCATAATTCATGTTTTCTCATGCATGTGATTCAGTCAGTTTATTTGTTTTTAATAGTTCGTTTGTTTGTCTGGTCTGAAATTGTTATTTTGTAGTACACGTGTAGGTGTTGTGGAAAATAAGCTAGAAAAAGATTCGAAGCTGATAAGAATGTGTCATAACCAAGTTGTGTGAGTCTATTTTCTATAGATCGAGATGTGATATTAGTTACTATCTCAATTATCAAAAAACTATGACTCAGACTTGAAACCGTATATCTTATATTAGTTTCGGTACAAGTATTATTTAATCCTCTAATCTCCTCTAGTTGCATATTATACTTTAAAGTTGAGATAACAACAGCTTGGTAAATACTAATTATTGGCATCGTGTTCTTTTGGAGGCATCTTGAATTTTATACTTCATTCATTGGGATTTTAGAACAAGTTTAAGTGTTGCCTCTCAAAATTGACTAAACGATAAACTAAGGAACGAAAAAACAATGTGAACTAACTTTGTTTTCTCACAATGAATTATACCTTTTTCGTTTTCTTCAGTTAAGAAAACTGTATATACCGTGTTTATAAGTCAAATGACTAAGTTAAATTCTTGAATGATTTTACATATAAAAACTATATAGACTTCATTAGTTTTGAAAAGGACGTTTCATATTGTCATTGTCGTATTTCTCCTAAAGTCAATATCGTTATAGTTTAATCTCTGCCTTTTAGACGTTTGGTTGAAATTACTAACTTGCTCGTGAACTCCATTTTAACAATTTTCGTTAAAGTCAATTTTCAGTTTTTCTTTCTCAATTTTCTTTTCCAATTTTTCACATATGGTTTTCAATTTTCAGCAACGGATCAAGACAAAACAACCAAGAAAATATAAGGAATTGTTTTATTACAATACTTCAGTCTTTTCCCACTTAAGGAACAACCAAGAAAAAACAACCAAACTATATATGGGAACTATTGTACGATCGACATTTACTACGCATGTATCAAAGTGGTTGCCTTGTTCATGATTTGAGCTTTTATAAAATGGTAGACCCTTATTAATAATCCATCTCTAAACATTGCCGGGTATTAGACATGCATGATTGATATTCAACCGGCCTATTCAATCTTGTTTATAAAAAGAATATGCGTAGGTAGCAGCGTAGGATATCTGAAGTATACAAACTAAAAAGGTGTACAATGTGAAATGAGCAAAATTAAAACTCAAATGTTTACACAAAAATAGATAATTACATATATAGTCTTCAGATGAAAGTCGTTCAAAAAATAAAATAAAAAAGTCTTCAGATGAAAAAAAATACAACTTGACTATTCAAAACACAAGAGACACAAGACATCACATATATTTATGCAGTATGTGTACAAAATTTTCAAATTCTATGTAACGTAATTAAACTTTTTTTTTATGTAACTGAACGTAATTAACCTTTCTTATTCACAACTGTTTTATTTATCCAAAACCTGCCTAAGCCCTTTATTCTCTTCTTCTTTTTTAGCTATTATATTAGTTTGTTTTGTTACAAAGATAATTATACTAACTAAATAACAAATAGTAGCTCTATAGAAATACTAGCTACTAGGTGATTTTCCCGTACTCATGCACGGGCTTAAATATTTAAGAAATAAATATATTATAATAGTTGATTGATATTTACTTTAAATTTTATATTAATTTATAGTTTGTATGTATAATTTGTATTAATAATATTATATTAATTTAGTAATTATAATTTTATATATATTATATTTAGTCAGTTTTATCATTTGGATATATATATATATATATATATATATATATATATTGGATTCTTTCTATTTCTAAGAATTCAACTATAATCTTTTTTATTCTAAATATCTTAAATTTTTGATTAATTATTTTATTTACATTTATGTTGGTTGTTATCAACGAAATATAAGTATATCTTAGTAAGATTATGTATTTTAAGATTTTTTGTGCTTAGAACAAAAAAAACTAAAACTAAAGTGTCTGATTATAAATTACATAAGTAATAATAAATTTTTGAAAGAATTGTAGTTATAATAAATTACATAAGTAATAATAAATTTTTGAAAGAATTGTATTAAGAAAACAGATAATTTTAACTATTAATTATAATATATATACCTTGTTAAATTATAGTGTTATGATATATTAAAAGAATTGTAGTTATTTGATCAAAAGATATTTATTATTAAATTTATTTTTAGTTTTGTTTTTAACATCTATTAAAATATGCAGTAAAAATGTGATTGTTTTTGAGAAATTATATTATATAAGTAAAATATAATTTATATTTTTTTACTGTAATTGTAAGATATTATAATCAAGTAAATATACAAAAAAATATTTCAATAATACTAATTATAATTTTTTGTCAATTAAACATATATCAGTTTATGTTACTTAATTATTTTATGTAATCATCTAATAAAATAGATAGATATATCAAAAAATAATTAATTTGAAAATATATATTTTATTGTTTAAATTACTTTTTTAAAGAAAAAAATATTTCTTTTCTAATATCAAGATTATTTGTATGAACTTTTTTAATGAAAACACATTATATATAAATACTTTTTTCATCTAGGAAGATATAGATATAAAGTATTTTATTACTTAAAAGTATAATTTATGTTATTTAAAAATATATTTAAGTTAAATATTACTATTTTGTAAACTTTCTTTTTTTATGAAACCATATTATATATATACTTATTTTTTCATTTTAAATAGTTTTGTAAATTTTATAAATATTTCCTTTATATTTTATATTGTTATTTGGAAGATTTTAAAAAGGAAATAATAATATTTAAATATATTTTTAATTCATTAGGGGTATCATAGTAATCAACCAGCGTGAGAGTTAACGTGAGCGCGACACCTAAGAAAGTGACTTCTCAAATAATATTATAGAGATATAAAAGATTATAAGATTCATGTTATAAACAAGAATCTTTAATTTAAGGTGTGGGACTTGAAACTCAAATCCAAGATTGGACCTGAGTAGTTGTACTTGAAGGAATTGGGTCCACTAATGTGTGCAAAAATGTCTGAAGAATCTACTAATTGTTCCTCATCCTTCACTCCCACCTGTAAATCAGAACGGTTTAGTTAAATCATCACTCCAATTAATCACAAATTTACATTAACCGGGGTTCTTACACCGTCCTCGTCTTCATCATAATGATGGCTTGAAGAGCCTTGTTTATGTAGTTCACCAAATTCATCATTCTTTGCAAATCTTCCTCTAAATCTTGGACGATTATCTGCCAATGTTTTCCTACATGCATACTATAACAAAGAGCAAATATGAATAGAGTAACAATAACCGATGATTTATTCCGGTTTGATTTAGTAAGAACAGAACCTTGATTTTCTTGCTAAAGTTCCTTTCGTTTCTCTTTTTCATGTACTTATGGATCTTCTCTTTCCTTTGTTCAGGAGAGAGTTTCACTACTTTATTTAACGCAAATCTTCTAAACCGTTTATCTCGACCGGTCCTAATGGTGGGTGAGTCTGAGGTACCACTAAATGGCTTTGATTCTCGATGCTATATAGTACTACCTTCTCAACAAACAATTATCCGGTTAGCAATACTGAACCGGTCATGTTCCTTTATAACCAAACACAATTTTGAAACTGGAGATAACCACGTAAAAACCGAGAATTTAGCTTTACCCAAACCGGATCATTTGATAAATTGGTTAGCATTTGGTACGTATTTACCAAGTCACACGTTTTATCATAAACGTAAACCAGGTAAGTGTAACAACATCCCCCTATATATTAAAAGAGAAGTCATTTTAGTGAATTTTGCTTACGTGTCATTCATAGGTGCAATGTAGATTTAATTCTCTTAATTTGAATTGGTTGTTGGCATTTGAATTTTTATTTATTTAATTAAAATTTTTTAAAAGGAAACTAATCGTATAATTACCTAATCTAATATATATTACCAAACAAACAATTAACCATCTTAAATACATAGGATTAATAGAATTTGTTTATAGAAACAATTAAATATCACATATTCCATTATAAAAATATATAATATACATATAAATACATATTATATTATAGAAATAAGTATATAAACGATTTTAATTTTTTTTCTATGAATAGTGCATAAAAAATCATACATTACAGAAACTAATAATATTTTTATACTCACTCACTCACTATATATATATATATGTATTCTTAAAATATGTTCAATGAATGCAAAACAGTCAAATGTAATTTTTTTTTAAAAATCTATCATTTTCCAGAGATAAATGTCGATAGTATAGTTGAGTTATCACTTTCAAAAATTATTTAAGTATTTTTATATTTAAAACAGAAAATTATATGGTATGTCATTTTAAAAATATGAATAAATAAAAAGTTTATTATAATATAAAATTACAAAAAAATCAAAACATTATATTATTACAAGATTAGAGTTAATATTATATTCATATAATTCATATATCTTTAAGTATAATAAAATTGGCATGTTTATTTTTTATAAGAAGAAAAAAGAAAAGAGACATAAATAAAAACATGAGTGAATAATAATAAAACCTTTTGTTGTATTCTTCGTTATTTTGTATTTGTACATACATAATTTTTTATTTGTATACCAAAATATTTTTTATGTATTAATATAATTGTAAACTAATTATTTTAGGTGTTTATACAACATAAGGAGAAATTGAGCAAGGAAGATAAATATAAATGATAAGTTATAAAATTGTTAATGTTGAAGATGCAAAATATAACGCAAATTAATACAAAAATAAATTATTTTAAAATAATGATAAATATTTTTTGCGGTGTAATAAACTTTAAAAATATATGATAACAAAGCTATAACAAAATTTATACAACTAGAAACATGTTTTATTGATATATTAAAACTGTTGAATGTCATGTGTATATTAATCTATGTCTAATAATGACATCACATCATTTAAGAATTAAGATATTTTATGATATATAATTATTTAATCAAATTTACTTTTTTGAAATACAATTATTTAGATTTACTTAAAATATGTATGTAATGAAGTAATTAAAAAAAAACAAAATTAATAAAATATTTATTTTTTCAATGAAAATATTGGTCAAAGGAATCAATGTTTGATACGATAGTGTGAAGATTGGAGAGAATTTGATAATGAATTTATTTGGTTAGTCAATTATGATTTTATATTAAATTCTAAATAAAAAAAATGTAAGAAAGGGAGAAAGAGAGGGAAATACGGTGATGATAAGGATTAGAGAGTCGGTTATGATCATAATGAAAATGAAAAAGAATATAAGTGAGAGACTGAATATAAGTGAGATAGATTCCGAAATCATTTATTAATACTATGTCAAAGTGTTTAGAAGATTTAACAAAATCTGGTGAAAATTTTGCAACCAAAAAGAGATAGAAAGAGTTTTAAAATGAAATATTGAGGATCATATTAAGGACGAGGGTAAGAGAATGAATATAGATGATTGTGAGAGAGTGAATGTAAGTTTGAGAGATTTTGAGATTATTTGATCAACTAAGAGAGAGAGGGGAAGAAAAAGAGAGCGAGAGAGGTGTACAAAGACATACAAAAATAATGCAAAGAGAGATACATAAGAAACAAAACGAATGTGTGAAAAAAAAATACAAGGAGAAACGAAATGAATAAAATAGAAAAATATATTAAAAAAACAGAGTATATATGTAAAACAGTAAAAGAAAAAGAAAATTACAATATATTTATACATTTATATTATTTTTTATTTATGTAATGTATAGATTATATTAATGTCCGCACAGGCGTGCGGGCCGTCCACCTAGTAATGAAGTTAATTTTCAGTCTTGCCTGGAGATCTTCTGGATTAAACCGGAATAATCCACTATTATCAGCTTGAAAATCCATCAATTGATCACCTAGTTTGCTAAATTCCGGTCCCATATGAACATGACCAGGATATAAACCGGAGTAACTTTCAGAAGATAATAAACCGGTGTTCATATTCAACATATATGTTGGTAAACCGGAAGTACGGAAGAAAGAAGTAGGGTTTAAGTCAAGACTGTAACTTGGGACCGAAGAAAGCCAATCTTCTTCGAAAAACCCTAATGCTAAATTAGGAGGAGGAGCTATAGAGGAAACGTGTGGTAGAGCCACAGTATCTGAAATATTAGGAAGCTGATGAACAACTTGAACTTCTGATGTGAAATCAAACTGGTCTTCATTTGTTGTTGTAAGGAGTTGATCTATCACTGGATATTGCAAAGAGGATGATGAGAAATCGATTGACACGACTATGTCATTTTCAAAATCTTCATGTGAATATATCGAACATATCTGCATTAATATTGTCGTCTTCATCATCTTGAAACTTGTTGTTCATGTAGGTGTTACTAGTCTCGGGTGTTGTGGTTGTGTTAGTGTTGGAGTTGCCACTGTTGTTGTCATGGAAGCTCCCAGATTTGTCAAGAGTTTTTAGAACAGAGGTGACTTCAGAGGATTGATTGATGGTCTCATGAAAGAGTTGAGGATCACAAAAATCAAAAATTTGAGCACTAAGAGGGCACGTGATATCATCCTGGTGAATAGCACAAACAAACGTTAGATTTAAAGAATGTGTCAAATAAAGAGTAAACTTATTAAAGACCTTTTGAAAACATTACGTTAAAGCCAAGCATGAAAACAAGAGAATATAAATTTTGGGTTTACTCTGTAGGATCCTTGAAAGATTACAAAACTGGTTCTTTAGATTTGATTTATGCTGGAGTAAAATTATTTTCTTGTGGTTAATAATAGTCTATAGAGAATCTATAAGATGTCTTTATTCTGTTTCTCGACATCAAAGGACTCCAAGATTTTTGTGTCTTGATCAAATCCAATCTTTTTTGGTTATTAATATCAGTTTAGAACAGCACTAATGTTGATAAAGAGAGATTAAATGCATATGTTCTTTCATGTGACATGTTTATAAGAAGTGCTTCAAGTTCCAAAGGCTAAAAAATAAAAAAGTAAAGAAGAGTGGAGTTTCTATAAATGGAAGGTTTCCTTATTCTAATATTTCTTTTTGGTGTTTAGAAGATAACTTATCATTGCCTGGTATGAACAAACATTCAGATATTTTCCCCACAAATAAATCGTAAAGGGCACTTCATAAGATTTAAGAACGTGTAAGAAACCTTCATTATGAATCTATGATCATACATGTATATAGTGTATATTTATTTACATCAAAATGCTCCTAGCAGTGAAATTCACCACACTTAATAAATTCAAAGGTGTTAAATTGTGTACTCGAATATAGTGCATGGAATTTGACGTTTTTGACTCGAAATTATCCTAATTTAAGCCTTACATTCATTTGTTAAAAAAAGCCTTACATTCATGGAATTAGTTTTCTATTTTTTTTTAAAAAAAATTAGATATGTTTAATCTTGTATTTCATTTGCTAATTTATTGATTAAAAATAATTTCATAAAAAATGTTATTTTTAAATATTTTTAAAATTATAGTTTTATGTATATTACATTTTCAAACTTAAGAATGTCCATGACCAGGATTTGGCTAGCGATTTTGTGCAAAAGAGTCAAAAAGTTCGACAAGGTCAATTATAAACTGTCAGAATAAATATGTTGTCATTTACCTTAATTTGGACGATGCATATTTATCTGCAGTTAAGTAAATTTATTCAATAATATAAGAGAATATGCAAATACTGTTTAACCAACTTTTAATATTTAAAGTTTTTCATATGAAAAATGATTCCATCTACGAAAAATGTTGTGACTGCGACAATTTGAGCATAGGGTCAACGCTTAATACCTTTAAGATATTATAAGTCATTCCCTCTCATCTTCGAGATTTCACTTTCGTACACTCTTTTTTATTCTTATAGTCACATGACAAAAAGGTATGCAAAGATATACTTAAAGGCTACATTGTCAGTCTCATTATCATAACCTAATTGGAACCAAATTAAGAGACTGAAATGAGCCAATACAAAACAAGTTAAACTCAAACCGAATACAACACAAGTCAAACCAAACTCAAACCGAAACATATATAAATGTATATATTTTATTCAGTATTAAGTTAGAAATACGTTTTAAGCATGGAAATTTGGTAGTAGATGAGGGGGAGAACAATTCTAACGGCAAGTGTTGTCGTCATCGCAACTCTGTCCACCACCTTCCGTCGTTGCATCTCTGCTAACACGTAACTTTGGTTTTGGAGGGGTACATTGTTCGCAAACACATTGTTTGAAGATACATTTTGTTACTGCACAACTTGGACAAAATTTATGACAAACGTCATCATTGTCGCAAGATCCAGGGGTACATTGTTCGCAAACACATTGTTTGAAGATACATTGTGTTATCGCACAACCTGGACAAAAACCATGACAAACGTCATCGTTGTCGCAAGATTCACCACCTTGTGCTTGTATCGTTACATCTTTCACGTCTTCCCTAACTTTTGCATCTCCTTCCAATGCTTTAGCTATCCACAAACCTGATGTGATAAGAGATTCTGAATTATTTGAGTAACAAAATGATAATAAAGAGTTGGGCATCAATTTTAAAATCATGTAAATCTTTCAAGAATACTATGAAAATGTGATAAGTTAAAAGTTACAAGATTTAGCTCACATGAAAGACACATCAAAAGGCCAAGAAGAATCACTTTTCTGGACGCCATGTTCTTTGGTGTTGTTGATTTTTATGCATTCATTCCAATGTCCACACACACTCTTATATACATCTTTCCGTTAGTTTTAGTCACCAATATTAATTGTTATTAATCAGTGTAATTTCATTCCACTGAAATAGTTATCTATTTTGCCTTCCTTCCAACTTTAGAATCTCGAATAATGAATGAATTTGATTTAATGCTAGTCAACATTTTTTATTTTTCGGGATAATCTTTATATTATTAGTAGACAAATGCAAAAAAAAATGGTGAAAAGATTATATTTATTCCGTTATACTTATTTCACATATAGTTTGACATTACTTTTCACATACGTCAAAAATCATATAAATATACTAATGTATGCTCACTTTTCATATATAGTGAACTATAATACAATGTATAAATTTTAGGTTATTTGCAAGACTCCAAATTAAAATTCTAAAGAGATTATTTTTGTAAACGAAAAATACTATAACACTCATAAAATAAAATGCTGTATCATTCAAATCAAAATATTTTTAACAACATTTCAAATTTATATATATTAAGCTAGACTTAAATTTTATAAGCAGAAATCACTAAGTTACAAGAAATTAAAGTAACAATAATTTTTCATTTGATTGATTGCAAATTATATATTCATTCAAAATTATTTAATACTCTCCTTATGACAGTCTTGAAATGACAAACAATATTCGAAATTGTAGTTTTTCTAATTTATTATACAGTAAATTTGAATAAATAATTTATTAAAACTCATAAAACAAAACCATCGAATTACTTTAAAATAGTAAAATTGATTGCATTTATATCATAGATTCATAGTCAAAATGAATATACAATACTATAATTACAAGTCTGACGAAGTTATAATTTTAGATTCATAGTCAAACTGATGTCCATGTTTCATAGATTCACAGTAAAAATGAATATACAATACTATAATTACAAGTTTGACGAAGTTATAGTTTTAGATTCATAGTCAAACTGATGTCCATGTTTTGCAGTCATTGTCTATATCCAAGAAGTTGGACGTTTAGGGCTCTCTATTTGCTTGTAATGCCAGCTGTTAAGATATATTACTCAGAAATGAATACGATGTCTAAACCAAAATTTTAGAAAAATGATTGAAAAATAAAATTTAATATATTATGTTAATTATATATATATAATTATATATATATATATATATATATATGTAAATGGGTTAATATGGTCTTCACTAACTTTAATTAAAATATCACATTTAATAAATATTTTTAATCGAATAACCTATCTAAAATCTGTTAAACTAAATAAGTTTATATGAATATTTATTTCTATTAAAAAATCCAATTAAATTCGTTAAACACTATTTTAACATCATGTACTTTGTTAACTGGTAAACTTAAAAATTTGAATATATTAATGTCTCGTAGAATAAATCCCAATTTTTAGTCTGAAATGTAAGTTATGTTGTTGTAGTATGATAATGACTTTTGAAAAAAAAAACTGGTGTTCAATTGTATTGTTACTAAAAATATATGTTGGATATGATTACAAACCTTAATTTGAAAGTTTTTATAAATATAAACAGATTTGAATTATACATGGAGGAATTTGAATAAAGTTATAATATAAAAATCAGCTTCAAAACTTTTAATACAAATTATATATACCAGTATTATTAAACTCTTATAACAACGGTAGGAAAACAAAAAGCTGTTTTAATAAAAAAAATTGTTTAAAAGTAATATGTGGTAAATAAATTGCCCACTATATTGTTCAAAAAAAAAAATTTGCCCACTACGTACGTAGAGCAATAGGGAGTTACGTAGGTTTGTTACAGCAAATAAGAAATTATGGTTTTTATATTTTAAAACCAGAATATTATATGCAGTTACATTAAAAAAAATAGGATATATATATCTCATTTTTGAAAAAGTATGGAAATAATTACTTAGACCCAACAAATATCAATAGAGCATGATTCAAATTTAATAGTATTGATTCAACAGAATTCTAGATTTCGTTCCCCAAGATCAAGACGATATACTGCAAGTCTACAACCAAAGTTATATGTTATGAAGTGCTACTTAAAAGATGACAAAGAGAACCAGATAGATTTGGTTAATTTGTGTTATCTCATGTCGCAGCGCTGAAGGCTTTTTTTTCTTTTCTTTTTTTTATTAGCCCATGCATATCATTTGTCGACGACTAGTGATGCAGACCTATAACTTCCTAGTCATCTAAAAAAATGGAGTAGTAATGTGTTGTCAAGTAATTCTCTATGCAACCAAACTGACAAAACTCGAGGTTGTGAATGTAATCCACTGTCCCGTTGTTGAATTGTTCTATCCACATTCCCACACTCACATTTTCCATTTTGAACATATGTAGTATCAAGAACCAGAAAGAAGGAAAAAAAACAGAGTTTGTAAAAACTCTATAAATTAATAATGTTCGAACAACCCCAAACTATAACTTTTTTATTAAGTTATAGTGATTATTAATTTATCAATATACTAGTTGAATCAAAAATTTAATGTGATAGTATAAAATTATATTATTTTATAGATATTATTAGGGTATATTAATTTATAGAGTATTAATTTAAAGAAGTTATACTGTATATTAATATGCATGCTTTGTCTCGAAATTATTAAGTAAGGTTAGTGTTAATTCTGGAAGTGTATTGCCATGCGATTGTTTCAAAACAGTTAGTATCGATGCGACATACTCTTCGTTTATGTTTCTCAAACTCTCTTACAATGAAGCGAGAGATATCATTTGATAAGATGTAGACCGGTCCATTATCATAAGGTGGATAGACTTCCTCTGATCATTTCTCGAATATCATAATCAATATGAACTTCTGCCGATGTAACTCTGTTAGCTCTAAGGAAAACACCACCGCCTGGAAAACAGAGCTTTACTGGTGCTGGCCTCCTCAGTCTCTACCTTCTCTACAAACACAGAACGAAAATCACCTGATACAAATGTAACTCTTGTAGCTCGAATTTGTTGGAAACTTCAAAAGCCCAAGTACATGAGAAAAGGCCCATATACAACATAGTTAAGCATTAAAAGGCCCATAATTTCGCAAAATCAAACCCTTCATTATACCACTGAGAGTGTTAATCATCTCCTCTCTCTCTCTCTCTCCACCAACTTCCCCGGCTTCCGCGATTTCGACCGGAGAAGATATTAAAACCCTATCTCCCGCCACCGAAGAGAGACTTCCACTTCATCCTAAGTAACTGCTCATACGTCGTCGTATCCTTCCGTTCTCTCTACGATGAACTGTGCAAGTAAACCTTTATTTTTTACTCGCATCCTCTCTCTCCTTCTTCTCAATTTGCCGATTTAGGGTTGATTTGGTGACGTTACTGTTGTTTTTTCTTCTATGCAGTTTCTGGAGAAGTTCCCGAGGTGCCTGTGGTTTCAACGAAGTCAGGTTTGCTCTTCGAGAGGCGATTAATCGAGAGTCATATATCGGTAAAGCTTTCAAGCTTATCCTTGAGATTGCTTGATGGAATCTGTAGCTCTTGTAGCAATAAATCAGGTCTAGGATGATTCGAGATTGCTTCATGAATCCAGTGGCGTGGATCTAGGATTTAGAAGTAGGCATTTCATAAAATTTTAAGCTTATTTTTAAAAAAAAATTGAATCAAAAGTTTGAGATTATTATTATTAAATCCTCGTAGTGTAGATCCGCCCTTGGATGAATCTGTAGGTTTCAGTCAATGAGTCTGGCTTCAATTTATGGATACGATCTTGGTTGTTGTTAACATTATATCTCACAGTTGTAGCTACTTTTGGATTATCATATGTTTGTTTTTTCCATATGTAGGATTATGGGAAGTGCCCTGTTACTGGGGAGCCTCTTACCATTGATGACATTGTTCCCGTGAAAACTGGAAAGGTATTATGCTTTCTTTTTTTGAGTATTTGATGTGAGAATTGTTTAAGAAATTCGTTTTAAGCTGTTTTGATTTCTTTGACTGTTCTGCAGGTCATAAAACCGAAACTGTTGCATACTGCTAGCATCCCTGGATTGCTTGGAACGTTCCAGAATGTAAGCTTTTAGAACTTTTCCAACTTTGTTCCTAGTACTTTCTCTTTACTTTGTGCTTGTTTTTAATTTATGGGGCCTCACTATCAAATTTCACTGTTCCTGTTTTGGTCATGTAGCGTTTGGTTGATGGATTGGAATAGTTTTTTCAGGGTCGGTTGTTAGATTTATACCTTAAGATTATATTATCTCAACCGTTTTTACACTGACCATCTGCTCGGTTTATGACGGCTAATTAATAGAAATTGTTCATTAGTTAGGTTTGAATTAGACAAGGTAGTTGCGTGAGAGAAGTTTATCTGTTTTGCTTAGGAATGGGATGGCTTGATGCTATCAAATTTTGCACTGGAGCAACAACTCCATACTGCAAGGCAAGAGCTAAGTCACGCTTTGTATCAGGTAATTTTCGTTTTGTGTTAGCGTGATTAATAAATTTTTATTATGTCATCGTTTATTAAGTTTTTTTGATCAAATTATGGAATTTGTTTTGCCTTGTGTTTGCAGCATGATTCTGCTTGTCGCGTGATTGCTAGACTTAAAAAAGAAAGAGACGAAGCACGCCAATTGCTTGCAGAGGTTGAAAGACATATACCTGCTGCCCCAGAAGCTGTGACAGCTAATGCTCCTCTAAGTAATGGTAAACGAGGTAGGATTGTACACTTTTTACCTATAGTATGCTGTCTAATTAGTTTTCTATCTTTGTAACATGTTACTGTACTCTTTTGCTGTATATTAGTTGCCGGTGATGAAGAAACGGGTCCTGATGCGAAGAAGTTGTGTCCCGGCATTTCTGCTGATATCATCACAGAATTGACAGATTGCAATGCTGCTCTCTCCCAGAAGCGCAAAAAGCGGCAGGTACCGCATATTAATTACCATCTATTTTTTATCATACACTTGAAAGTTTGTTGGCATAACCTGAGACTTGCAAATTTTGAGTATCGTTTTCTTGTTTGTAACAGTCAAATGTTGAAATGGAAGCTTACGATTCATGTTACTCAATATATCTATTTAGATTCTAGTATGCTTTAGAAACGTAAATAGAAAATTTTGCTATTTCCTGCCTCTCTTTCCATGGTTTTCCGCCTGTTCCAGCCGATTCGCAAATGTATAGAGTTTCTGGTCTTGTGTTTTTTTTTCTTGCATTGGTTCTGCTGTCTTGATAGTTTTATCATTTTTTTCCACAGATTCCTGAAACATTGGCTTCAATAGATGCTTTGGGAAGGTTCACTCAGCTATCAAGCCACCCACTTCACAAGACCAACAAACCTGGCATTTGTTCAATGGACATCTTACATTCTAAGGTTTATAATCACTTTATTCTTATTTTCCTTTGCTTGTGGAAGTCACTGCATAGCATGTCAAAACGGACAAGCAGACTTGTATTAATAATTATTGGGATACATTACAACCTTGAGTCCTAGGTTCGGGAATGTTTTTTAATGTTCCATCTTTTTTGGCATGACATTTATGTCCTCGTATTACCAATATAACTAATTTGGGTGTGCAAAAGCTTACCTCTTAGTATTACTTATTTTCTTAATCGGTAATCAGGATGTCATTGCTACTGGAGGAGTTGATGCAACTGCTGTCATCTTTGATCGCCCTTCAGGGCAAATCTTGTCGACACTGACTGGTCACTCGAAAAAGGTCTTTAATTTTTGCCAAAATTCTTTTTTGTTTCTTTTATAGTTAGCTCTGTGCTTGATATGTGTTGACTCTTTTGTAGGTTACAAGTGTAAAATTTGTAGGTGACAGTGATCTTGTTTTGACTGCTTCGGCTGACAAGGTAACTCGAAATACATTTACAGATTTGAAATCCATAGTCAGATATTTATGAGTAGTGTTGGTCATTATTTCTGTAGGAATTTAGTAATCCAGTTTCTGCAACCATGAAATCTAAATCTGTAGATGCCGTCTTTGAATTTTGTTTGGCTTGCTGCGTAAAAACGTTTCGTTCACTCACACATTTCTTTGCCATTTTGTTTGATACTCGGTTTTGTTTAATATTTATTATTTATTACTAAATAGTGACTTACATGCAGACAGTCCGTGTGTGGCGGGACTCTGGGGATGGGCAGTATGCTTGTGGGCATACGTTAAATGATCATTCTGAAGAGGTAAGCGTGAAGTTGAAGAACTTTTACGGTCTGTTTTATTATTTTATTCATACACTTTCATTGGCTTACTAGCGATTATGATTTTCCAGGTGCGAGCTGTAACTGTGCATGCCACAAATAAATACTTCGTGTCGGCGTCTCTTGACAGTACATGGTGCTTCTACGATCTTTCCTCTGGCTTATGCCTTGCAAAGGTATGTAATCTCTTTCATCAAAGAATCAACTAAACGTGTCTTCTATGATGTATTACATAAGGTATATGTATGGTGAGTGTAGTTTTCATATTTCTTTTGTCTATTCAGGTAACAGATGATTCTGAGAAGGTGGATTACACGGCTGCTGCTTTTCATCCCGATGGTCTCATTCTCGGAACCGGTACTTCTCAATCTGTTGTCAAGATTTGGGATGTGAAAAGTCAGGTAAAATACTCTGGCCTTCCGGATTGTATTGCCTCTTAAAAAATCATTTCCATCAAGACTTTATTTGATTTTAATTTTTGTGTTGGATAATAGGCAAATGTGGCGAGGTTTGATGGACACACCGGTGAAGTTACCTCTATATCTTTCTCCGAAAATGGTTATTTCCTTGCGGTGAGTACTTTAAACAAACTCCGAGAAGTGTAAGTACAACTACGATTCTGTGTACAAGATTGCTTAGTTTTGGTTCTACAAATGTACAGACTGCTGCCGAGGATGGTGTCAAATTGTGGGACCTGCGCAAGTTAAGAAACTTCAGGTCATTCGTATCTGCAGATGCAAACTCTGGTACGCAACTACTGTATTCCGTTCCTGGCCATCAGGTTCTAGTCGTTTTGTTGATAGAGAAAACTCCATGTATAAGATAACTGAACGAAAATACTTTTTGTTTGTGCAGTGGAGTTTGATCCTAGCGGATCTTATCTTGGTATTGCTGCATCAGATATCAGGTGAGTGAACGTTTTAGATTTTAATTGTTCAGAGAAGCCAAGCTCAGCTAAAGAAATATTCAGCACTTGGGTTTATAAACTTTACCAATATGTTTGTAATGGCTGCAGGCTATACCAGACGGCGAGTGTGAAAGCTGATTGGAACCTTATCAAGACACTACCAGATCTTTCCGGCACTGGTAAGATCTATTTCATTAACTCCTTCATTGGTCACATGGCGATTATATTGCTAATTTCATATCACCCTTAAACATGTAGGTAAAGCTACATGTGTGAAGTTTGGTCCAGATGCACAATACGTTGCAGCTGGCTCAATGGACCATAACCTACGGATATTTGGTCTTCCTGGTGACGAAAAAGCCAACGCCGATGATGACTCTGCACAAGACTCGTGAAGAATCCGTTAGAAAACTCAGTCGGCAAATTGCAAATGTTCACCTCTGGTTACTCCTCACTCAAACCTCTTATACAGTTTTCACAGCTATGGGGACGATATGTGAGTTGTCATGATGGTTTCTTTGGGGGCTTCTTGGAATCCAAACGATCACAGTCGCACACACTAGTTTTCTTACTCTATTTCTCTATCGAATAGGTTTTTTCTCTCTATGTACCTTCAAAATCTGTACCAAAATTATTTCTCTTTTGGCAACAATCGAAACTAAATGAAGCAACAGTCGTAGTGTTCTGTGTACCAGACTAGGTGATTTGTTTATTTGCTGAGATGTGATGGTCGCCTTTAGGTTTCATCATTACCCTTGACTGTACTTTGGTCAAAAATCACCGTGTTTACATTTTCCAAAGAAAATCAGATTCTCGTTGCAATTCCAATTTTTTTTTTATAATCTCAATGTAGAAAGATTGTTTAATGTTTTGGTATCATAACCTGCAAGTTGAGCCCTTCCTTTGTTATGAACGGGGTTGAAAATTTACTTTAAAATCACAAAGTATGTCTCATGCCATTCTTTATAGAATCATAACAAACAAAAGTGGTCAATGTACCAGATAGAGGCTACGTACAACTTGAATAAACCATAATCTACAAGATACAGAAATTTACCTTTTAAGTGATACACAAAAAATGTTAAACATAGAAACTTAGTGTAATTAGGAACAAGTACAAAATATAGACGTTAGAAGCGTACTAGCTATTTTGGTAACAATATAAAAGGTAGATTCATGGATGCTTATTTGATAAAGTAAAGTGAGCTCAAAGATTAGTTACTTTAAATTACTAAGCATGAATCACCTTTTTAATTAGGTTGGTAAAAAGGGGGTCATGGAATAAATGAACAGTGTATAAATCAATAAATGATATTCGGAATTACTGAAAACCTGCAAGCAATTCACCAAACACACTTGTACTGTACTTAAAGACTGGTGGCTGAAAAGAGTGTTTGATTGAATTGTCTTATACATATAAAGAAAAAAAAACTCTCTTTCTCTATCCTCATCTTGTTTTCCACATCTGTAGAGAAAGAGTGGTCATCCAAAGCCTAAAACATCACACCTCTCTCTTTCTCTTTCACCATTAAAACCAGAAACTCATAAGAAAAACAAAGAAAAGAGCTTTTACTGAGGAGCCACTAAACAAACACTACCATTCAAAATCCAAGAAACCCCACACAAAAAAAAAAATATTCAATCTTTCACATCCATCTCTCTCATTACCCATTTCTCAAAATCCAAAACAACCTCAAAAATCTCCTTCCCACCACTAACAACACTCTACAAACAAAGAAGAAAACCAAACACATGATTTGATTATTTTTGAGCCAAAGTTTCTTTTTTTTTGAAAATGGGTTTCTCACTCTCACTCAAACTCTCATTTCTTTGCTTCATCATCATCATACTCTCCACAGCTCTGTTCTCAGATCTCAAGCTAGTGGACTCTGCATCACCAGACTACACAAACTTAATCTACAAAGGATGCGCAAGACAGCAGTTCTCAGATCCGTCTGGTCTTTACTCGCAGTCTCTCTCTGCAATGTTTGGCTCATTGGTCACACAGTCAACTAAAACCAAGTTCTACAAAACCACTACTGGTACAACGAGCCAAACCACTATCACTGGTCTCTTTCAGTGTAGAGGAGACTTGAGCAACAACGATTGTTATAACTGTGTTAGTCGTCTTCCTGTTCTCTCCGGTAAGCTCTGCGGCAAAAGCATTGCCGCTAGAGTTCAGCTCTCCGGTTGTTATCTTCTTTATGAAATTGCTGGCTTTGCCCAAATTTCAGGTAAACCACCCATATCCGGTTTAATCCCAATGTCTGCTTCACTTAACCGGTTTAGCCTTACTTTTTGAATTTTTGGTTAGTCTATAAGTAAACCGTATTTCAAGAACCGGGTTAAGCATCAGATTTTCTCCGGTTTAACAGTAAATATTTGGGTTATTAAGGTGGCTAATTAAACCAAACCAGGTTTGAATTAGCTGGTTGAATTATTATGAGAAATGGTGTTTCAATTTTGGGTTGTCCAACCGGTTTAATTTAAACCGAACCGAGAGTGAATAATTTAATTTTTCATTCCGGTTTAATAATAACTCAGGGATGGAGATGTTATTCAAGACATGTGGGAAGAACAACGTGGCCGGAACAGGGTTCGAAGAGAGGAGAGACACTGCATTCGGTGTAATGCAAAACGGTGTCGTTTCAGGGCACGGCTTCTACGCAACAACCTACGAATCGGTTTACGTTTTAGGACAGTGCGAAGGCGACGTGGGAGATTCAGATTGTAGCGGTTGCATCAAGAACGCGTTAGAGAAGGCTCAAGTGGAATGTGGAAGCTCGAGTTCTGGTCAGATTTATCTTCACAAGTGTTTCATCGGTTATAAGTATTACCCTAATGGTGTTCCCAGAGGAGCTTCTCCAATCTCTGGCTCGTCTGGTTCTTCTTCTTCTTCTTCCTCAGGTAAAAAATAGATTAATCTTGAAAAAGTGTTGATATTTTTTGTTTAAAGTATAGTACGATTTTAATTTAATAAACTTTTTATTTCACTTAAAATAATATTTAATGTTCGACTTTAATTCAAAAGACTTCAGTGTGAGACTTGTTCTTTCGTTTTCAGGCTCCAATCCAATTGAGATTTATTGTCCTTTAAAAATAATACTTTTTCTTTTTCATTTTTTCAACATTCGAGTGTAAACTTTAGGATGTTTAAAAAAAAGAGAAATATGTATTATGGTTTAATGAAATAAAGAATAAGAGAAAGAGAAATGGGACAGGAACAACAGGCAAAACGGTGGCAATAATAGTAGGAGGATTAGCTGGTCTTGGATTTCTTATCATTTGTTTGCTTTTCATCAAAAACTTGATGAAGAAGAAATATGACGGTACGTACGTTCTTACTTCTTTAAATACATACATTTATACGTGTAGTATAAATGAACATGCGTTTTACACCCATGCACGTATAAAACCACATGCATACGTAACGTAACTCAGACGCATTCATAATGTGTTGCCATTTAATTAATGATGTTATTCTTTTGCCAAAATAAAGATTTAGTTTTTTTTTTAACTATCTATATTCTCCCTTCTAATTTGAGCAAAAGTGGTTTCGAAGATTTGGTTGTAGGATTCTATCCGATATTCCAAATCTTCACACAAAAACAATTTTTTATATAGAATAAATTGATTTGAAAGTGAAAGCATTTGTATATATTGGCATGCAAGTGGAGAAATAAAGGCAAATACAATTGATCTGATTGTGTACCTATTTGTTTATTTTGGCAGATTATTGAAAATTGTAAAGAGGATGAAGCCAACAAAAAGAGACCAACCCCGGAATAGAGGTAAAAGCTAATGTGGATTCCGAGGTGCATGCAATTAATTTCCGATTTTGGATTCCTTCATATTCATATTCTATTTGATATTTATTTTTGCGGTGGATGGATGAAGAAATGGGACTATTACATTATGTTAGAAGGGACTCGAGTACTTCAAATCTGTTTTCAAATTCTGTGGGGGAAAAGAAACTGTAAATGAATTTGATCATCAGAAGTTGCTAAAGACTTTTGTCTAAATTTCCTATACTTTAAGTTCGGTAAAGTCTGTCTATTAGAAACCATTAAACCAGAGACACATATTGAGTTTTAAAATTGTTAAATATTTAAAAATAATTTTATATTCCCTTTATTAAATATTAATTGTTGTATTGTAGTAGTTTGTTAGAAATAAATACTATTTTATAAATTTGCAGATTTTAAAGTTAATAAAATAATAAATTGTAAATGTTATATAACTTCAATAATCATTTTTTAATTTTTAAACAATTTAAGGAATATCTATGTTATTAACTCTTAGTTTAATGTATTCACTCTGCTTCAATATAAAATAAGTGGTTTTAAGTATCAATTGTTTTTACGTTAGGTGATGTTTTGAATTTGAAATGAAAAAAGTATCAGTTTTTATTCAACTGTCGTTATCAATAATAAGACGATAGTGTTTAGACTATAAGATAGGGTTATCATCATAGGTATTTTGTTTACAACTGGACCGGACCACTCACTCTTTAAGAAAATATACAAGACAATAAGGTAATGTTTATTTACCAATAACAATAAGGCAACGTCTACACTGTAACTATCACTTAAAGTGAAATATAAGTAATAAAATTTATTGTTTTCTTCTTGGAATTAGTAGTTAGCTTTTGCATTGTATTGCTGCAAATTTTAAATTACAGCTTTGTGTATAAATTACACTAGATATCTTCTTTTTGTATGTTTTGATAATAATTTGTTTCGTAGAGCGTTACGTTGCTTTTAAGTTCCTGTCATCTTGTTTTTTTCTGCCAACTTGTTTTTAGTACTTTTATCAGAATATCGCTCGATAGGAAACTTTAATAATATAACGAGAGAAGTTTTATTTTATTTTATTTCGTGTAAATGACTTGGATTCCACCGAAAAGGCAAACTTCAAAACCTTGTTTGCTTAAATTTAAGTCTGGAAATGCGAACGTTGACTTCACGGATTATGTATTTTCTGAACGTGCGTTTGTTTATAGTTGTAAGTATCATGTGGTCTCGAGACTCGTTGTAAATTTTTATACTACTACGTTGCTCATGCGATTTCATGGAAACGTGTGACTTGTATGAGGCTTTAATATTTTAATGTTTGTTGGAAATAGCGAAAAATTGATAGTTTGCCTTTTCGGATCAAACATCCCATACCTTCCGCACAAGTTTTAATGACTCTTGCTGACTTGTAAGTAAATGTTTTGGCATTTAATTGCATATTATGAGATTGGGATATCGTAGGTGGTCCAATTGTTACGTTCAAAAGAGAGTTAATGTCACTGAATTTAAGATGCAGTTCATATATGGCTACAGAAAAAAAAAAACAGAACAAAACTTCGCACCACGATTACGAGTAAAGAAAGAGAGCGAGATAAACTCGGGACTTTAACCAAGACCTACAATGAAGTTGGATATAGTCCATGACTGTTTTAATTTAGGTTACATATCATAAAAAGCCCAACAGGCCATAGACTCGCCTGTAAATACAAATAAATACAGCTCCTCAAGATTGATAGAGGCAAAAAAGTAAGATTGATAGAGGCAACAGCAATCAGTCAATCACATAGATGAACATGTGTATGATGAACAGGTTGGCCCTCGGATTTGAGGGTCATACGCATTTCAGTGTAAATTTATAGTAACTTTTTACCATAAGATTGTACAATTTACGTATATTAATTCTTTTCAATTTGAGAACCAAAGCGAATCCTTTCATAAGTCTTTTTCTGTTGCTTATATATGATATATTTCATAAGCTTTACTGGCTCCAATGAAGAAATTTATAAATCTACTTTCAAAAAGGCACTAGTCTCTGTTGTCTTTTTTTCTCTGGTGTCTAATATAGCAAAAAACTTGTACAAATCACTCCTAAATAATATAACGTACGATCCCTAATTTAATCTCCCTCTGCCGCAATTTATATCAGCAAAACCCAAAAATGGATCCACGGAGCGAATCTTCTCCTCTCTCTGCTTCAAAGGTTAATAAAAGCATTAAGGTTAAAAAGAAAGAAAAGATGCAATGGCCAATACTTTATCCATACCATTCGGAGATTAGCCACCAAACAATAACAATCTAATGATCTATCCAATGGAAAACCCTCCACACCTTAGGGATCCAATCAATAATTCAAGATTCCAATTCCATATCCCTTTCAACTCTCCTAAAACTCCGACCAAGATTCCATCTAATGACTTAGACAACACACATTAACCGTTGTCCACAAACAATGTCGATGTTTTCCTCATTCCAATTACTAGAGCTCAACATAATCTCCGCACAGGATCTAGCTCCCGTCTCCCGTAAAATGAAGACATACGCAGTGGCTTGGGTTCACTCCGAGCGGAAGCTCACCACCCGCGTCGACTACTCCGGTGGCCCGAACCCAACTTGGAACGACAAGTTTGTTTTCCGAGTCAGCGAGGATTTCCTCTACGCAGATACTTCAGCCGTGGAGGTCGAAATCTACACCTTGCATTGGTTCCGTGACGTTCACATAGGCACAATCCGTGTCCTCATCAGCAACCTAATCCCACCAAATCGTCGACCAGGATACCGAACCAATGACGAATACCGCCATACACCTCCTCCAGGGATGCGATTCGTAGCACTTCAAGTTCGCCGTCCCTCTGGCCGTCCTCAGGGGATATTAAACATCGGTGTGGGCATCCTCGACGGATCTATGCGTAGTTTGCCGCTTTACACGAATATGGACTCGTCTGCAGTTGGTTACAAAGACTTGCTTGGTGTAGATGATCCTCATTTGCAGAATATGAATCTCAACAGCTCCAAGAATCCACAATCTCCATCATCGAAACATAATCATTCAGTAGCCTCGAAACCACCAATGCTGCGTCGTACGATGAGTGATACGAGCTCGATGGTTGTTTCCGATCTTCTGAGCAGAGCTGAACGGAGCCGTGTGGCTACTAATATGAAACTTGTGAGCAGCAATTCGGATACTACGCCTACGACGTCGGGACACCATACGACTACATCGGATTCAGATGATAACAAATCTCCTTATGAAACTCCTAATATCCCTAGGGAGAGATACGATTCGTTCGAGCTGAATTTCGTGATTCAATCGCCTAACCACGACGAGATGCCGCCGCCGGAAAGTGAGAGATACGACGAGTCGCCTTACCGTTCGTACAATCATCCACGCAAAACTCCGAGAAGGTCGACGACGCACGGGACGCCGTTGAGATCTAACATCGTCGCGTCTACTCCGATCAGATCTAACATAGTTTCATCTAGTCCTATGCGATCCACAGGCGTTCGATCTAACAATCTAGCGTCGACGCCGTTACGATCTAACATCGTCGGATCTACTCCGATCAGATCTAACGTGGTTTCATCTAGTCCTATGCGATCTAATATCATCGGATCTACTCCGATACGATCTAGCTACCGGGAAACACCGATGAAATCGTCTCTACGATTCAGTACACCGATGAGATCTAATTTAGCGGGAAAATTGATTTTAACCGAATCTGAGTTAGGGAATAAGAACGATACTGAAAGTTCGATCCTCAGCGAGTGGAGTCTCGACGACGATAGCAATCTCGAAGGTCTCCGCTCGAAACTAGAGCGGTGGCGGACGGAGCTTCCTCCGCTTTACGATCTCGGATCGAGTCAGCAGAGCAGCGATGTAGGGAAGGAGATTGTTCCGGTAACGGCAAACGTAGGAGGAGGGAAAAGCTCGAGGCGGAAGACTCCGATGGTGAAGAGGAAGAAGCATAACCGCCGTCATACCGAGGGAGGAAACGGTCTTTTCTCGTGTTTTAGTAATCTCTGTGGTGTTGAATGCACTTTTGTTTGTGGAGGCGGGTCGGATCGCGACGGGTCGAAAAAGAGAGGTGGGTCTAGGCGTCTGCCTCGTTTGGCTTCCGCTGATGATTTGAGTTATTTGTAATTATTTTTACATTTTCGGTTTTAGACCGATTGATATGTCACAACAAAATAGACTGACCAATATTCCTTAATTTTAGGGAGTTTGTGAATGAAAAAAAAGTTGTGAATAATTGATTCAATCCTATTTTAATTTTACAAACGAAATATTTCATGGTCATTTTTTTAAATTCGTTCTAAAAAAGAATATCAAAAGGCATTTACAAATACCAAACATTACAATATATAGGAAGTGAGATTTTTTTTTTTTCTTTTTTGTAAACTAGGAAGTGAGAATGTTCTTAGGATGCTTTCAGTATTTTAACTTAGCATATAGTGATAATGTTCTTAGAATACTTTCAGTATTTTAACTTATCATCTAGACTTGATAGAATAACATTTAGAAAAATTAGTTAGTTAAATTTAATATTTTTTAAAATGTGAATTATTTAAGCATAAATACTCCTTAAGTTTCTGAATAAGTGTTACTTTGACATTTTTCACACAGATTAAGAAAATAGCGGTAATATATGTAAGATGTTATTAATTATACTCTTCTGATCGTGTTACCAAAAAAAATACTTTTCTGATCAACAGTATTTGAGGTAAATAAAATTATTTATAAAATCTTTGCAGTTTTCAATTAATTTTCAGCTGGAAATAGATATAATTTGCATTGGAATTATAAAGTGATATTCTTTGTAAAACAAGAAAAAATGTTAGAATGACACTTATTATGAATTCGAGAGAATACATGTTAAAGAAAATTTTCCAAGACATCCTAGATTTTTTTAATTTGAAATACGCTTTACTCTTTCTCATAAATCTTTTTTCTGATGAGTTATTTATTAGATATCTTGCATCTCATTTAAGATATAAATATGGGCAATTCTCTCAAATAGCCCTCTTTTAAGTTTTTATCACAAAAATAGACTTCAAAAATTAAAATGACCAAAATAACATTTTTTATTTTAAAAATTTTAAGTTTTTTAAAAAAAAATTTTAAATTCGAAACCCTATCTCCAAAATCCCACTCCTCAACTCTAAACAAAAAAGTCTATAATTAGTTAACCCAAGGGGTATAAATGTATATTTAATAAAACATTTAAGTACTATTTTGGTCATTTTAATTATTAAGGTCTATATTTATGATAAAAAACATTTACGCCTATTTTAATCATTTTCTCTATAAATATTGAAATACTTTCATGACTTTCAGAAAAAAATAAACATAATAAAAAGAGGATGAGAAAATATTTTATCTTGAAATACTTTGACATTTTTAAAAAAGAAAATAGTTAAATTATTGTAATTTTTAGGGTTTAATGCAACATAATTATTTTGAAAATAAAATTTTTATATTTTTAGTGATCAGATTTTTTAATGTTAAAATATGTGTATTAAAAATCATTGTAATTCATAACCTATTTACCAACAGATTTGTGATTTGAAACGGCGCCGTGTAAAAGGAAGTGGAAAAAAGTGGTAAAAAGCGCGTAAGTAAAGAGTAAAGATGTAGACAGCGCGAAAAAAGGAATTTGTATCTTGCACGCACTAAGAGCATCTCCAATGTATTACTCAATTTTCTACTCTAAAATAGAGTAACTCCAAAATGCAGTTGAGTTTTACTCCAATGTATTACTCCATTTTCTACTCCAAAAAAAATTTTAATATTATATTTATTTCAAAATTAGGAATATCACCTTTCATATATACTATTTGCAAAACAGTCCATTTTAAATTTATACCATTTCTATTAAATACAATATTAACCACAATTAAATTTTTATTATATAAATAAAACTACTCAACACGGTTTTAAAAGAATACATTTAATAAATTAAAAATTACATTATATAGCTTAAACACAATAATACATCAATTCTAAATTATTCATTAGAATTATAATAATTTTCCCACAAATGATCAACTAATGCATTTCGAAGTAAAAAATGAGCTTCTTTATCTTTGATTTCTCTGAAACGGGAAAGAAACTTTTGGAACCTCACATTATTATTTTCTTTAATTTCAATTTTCCTTGACATGACTTCTCTTTCAACTTCAATTGGCACCTCGAGATCACAATCATCTTCTATTATCATGTTATGTAAGAATTTAATAATATTTTATCGGATTATTTTAATAATTTTAATGGATCCGAAAATGATTTATCAGATTATTAAGCAATTATATTTGTTGTAAGTTTTATTTTATGTTATTTCTTTTGTATGGTGCTTATCTTTCATTTTCTATATGTATGATCTTTTATGTTTTATATTATATATATTATGTTGTATAAAAGAGTTCATCAGATGGTTATTTATATAATTAAAAAATATTAACAGTAAATTTTAAAATATATATAGTAAAATANTATGTTATTTCTTTTGTATGGTGCTTATCTTTCATTTTCTATATGTATGATCTTTTATGTTTTATATTATATATATTATGTTGTATAAAAGAGTTCATCAGATGGTTATTTATATAATTAAAAAATATTAACAGTAAATTTTAAAATATATATAGTAAAATAATATTAATATACTTATTTATAATAATATTTTTATTAAATACAAGGCTATTTATATAATTAAGAAATATTAAGAGTAAATTTTCTAATATATAGTAAAATAATATTAATATACTTATCTATAATAATATTTTATTAAAAATGAGGCTATTTATATATTTAAGAAATATAACAGTAAATTTTATAATATATATAGTACTTATTTATAATAATATTTTATTAAAAATGAAACATATATAAATGTGGAGGACTATTTGATAAATAAAAAAGTTCAACTCCATTTTGGAGTAATGAGTTGGTTTACTCCATATTTGGAGTAATCATGTTTGTTACTCCATTTTGGAGTGAGTTTTTGAGTAGGGTTGGAGAAAATTTTACTGTAAAATAGAGTTTGGAGTGGGTTTTGGAGTGGGGTCGGAGATGCTCTAAACGGGTTAAAACATCCGGGTGGTCCGCGAAGACCATCAAACAACGTGTCGTTAACTTATACTCCGCTTTGGTTTAATGCACGACGTCTTTGTCGTTTTGTCTCCCTAAAACGACACTCTTTTTTGTCTTTCTATATATTTCTATATTTAGTTAATTTTTATATATTTGCAATATTTCTATTTAGTTAATTTTTTTTAACAGTTAATTCGTTACACAATGGGATCTTTATGGATGGATCTCGTAACTGGTAAAAATTCAACAGTGAAATGATTCTACAGTCTTCAATTCTAAATTTTGAAGTTCAACTGTTATCATTTTTAAAAAAAAAAAAAAAAAAAAAAACTGTTATCATTTTAATAATATAAGAGAACTGTCACTTTACTGTTTTGCAGTTAAATGGACTATCCTATAGTCCTATTTCTTTCATACGCATTTTATTTCTTACATTCCATCATTCCCAAGATTACTAGTACTACCCAATACATACAACTTTTCATAGTTATAATCTTATACTGATGTTTTTGTTCTAGTTATTTAATACTATATAACTAATAAAATGTTGTGTAGAGGACGAGTTTTTGGATCTATCAATGGTTGTTGAGTTTGTTCTTTCCTCAATTGCCGGTGAGAATAGAATAAAATATATTTAATCACTAGAGGTGAACCAAGTTTGGTTATTTGCTAGACGGACGTAGATATAAGACTTCTATATTCAAATGAAACATGAGTATGAATTCGGTTTCTTAGAGGATACAAATAAGTTTAAATTCTTTAAACTCTCCGAAGCTAGACTAATAGGGGATAACGTAACTGGCCGGAGAAATCTTGACATAAGTATAGGCACTGGTCCATAAGAGGTATATGAGGCCTAACTAATAGACTAAAAAAGAAAAAAAACTAATAGACAATATTGTGAGCTTATAAATGGTGAGAAAGGTTTTTTGCGTTGTGTGTAAAAAATTATCCGTGAGGTGCACAGATGCGATAGAGAGAACTATATATATTTTTATAATCTTATTATATACTATATTTTGGTAAAGGATGAATGAAACAAAAGATGTGATCTCCGACAAAGAACCTAAGCATCTGATTTAGTGTGAATTGTGAAACATATAATAAAACACTTAATAAGAAGGTGTCGTCAATTTGTTCGAAGAAACTTTGTTTACGTGTTGTAGTCAGATTGGTAGCTGGAAACACTTCCTATAATATCTTTAACATAAGTTCATCTTACATGTCTTCGAGTTATATATTGTTTCCGTCGTCATATATTTTACACGAATTTTCTTTTTTTAGTACCGAGTGATTATCGACTATATCATATGCTTTTTAATCTTTGAATCGTGACTAAGAATTTTCCTCAACATCATGATATTCGATTGGATGCTATACAAAAGCAAAACGTTAACCTTTTCTGATAAAAGAACAACACTAATTTCTGCATATTTTATTCTATAGAAATGGTTTCAAATCTTCTCTATTAAAAGAGAAGTACCAAATTTATCTACTGTTTAAAAGTCATGTTGGACCATGTCATTAGTTATTTAATTTGACATATTTGATTCTTACATTAACCAATCAAATATATATTATTTTCAAAATATCTTAATAGTTAATAAGGATATTAATAATAAATGAATTTAAATATAACAAAATCTGTTGAAAAAANTTAAAAGAGAAGTACCAAATTTATCTACTGTTTAAAAGTCATGTTGGACCATGTCATTAGTTATTTAATTTGACATATTTGATTCTTACATTAACCAATCAAATATATATTATTTTCAAAATATCTTAATAGTTAATAAGGATATTAATAATAAATGAATTTAAATATAACAAAATCTGTTGAAAAAATCTAACAAGATTTCATAAAAAAAAATTAAATATTTTTTTTTATAAAATAAGTATTTTTTTTTAATTTCGTTATTAGATATAATTATATTTAAAACTAGAATATAAATCATATATTTAAAATTTTTAAATATTTATAAATTGGAAAATAAACCCGCACGGATGTGCGGGTGAAACTCTAGTAAAATTATTAAGAACCTTTAACTTTCTAAATTCATGAGTAATAGTGCTTAATCCTACTTTACACATGTCCTTTTACAAACTTAATACGTTATCAGATTTTGTTTTGCCAACTTACAGTTTTTCTTAGATTAATATATATAGGTTAGACACTTAAATTAGGAATGTTTATAATGTTTATACGATAAATTAAAACAAATTAAACACACATATATACAGTAAAACCTCTATAAATTAATTAGAATTTTGAATTTTATATTTTTTTATTATCTTATTTAGTGTATACTTTTATGTCTCATAGAATTGTTACGTGGTTTTCGATAGAATTTGACTAAATATTATCAAAATATAATGAAATGTTAAAAAAAATAAAAGTATTTTTACTATAAATATAAATCCAAGAATATAATGTTAGATTCTACTTATATAAAATTATTTATAGATAGATTATTAATTTATGATTTTAATGGGACTATATATTTACATGGAAGTTTTGAAAATATTATTATCTTATTATTTTATCGATTTGTGTCATATTTTACACCGGTCCAAGTTGGGATCGGTAAAATTTATTAATTTATAGAGATTATTAATTTACCGAGTATTAATTTATAGAGGTTCTACTGTAGATGCATGCAAGCATGAAGTCTGGAATATATATGGTACAGTTTCGTATGTTTATACTTTTATCACATAGATAGGTGTGTATATATATATTTACAAGCGTGAAGTCTTCATCATTTATCCTGAACATTTGATTACAAATTTTATATCATGAATCTCCTTTTGTCTTTTCCTTATGATTCCAAATTATATTAACTTCAAGTTGCGCATGCATGTTCAGGAGACAAACACAATTCACGGTAAATTTGATCGATTATAATTCGTCAGATATAGAAACTTGATTTGTTATAAGATACACGAACGCTAGATAATATTGTTGATAAAGCTTTACAGATTATTTTTTCAAACTAAAACATTTTCTTGTAGTTAACTTATCCGTTGCTTGATCAATGATCCGTAAAGGATCACAACACGTATATACATGGCCAAAGATAAATTTGCAATCCTCGAACTAAGATTCATCTCCGCTTCTAGTAAATTTATGCAACAAGGGGTAAATACTCTGAAACGAATTAACAAACAATATTTTGAAAGGTATATATCAGAGGACTCGTTTAGGTATTCCCACACCATTTTTTTCGCAGATTTCAACTCATTGAGATGATTGAGTCTTTGTTTCTTGTTTCGTACATCTATGCATATGGTTTGTTTTGAGTCTTTGTTTCTTGTTTCGTACGTATCTGCATATGGTTTAGTTTTACTAATTCATGTGGTCTTAATTAGCTTAATACGCTTCTCCCATTTTCTAGTACCATGCGTCCTATACTTTGTGGACTCGACCAATAAATGATACATCGATTCTTTTTCAAGTTTCATACGATACATCATATTACTAATTACTATGCACTAGTGGCAGTTTGTAGAATTTTGTAACGATACATCCACTTTCGCTCTAATTTTGCAAATATATAAAATGCTAACGCGGAATCGCGGATTATGAATAAATAAATGTTTCTTTCAATCTATTTTCTTAATTACCTTTCTAGCAAACCCCACAGCCCACTTGGGTTTCGACTTTATAGTTAAAGCAATGTTCGTGCCTTTTGTCCTATAAAGGAACGACACAGATAGCCAAAGAAGAAGCGAAGAAAATTGCAAAAAATAGAAAGATGAATAAACAGAATATTAAAACTACACGGAATTCTAGAAAAACGTAAAAATGTGATATCTTTAAAACATAGAATCAAATATTTGATATTGACTAACTGATGGTTCTTGGAACTGAGAGAGAATACGTTTGCTTAGAAGAGGTGCAGGTGTCCTTAATTCCTAAGAAAAATACCACATGAGTAAATTTTTTTGCTACATTATAATTGTGAATATGATATCAAATTCTAAACATTTTATGATTACTTATTTCTCATTTACAACAATCATATGTTACAAATAGCTTCCGATTACTGATTAAAATGTTACTAGACTGATGATAATCTTAAAGGCATTTCAACCACTCTCTATTTTTCATTCTAAAATAGAATTTTAAAATAATAGTGCTAAATGGTACTCTATATCTCACTCTATAACTGAGTGAATATAGGTTTACTCTAAACATAGAAATTTTTTTTCCATCACCTTATTTTTTACTCTAAGATAAAATACAATTGTAGTAAACTCCAAATTTATTATAGAGTAATTTTATTTTATAATAAAAATAATATAAACCATTGGAGATGGTCTAGAGGGTTGAAAGAATTGTATAGCTCATTAAAAAAATGCAGGGAGAGTAATTATGATTTAGTAAAAAACTATGTAATCACATATAATAAATTTTATGTGTATATTAAGCGAGTGTGCATCAGCTGTGGGTATATATATATATATATACATATATATGTTTGAAATATAGAAGCTTAGAAAAAAAACTTTTAAGATAAAGATAAAATAAGAAGTAGCATAAAGCTATACTTATTTTGAAGAAAAAAAACTTGCGGCAAGCTATAGTTAAATTTTGCTACTAAAATTATATTTATGGAATTTTGTATTTGTATTGTTCTTTTTGAATTTTAAAATAATAAACGCAATAGAATTTAATGTTTTTGTATCGTTGAAGACCAAACATAGTCCATGTTTTTCCCCAAACTAGTTGTTTGGTTTCTTTCTCTATCTCTTTTGGTGACGGTCATATTTTACACCAGCGAAATTGTTAATTCTGTTTTCAAAATGTAAAATTACTAAAGAAACCTAAATTCGTTTTTCTAACAAATCCATCAATGGAGTATGAAATATATATGCTCATAATGTCATTTAGTCATGATTTTGATCGAAAGAGGAATTTCCACACATCAATTGCGATTGAAAAAGTTTTCAAAGGATCATCATAGCGTATCAAGAAACATGATGATGCCTAATCTCATCACCACTATTTATTTAATAATTCCTATTATGCAACCAATTTTTATTTTCTCACTTTATTTGACATCAATCATAGTCCCCAACGAAACATAAATAAATAAGCAAGCGGAATATAGATATGATCTAGTGACAATTTTCTTATTTTGTCAAAAACAAATTACACAGGTATTAAAATGAAACTAATTTGATTAGTGAAGGAAACATATCATATCATTATCCACTGATACATGCATATAGATATGCATAAGCATATCAATCTTTAAATTCAAACGAGGATAACATGACTAAAATAAAAATGATTAGTCATTCCAATTAGATTTTAACAGATGTATTTCCACTATCTTCATAGATATTATTGCATTATTGATATTTGATCCTAATCAAACTTTTTCATCAAAACTGGTTAGCTACACATTTTTTTTTTCCGTTCTATAAACATTAAATAGGGTCAGATTAATACAAATAAACTCCAATTATATGGTGGTGGATCAACAAAACCAATACAAACTCTTGCAAAAAATTATTTTTCAAAAAAAAAAAAAAACTCTTGCAAAAATAGAAAAAGAAAGAGTGATGTTTAAACAAAGCTTTCCAAAAAATAATATAACACACAAACAACTGTATTTCATAGGATACAGTTTTTATTAAAAAAAATCATTTATAAACAAAACAGATTAACGCAACGGGAGCACGACAAGTATGATAATGTCGGGAAGAAAAGTTAAAATCTTTACTAATAAAAATAATAAAAATAAAAAAGTAGAAGAAAGAAGAGCATTGTTGTTGGTATGGCCACTAGTAGACATATGGGACCCATTACTCATCACTCTCTCCACCACCTAATCTCCTTTTTTTTCTTCTCCTTCAACTCTCTCTCCAGATTTCAAGAAACCCCTTAAAATCCTCTCTCTGTCTCTTTCTGTGTTGTTTGTTTTCTTGTTTCCTTCTCTCCTCTCTCTTTTGTCTCCTTTGCAACTCTCTCAGGTTGTTTTCTTTTGAGTTCTTGACTTCCAAACTACTCTCTCTCTTTTTGTTGTGTTGTCTAAAATGATTACTGAGATTGAGATGGGGAAAGCTGAAAGTGAGCTTGAACTGGGTTTAGGGCTCAGTCTCGGCGGTGGAACGGCGGCGGCCAAGATTGGTGGTAAACCAGGCGGTGGCGGCGCGTGGGGAGAGCGTGGGAGGCTGTTGACTGCAAAGGATTTTCCTTCTGTTGGCTCTAAACGAGCTGCTGACTCTGCTTCTCACTCTGGTGCTTCTCCTCCTCGTTCAAGGTTCGTCTTTTTTCATAAAAGTTTAATCCTTTCTTAGCTTTTTTTGGTTTCAGGGGAGCTAGAAATTGAACAGCTTCTTAAGTATTTGTCTGTTTTAGAACAACATGGTTTGTCTTAGAGAAGTTAAAGATTCTTAGTGTTTTAGCGTTACTAAAGCTTATGTAGAAGCTAAAGAGTTAGGGTTTGGCTATTGCTAGAGTTAGCTCAGTTATTTAGAAGAAGTTAGTCAACATATGTAAGAAGAAATGCTCTGTTTTTGTGATTAGGAGTCTCCAAAATGTTGAATATGTTCTTGGTTTGTTGAGTAAATAGCTCACAAGTTCTGAGTGATGTTTGCTTATATGTGTAGCAGTCAAGTTGTGGGATGGCCACCTATTGGATCTCACAGGATGAACAGTTTAGCTGCAAAGTCAGCTAGGGAAGAGGAAGAAGCTGGGAAGAAGAAAGTGAATGATGATGAGCCTAAAGATGTGAACAAGAAAGTGCAAGTTGGGTTTATCAAGGTGAACATGGATGGAGTTGCTATAGGAAGGAAAGTTGATCTGAATGCTCATTCTTCTTACGAGACTTTGGCGCAGACACTTGAAGATATGTTCTTTCGTTCTAAGCCAGGTACTATCGGGTTAACGGGTCAGTTCACCAAACCGTTGAGGCTTTTAGATGGATCTTCTGAGTTTGTACTTACTTATGAAGACAAGGAAGGTGATTGGATGCTTGTTGGTGATGTCCCATGGAGGTAAAACATCTCAGAACTTTGAGTTTATCATGTCTTAAAAGTCTCATGAATGTTTAATAATGATCTAAATCGTTTTTATCAGAATGTTTATCACCTCGGTGAAAAGGCTTAGAGTGATGAAAACCTCTGAAGCTAATGGACTCGGTATGTAGACCATCTCCTCTTGGTGTCTCTTAGTGTTTGTGTAAACATGTAACAAAAATCTTGGACTAAACCATGTTGGTATATACAGCTGCAAGACATCAAGAACCGAACGAGAGACAAAGAAAGTGACAGGTTTAGCTCTCTGTCCCACATTACGTTGTTACAGTTTTTGTTTAGTGTGGTTTTTGCAAGTCTGAGATACTTCTGAAGCAAGCATAAGGAAAGAAGCAGAAGCTAGATTGATCTTTATCAAGTTTGTGTATGTTTCTTGGTTCTTCTAATGGTTTTTTCTAGTTTTTTGTCTAGGGGTTTTTTCTTTTGTGCTGTCTTTTATTTTACTGTTGAGGTTTCATCATATACTATGGAAGAGAATGCTCTTTATTTCTTTTACCACACTGTAAATATTTGAAGTTTATCTAATATCGTTTTTAAGGGTTTTGTAACAAAGCTTTTGTTTATGAGTTCGCTCTAACTGATCCAAGAAACAAGTCTCTGTAGACTAATACTATCCACATGACATCAAAACGGTTATCAGAAGTTATGAGTTCTCATACAATGCTCTGGTTGATTCAGAGTAATAAGCAGTTACCAACAACAATGTGTAGTGGAGGATGGTTTCACTTTCCTCAAATCAATAAATTAGTAACGTTTAAAATCTTAATCTAAATCTCTCTAAAGTTGACTTCATGAGGGACAGCTTGTCCACTGGGTGCCTTGGTTCTGAAAGTGAAAATCATAGTCTTATGACTTTGCTCACACGGTCAGAAAATGACAATACTCTCAAAAAGATCAGACCAGATGAGATAAAAAATAGCTGTTTTCACAAGATTAAATCGCAGAAAGAAAAAAGAAGAATTGTAGACACAAATTCAAATGCATATTGTTTGCAAGACACAACAAGAAAAAGTAAAAAAAAAACAGAAATAAGCTTTGGAAACTGCTCACCCACCAATGGCGAGTGTCTCGTCCACTTCATCGACCAACATATAGTCCAGACTTAGCTCAGTCAACGGAGAGATACTCTCCATCGCAAAAAGCATGACGCGGGGAAACTTCAAATTATTATGGTCATGAAACACAAACTGAGCCATCACATTTGGTTCTTCACTGTAACGAATAAAAGCAGCCACGTTCCTCATCCTCGACACATCCATTGCATAATCAATAACCGGAAGAGTAGGATACCTCGGCAAAACGTTACCCAGATAAACATCAGATAAATCACCCCAAAACTTCCAATTCTCAGCAAACCGTCCCGGATAAACCAGCCTATTATCCCCATTCATCGACATAATCTCCCCTTGCTCTTTTGTGACAACCACACCAGCATACTCACAAATAAACTCCCCCGCGTGAATCAAATCAAGCGACCTAACACCCCAACCAAACTCCCTGGTTCTAAAAACTTCCATCTTCTTCCTAAACCCTCGCTGCGCGACACGGTTCGCGCAGCTATAACTACACTTACACCTAACCCCGCATTCGAAAACAACGGGTTTCCCTCTCATAAGATTCCCGTGAGGTCCGTAAGGAAGCTCACCACCGTTCTTCCTTACGCATACACAATCATCAGTACATGAGTATCTACACTCGCAGCCACCAACATTGTTCCCTCCTCCTTGAGCAGATATCACACAACTAATAGCAGATTGCGCGATGTACTCATAGTTCATCGGTGAACGGTCAGAGTCAATATCATTATACAGATACAAAGGGACACCACCATAAAGGCTACAACCTATATAACCATCAGGCATTATCGCATTATTCAATAGTTCACTTCTAAGCGTTACCGCACGTTTTATTCTCGCACTCCCCATCTCCGCTTGTCCTTGGATTCTAATTAATGTAAACTTAAAGACATCAAACGCTGATGACGTCTCTCTCCCAAAGCTGTAACTTTCAATCCTATACAAACCGTCGTACACGAACACCTTCGAGCAAACGTCGTTTTCGTATTCAAACCCGCGGATGACGCGTATGTTAACGCCATTGCGCATGCTACACACCATAGCTAGATTCGCTCCTTCTAGCTTCTGGTGCTTACGTTGCCTCCCGGAACTGTCTTGACCACCTTGCCCTGAATAAATCAGTTTATCTCCTTTGTCTTCATCATCCTTGTAACCTCCTGACACGACGATGCTGGTTGCTATAGGCACGCCGAAGGAGCTTAGCTCAGCTGTTGTGAAGTCGATTCCGGATTGTAACTGGCGGTGTAAGCCGTACATGGAGAGCTCCGTACGGTAGAAGAATATGTCGCCTATCTCAACACCAGGGACTGGACCTACGAAGTATTTGCTCTGGTTTGGTAATAATCCACGTTCTTTCATCAGGGACTTAGCTTTGGAATTGACAGGTTGTTTAGCTCCGGGACGCCTCATCTTCTCTGCGGTGAGATGAAGTAGGAGAGAGTTGTAGATCATTCGAGTCCGTTTGAAGACGTACCTGTCAAGCTTCTTGTTGTCCTGGTCAAGAGTTTGAACCAGCAGAGGTTGTACGGGGACGATCGCGAGGGAGAGTGCGATCTGGGAGGAGGAGGAGGGTGCATGGGGTGGGGAATCGGGCATGAGATTAAGGTCTGGGAGGGGGACTAGAGAAGTCATTCTCCCAAGGGAAGCGGAGGGAGAGAGAACAACACCTTGGGTTCGTGTCTGGATGAAACCTGGGGGACGATCTGAATCAGACCTTGCATCATTTGCAGGTGCATTCAACTTGTTCAAGGAGTTGTTCCTGATACGCAGAGATTACAGTGACAACAGACAGATGTTAGAACTAGATCAAAGAAGTTACGATTCTTTTAAGGGTTTAATAATATACTAGATTTTGGGTTTTTGAATACTAAAATATTTTATATTATACAATAAAAATTATCAGTATACTAATATAATTTCATGTTATATATTATCTAAATTTATAATAATGTTTGTTTGGATTATAATATTATTATTTTATTTCTTATTTGAAATATATGTGAAAGTTAAATTATGTTGGACCAACATTATAAAGAAGTACTTTTTTAGAATAATGTTAAAATCGTTTTATATAATTTTTAATTTGTGTTATAAATCAAAAATGAATAATTGTTTTAATTATATTTTCTGATAATTAAAATTTTGATTAACTAATTTGGAAATATATTTGAACAGATCTTAAGATCTTAAAAAAATATTGTTAGAATTTTTATATATATATTTTTGGTATTTCAAATAAAAATTAAGGATATGAAAAATATTATAGCGATGTTATGAAAAATCTAATAAATTTTTCAAGAATGATCAAAATTAAAAAATCACACATTAATTGAGTTATGTCTTCTATTTTAATATAATAGATTCATAATTTGAGATATTTTGGATTGTAAAAAAAGTAATAAATTTTAAAATAATTTAACATATCACCTAATTATACGTAAATTATTCATATAATAAAATCTATCTATATCAACAAAGTAAAACAAAGTCTCTTCACAATAAACCACACCGTCATAGTTTATTTTTTAGATTTCCATGTCAGCATGAATTTTGTTTACAAAATGTTTTTTTTTTATCATATGTGGGTTTTGAATATATTGATCTAAAATTGTCTTAAATTTTTTATAAGGCTCAGATATTATAAATTCTGGTATATTAAACTAAAGAAAAGTGATTACAAACTGATAAAAAAAGCATGCATACATAAAAAACATTTGCTAACCCCATAGATTTATCAGTATATCATTTTTAGGACAAATTCATCAACATATCATAAATAACATAAACAATATTCAGAAAAATAACCAAACATAACCAACTACATGGATTTCCATTGGTCTAGGGTCCAAATCAACACATAGTCTCTGAGATCCAAACCGAGAACCAAAAACCAAACTAAAATTAAACCAAAAAAGTTGAATCAATATTTTACAAATATTCAAATGTTCCTTATATCTCTTGAACCAAAAAAAAAAAATTAAGAGTGAACCAGATTGAGAACCAAATAAATACATAAAATAAAATTACTATACTTCATAATATTTATTATATTTAGTTTTAAAAATAAAAATGTTCTAAGAATATTATTTATAAACTGAAGTACGCGAAAAATGGATTACTCGAACAATATGCAAAAAATATAATCAAACATGAGCAACCATATAGGTTTCCATTGTTCAGAGCCCAAATAAATACATAAGCGTGGTCATATAAACTGGAAACCAAACCAAACAAAATTGAACATATAAAATCGAACCAATATTTTACAAATATCCAAATAGTTATGATATCTATGGAACTGAAATAGAACTGGGCCGAGTACCAAATGGATACTCGAAATAAAATTATAAACTTAAAACTATTAATTATTTTTAGTTTTAAAAATTACTAATATTCTAAAAAGTAACACTTATAAATCGAACTACTCAAAAGACTAGATAACTCGAATATTTTTATCCTAAACATTTTAAATTATCTGAATATCCAAAAATCTGGAATTTTATTTACCCAAATTATCTGAGAAACCAAAACTAAATTGGACCCAAAATTTTATCAGATATTAACCGAATCCTAACATATTATTTAGAGCTGTTTTTGAAGAACCCCAATATTGAGATCTAGGTCTGGGCATTTGGGGTTGTCCATTGAGTCTGATACGTTTGATTTAGATTTTTTAATATTATGCTTATAATTCCCAAGCATGTTTTAATAAGTATCGGATCGGGTTTGTTTCGGTTCGGGTTAAAATATGAACTTCAGTTTGGGGACAAACCCGAATGCCTATTGAGATCATTTACCCTCTCTTGTAGAAATGCGTATCAATGTTTAAACAAGTTAAAAAGTTCAGTGATTGAATATGCATCCATATCATATCAGTTGCAAAGGATAAATTTTAGATCTTTGCAAAGTTTAGATATTAGTTCCTTAAGATTTTAAAACAAAAGTTATTTAGTTTTACTTTGATTCTCTTTACAAAAATTCTGAACCATAACTAATTATGAAAAATAATAAAATTTAAACTAAAAGTTGAAAGAAAATACCTCATTTCTTGAAAATACGCAGATCTTTGATCGATTATTCTTTTATTCCGTACAAAATATTTTTAAGTTATTTTTGTTTCGAGTTGACGATTCCTGTCACAACGCTTCATTAGTATATATATATAGATTCTTACTAATTTTTTTTACAAAAAATCTTTTGATACATAATCAAAATAGACACAGGTCGTACATTCTTTTTATGATAGCCTCTTTTTAAATATTAATAAATTTTAATTGATAGGGAAGACAAAAATGTAGTATGTAATACATAAATTAGTAAACATAAAAGTTGAAAGTAGTATTAATTAGGAAACATATTTTATGTATAAGAGAGAATATAATCTATTGAGGAAATGAATATTTAAATGAAATTGGTTAAGTTTTATCTTTATTTCTTAAGAAAAAAAATATGAAAAGAAATAATAATTGACGAAATATCTCATTTTCGAAGAAGAAAAGCAAACTTTGATTGACCCTTTTTTTTTTGAAAAAAAAATTAGAGGTATTTCATACCTGCAGAAAGATCCAAATTAATACTCAAAAGGAAGTGCATTTCCAAATGGATTCTCTTACTTAGTATTCAAATGAATTAAAATAAATAAATTCATATCTGCGTGACCATATAATGAAGTGTAGCAAAGTAATTTTAAACTTATATTATTTGTTAACCCAAAACTCTTATACGACTAAATCAAATGAAGTGTAGTAGAGTAATTTTAAACTAAGATTATTTAGCAACCCAAAACTCGTATATCATTAAATCACCATTATGTTAGACGAGTTATTTCTAGCTTTCTTTTTTCTTGCGAACAAAATTATTGTAAGGTATTTTTTGAATCCATTGATGTTTTATTAGATAACAAATTTATCTAATTTTTCTTATTAGAACTTGTAATATGTAATCAAGATAATAAGTGTAATGTAATTATTATGTAAATATCGATAAATAATTTAATGTATACCAAAAAAAATATGTAAATAATATTTCAAAGATTTCTCCAACGGCTAGAGCCATAAACATATTATGAGTCTAATTTGTGTAATCACATTGGTTGTGGATCTAGTTACGGGTATTTGTAGATGATTGCAGATGTGGTTATGGACTTTTCCAAATGTGGATTATTGTAGATGTGGTTACGGATTTTTATGAATGCGAATTGTGGTTTCAAATGTTACACAATGATTAAAAATTGATATGTTTATGGAAAAATTATGACTGGTTAACTACTAAATACATGAGTTAATAATAATGAATAAACAATATTTATATTTTATATAATTATAAAAATATTAAAATCATATTATTATAATCAATTTTAAAATTAAATTAGAAATTTATATTATTACTTTTTTAAAACTTCTAGACAATATTTTGTTTTATAGTTTATATATAATATAAACTAAAATATAATTTATATATTTTAGTATTTATATATTTTTCTAATTTAAAATTTCAATTAAATATTTTAATCAGACTAAAACAAAAGCCCTTTAAGAGTCAACTAAACTTTCTAAACTCACTCTACGCAGACACTTATTAAGGTTCCAAACTTCTTCACAACAAAACCAAATCACAGATCAGGTCCACTTGACAGAGAATCTCCCACATTGCCTCAATGGCTCTTCCTCTTCGTCAGCATTGCCTACTCCCCACAAAATCCTATCTTTCTCCCCAAAACACCCTTCCTCGTACACACTCTCCTCACCGGGGTTTTCTCAAGTTCTCCAACCGTCGACACATTCAAACTTCGCCTCCAACGCAACTCACCATAAAATATCAAAATCCCATTTCCCAAAACGCCTCTCTCTACTCACCTTCACTCGTCAGATGCAAAGACCAAGACGAGCATCAGTCAACGCACGATGAAAAGATCCAAACTTTACAAGAAACCGAGTCACCGGAGATTACCAACGAACCCAAAAAAGGAAAGAGTTTTTGGGCTGCAGTTAGTTTAATCATCGGAACCGCCGTTGGTCCGGGAATGCTCGGCCTCCCAGCTGCAACCATCAGATCCGGCTCCATCCCATCCACCATAGCTTTACTCTGTTCTTGGGTTTACGTCATCTCCTCTATCCTCCTCGTCGCTGAGCTCAGCTTTGCAGCTATGAGAGAAGACAATGCATCAGAGGTTAGCTTCACAAGCCTCGCAACGAAGTCGTTTGGAGATAAATTTGGAGTCTTTGTGGCTTTTGTCTATGCTTCATTGAGTTTCGCCTTGATGGTTGCTTGTGTCTCTGGTATTGGCTCCATTGTGTCTCAATGGTTTCCAACGATGAATCCTTTATTGGCCAATGCTGTGTTTCCTTTGGTTTCTGGAGTTTTGATTGGTTTTTTCCCTTTTGAGGTTATTGATGTCACCAACAGGTGTCTCTGCTTCCTCATGCTGTTCTCTATAACTTCACTTGTTGGTATAGGTTTGTCTGTTGCTAGGTCCAATGTGTTGGCTTCGTTTGGTCAGTGTTGTTGGAGAGTGTCGGCGGTTTTGCCTGCGGTTCCTGTTATGGTACTGACGCTGGGGTTTCATGTCATCACTCCTTTTATATGCAATCTCGCTGGGGACTCGGTTTCTGATGCTAGGAGAGCGATTCTTGTGGGTGGTGTTGTGCCGTTTGTTATGGTGTTGTCGTGGAATCTCATTGTTTTGGGGCTTGCGAGGATTAATGTCCCTGTGGCTTCTTCGGCTATTGACCCTATCTCTCTTCTTCTGTCTGTGAACCCTTCTGCTTTGTCTGCTGTTCAAGGCTTTGCTTTCTCAGCGTTAGCTACTAGTTTGATTGGATATGCTGTTAGCTTCCCGAAACAACTCCTTGATACATGGAAGCTTGTGTCTAAACAATCAAAAGAGGGTCATAAGAAAACTGATGGGAGAGTTTTATACAGTGAACCACCGAGAGGTCGTGATGGATTTGAAGCAGTAGTGATGCTGTTTGTGCTTGGAGTTCCAGCTCTAATTGCAACATACTTTCCTTCAACGTTTTCGAGAGCTTTGGATTTTGCAGGTGTTTATGCAAATTGTTTCCTCTTTGGTGTACTGCCTCCTGCAATGGCCTATATTCAACAGTCTAGAAAGAAGCTCAGGTATATATTCACTCAATAATATTACAACTTGAGTCCTCTGTTTCAGTTCTTCATGTGAATTATCTTTGCAAGGGAATGATATGAAACCAAAAGCTTTTGATATTTGCAGGTTATGGGTTCTTCCCGGAGGCAACTTTACTTTGTTGATCTTATTTGTAGTGGCTGTTATACTTGGAATATGGCATTAGAGAGCCATCAAACAGAAATGTAATGTTTGCATCATTCTACTGAGACATATGACATGATCTGACTGTGCTAACCAGATGTAATTTGATAATTATAGCTATCCTGCTACAAACTAGAGACCTTTGAGTAGGAGACTATTTTGGTCACTGAGTCGACTACAAGATGAGGAACTTGGAAACAATAAAAACTATGGGTTGGGGTCGAAGTTTGTCTCCAATATGTTGTTCTGTATTTGGGGACAGGAAACCAACCTTAAAGATATAGTCTGAGAGTTAATAGGCATGCTGAACTTTTAAACAACTGCATGACAATCTCCGGTGAATGAACCGGATTGCTTACGAATAACAATCCGGTTTGATCACAGAGGTAATTTGGGAATCACAAAAGTTAAAATGTCTTACCTGGCACGCCTACGTGGATTCTCTGATCTTCCTTTCCAGCAACCAGGGGGGAGAGACAATGCATCAAAAAAGGAAAAACAAACATACAAAAACATCCACAAGGAAAAACGCTAGAAATTTTCTTTGTAGCTTTCCTGCGCATCTTTTGTTTTCTCTGAGAAAGGGTAAAAGCTTTTAAGTGGTTTAAGCTCTTTGTTATTGTTTGTTGAAATTTCGTCGACAGAACGTGAATGTAGCCTTCTTAACGTTTTGATCTGAATATTGGAGATAAGAGACAAACGTTAGTGGAAACACCTTCTGATTCTGATTCATCGTTGGATCCATGGATAAGAACTTTCCCTTCTTATTGGGGGTTCTCTGAAAGTTTTTTTCTAATGATTTCTCCCGTTTGGAAATCTTCATTCGGGATCGTTTCTAGGAAAATCTAACAAGATTTGCCCCTAATAATGGTACGAGACCCCATTCTTTAACCTGCATTGTGATTTCTTTCGTGTTGCTCATTTTTGACATTTTGATCAGGCTGCTTCAGTGAAGGTGGCTTTGGGGTCGTACGTTTGGGTAGAAGATACAGATGAAGCCTGGATAGATGGAGAAGTAATCGAAGCTAACGATGATGAGGTCAAAGTAAAATGTGAAACCAAGACGGTAAGCACCCTCTTTTTTGTCAATCATAATCAATATGTTGGAAAATATGAAAGTTGCTTGATTCTCAAGCTACCTGTTGAAGGGTGGTGAACATAAAGCGGTCATATTTGTTATGTAGGTTTCCGCAAAAGTAAATGCTGTCTACCCCAAGGACCCTGAGTTTCCTGAACTTGGTGTGGATGACATGACAAAGCTTGCTTATTTGCATGAACCAGGAGTTCTTCTCAATCTAAAAGCCCGGTACAACGCAAATGAAATTTATGTAAGCATGTAACCTTAACGTTTTTCTTTCATTCATTGCATTAGTTACTATCATTCATTTATAAGGCTATTTTATCATGAAATGGTTACAGACATACACAGGTAACATACTGATAGCTGTGAATCCCTTTAAAAGATTACACCACCTATATGGAAATGAGATCATGGAACAGTATAAAGGCTCAGATTTTGGTGACTTAAGCCCACATCCTTTTGCAGTTGCTGATTCTGCATATAGGTAATCCCTCTTGTTTCGTAGATGAAACTTTTTAACTACCAATTTTTTTTTGGGGACTCACAAGCATCAAGAATGTAAAATTTAGAAAAATGATCAACGAAGGAGTAAGCCAGGCGATCTTGGTGAGTGGAGAAAGCGGTGCTGGGAAGACAGAGAGCACCAAGATGCTCATGCAGTATCTTGCATACATGGGTGGTAAAGCTGAGAGTGAAGGACGATCTGTTGAACAACAAGTTTTGGAGGTAGATACCACTCTCTAGTCTCTATCTACATTTCTTATTAAAAATAGATAGACTTACTGAGTTTCATTCACCTCTCTGTAGATGTCTTCTTAATTATTTTTGTCACGTTACATTTTCTGTTTCTGCAGTCAAATCCAGTTTTAGAAGCTTTTGGTAATGCAAAAACCGTCAGAAACAACAATTCAAGGTGGAATGTCTTTCACATTTCTTGAATTTTTTCTCCAGTTTAATGTATTTGTTGAAGCCAAAACTTGACATATTAATCTCATGTTGCAGTCGTTTTGGTAAATTTGTGGAGATTCAGTTCAATCATAACGGAAGAATCTCAGGAGCTGCTATTAGGACATATTTGCTTGAGAGGTCCCGAGTTTGTCAGGTTTCTGACCCTGAAAGAAACTATCATTGCTTTTACATGCTTTGCGCTGCGCCTGACCAGGTATTAACGATCCCTTCTTACATATAAAAGTTCTCTATGTATCCAATGCTTGACCTTATGTGATATTCAAACTTTACAAAACTAGCTTCTGTTATGAGATTTCAGGAAGTTGAGCGGTATAAATTAGGGAAACCAAGCACATTCCACTACCTTAATCAATCAAATTGCCATGCATTGAGTGCATTTGATGACGCCAAGGAATACATAGCTACGAGGAAAGCTATGGACGTTGTTGGGATCACTTCTGAACAACAGGTACTTTCTCTAGCTAGTCATTTACATGATCAGTATTCAGTAGTGAGGACAGCTCTTCTTACATTGTAACTTTGTAGGATGCAATCTTCCGGGTTGTTGCTGCTATTCTTCATCTAGGAAACATTGAGTTTGTAAAGGGTGAAGAATCAGATGCTGCAGAACCCAAGGATGATAAATCTCGGTTCCATTTGAAAGTGGCTGCAGAACTTTTCATGTACATTTCTTTCACTATTCTGTGTTCTTGAATAACCTTTTTTTGTCTATGGAGTCAGAACCCTGCTTGTTCTTTGTTGGTAGGTGTGATGAGAAAGCTTTAGAGGACTCCTTATGCAAAAGGGTAATGGTGACTCGTGGTGAAAGCATTACAAAGTCTCTTGATCCTGGTAGTGCAGCTCTAAGCAGAGATGCTCTTGCCAAGATTGTCTATTCTAAATTGTTTGATTGGTAAGTTAACAATACTTGACTAGGCTCTTTCCGAAGGACTTAATATGATTCTTGAGGTTTTAATTTCTACAAACTTATTGCTCTCAGGCTTGTGACTACGATCAATAATTCTATTGGCCAAGATCCAAGTTCAAAGTACATTATTGGAGTCCTGGATATATATGGATTCGAGAGTTTTAAGACAAACAGGTGCTTAACCGGTACGCTCTTATATTCTTTTAATTGTTGAATATCCTTTTGCGATTTGAGTTCTAACTAGCTACATTTCTTCCTACATATAAGCTCTTTTTTTTTGTGTGAGTTTTGACTAGATCTCTTTTTTTTTTTGTGTGTGGTTTCTGACAATATTGACATTATCATTATGGGTCTTTCCTTCTGTGGTTCAATTTTTAGCAGTAATAATGCTTTTGTTACACTTCCAACGTTGACTTTCTCTTTTTTTTTTGTAGTTTTGAACAGTTTTGTATAAACCTGACAAACGAGAAGCTGCAACAACATTTCAACCAGGTTGGAGACTGAATATTGATTTTTGATTGATGTGATTTAACAATATATTCATGCGTCTGTTTTTCTCTTTTACAGCATGTATTCAAAATGGAGCAAGAAGAGTATACTAAAGAAGAGATTGACTGGAGTTATATAGAGTTCATTGATAATAAAGATGTCCTTGATCTTATAGAAAAGGTAAATATTAAGTAGTAGTAGTAGTGGTGTTGAAACCTATGATCAGTTTTCTAGTTTGCAGACATGTATGTAGATTTCCAGTTTCTAATATCAAATTGCTTCATGTCAGAAACCTGGTGGCATTATTGCCCTTATCGACGAGGCATGGTAATGCATCAAACCGTCATATATTCCTTTTTTTTTAATTCTTGAATAATTGGCTGAGTTTGTGTTTGCCTGATCTACAGTATGTTTCCAAGATCGACACATGAAACACTTGCGGAAAAGCTATACCAGACATTTAACGGTCACAAGCGTTTTACCAAACCAAAATTGGCTCGTACAGACTTTACCATCTGCCATTATGCTGGTGATGTTAGTGATCTTTGATTACCATACAAACCTGTGGTTATAAATGTTTGTCTTGGAAGTTATTGTCACAAATGTGATCTTGTTGTTGTTATGATTGTGTTTCTTGTTCAATTTTAGGTAACTTATCAGACTGAACTATTTTTGGACAAGAACAAAGATTATGTTGTTGGAGAACATCAATCTCTCATGAACTCTTCAGAATGTTCTTTCGTCTCATCTTTGTTTCCAAAACCACGAGAGGAATCCTCCAAATCATCAAAGTTCTCATCAATAGGCTCTCAGTTCAAGGTCTGAAGATGGTGATAAATTCAAAATTTTCTGCTTAAATATATATATTTTTTATCCTGATTCTCATCATGTTCTAAAATACAGCAACAACTACAATCTTTGCTCGATACGTTGAGCACCACAGAGCCGCACTATGTACGTTGTGTTAAACCAAACAATGTTCTTAAGCCAGATATTTTTGAGAACGCTAACGTTCTGCATCAACTTAGGTGTGGGGTAAGAGCTTAATGTTGCAGAGAACCTTATGTTTTCATCTTTGTACCTGTAACAAATTGTTGTCCCTTACATGATTTTGTTTGTCTGGCCTCAGGGAGTCATGGAAGCCATTAGAATTAGTTGTGCTGGATATCCTACTAGAAAGTCTTTCAGTGAGTTTTTAACTAGGTTCCGAATTTTGAGTCCAGAGGCTACAAACAAAAGGTATATTCACCTTTACTAACTTATTCAGTTAACCTTCTAATACTAATATGATGGTATTAGACTCATATAAAACTTTTCTGCCTCTGTTCTATGATTGAAGTTTTGATGAAGTCGATGCTTGTAAAAAACTACTAGCAAAAGTAGACCTAAAAGGTTTTCAGGTGCGGTCTCATCATACTCTCACAGTTTTCTAGATAGATTGATTATATTGTGACCAGAAAACAAATAAAGGGCACTAGCACTTTCACTTTTGGATATGTTTCATGGTCACACTTCACAAGACTCTTTATATTATGAGCTGCTTTTTAGTATTGTTCACATGCCATGAGAAATTTTATGAATGCTATTACTACATTTTATCTTTCAAACCCCAGATAGGGAAGACAAAGGTGTTTCTTAGGGCAGGTCAGATGGCAGAGCTTGATGCTCACCGAACTGAAGCTCTTGGCCATTCAGCAAGGGTCATACAGAGGAAAGTCCGTACTTATCAGTCTCGTAAAAAATATGTTGTGTTGCAGTCCGCTTCAACTGTAATCCAAGCCTTTTGTAGAGGTAATACATGTTGTATGCATATTTGTAGGTACATAGTTAGTTTCAGGTCTCATAAGTCTTCTTCCACAGGACATGTTGCACGCCTTCAGTTTAAGGCCATGAGAAGAAACGCTGCTGCTCTGAGAATTCAGAAGCAAGCCAGGACTTATATATGCCAGAAAGCCTATAAAAAGTTGTGTATCTCAGCTATTTATGTTCAGACTGGATTGCGTGCAATGGCTGCTCGAGTTGAACTGCAATACAGGATGAAAAGAAAAGCGGCAATCAAAATTCAAGCAAGCTTAAAATCTCATTTGATGACTTCTATTTGTCTAAGTACTGAAATTTGTTTTTGAGTATCAATAACATGTAAGCTATTGATTCCACAGAGTCAAATCAGATGTTTTTTGTGTCGGAGGCGGTTTTTAAGAATGAAGAAAGCAGCTATCACCACTCAATGTGGCTGGAGAGTGAAAGCTGCACGCCGAGAATTGCTGAAGCTTAGAATGGTTTGTTTACTAACTTTTAAGATCCTACCTTCTATGAGAGATCATGAATCTTTAACTTGGTTGTCAACAAATGGTTTCTTTGTCTTCCAGGCTGCTAAGGAAACAGGAGCCCTCCAAGACGCTAAGAATAAGTTAGAAAAGGAGTTGGAAGAACTCACTTCATGCTTAGAGCTTGAGAAACAAATGAGGGTTGATTACACATCTCTTCACACTGAATAAATTTTTTATTTTTTTAAAGTATAATATTAGAGTGCGTTGCTATTTCTCTATCTGAGTGAGGCATCTGATCAGTCTATTGATGCAGATGAAGCTTGAGGAAACTCAAGAAACCAAAAGTGAGGAGATCTTGAAGCTGCAGACTGCTTTACAAGAACTTTCTAAGGATCTGGAGCTGAATCATGATCTCGCTGCAGAAAACGAACATCTCAAGGTATGGCTATGAAGGTCATTTTTAAATGTATGCTTATGGTTGCTCTGTTTTAACTCTGTTTCCTTGTAACTTCCAAGGAGTTGGTGAGCTCATTACAAAGGAAAACTGATGGATCTGAGATCAAAGATGAAGAAACAAGTAAGACAAGTGTAGACCGAATCAAACATAAGGTTCCTGTCATTGACAATGATGTGATCATCAAACTTGAAGCTGAAAATCAACAGCTGAAGGTAGAATCTCATGATATTGATTCTGAAGGTGTTTTTAGTATTTTTCAGATTTGTTTTTCTAATTTGATTTGGTGTATGATACTTTTCAGGCACTAGTGAGTTCGTTAGAGAAGAAACATAACCAAAACGATGGAAATGATTCACCAAACAAGCCAAAGGAAGGGACACACATGCTGAAAGAAGAGGATGTTACGGTTGATAATGAAATGATTAACAAGCTTGCTGCTGAAAACAAAGACTTAAATGTAAGTTTTCGGTAGATTTATCCTTCTCCATTATAAGTTTGTTGGCTAGACTTATTGTTTTCTACAACAGGATATGGTACATTTGTTGGAAAAAAAAATAGAAGAAACAGAGAAGAAATATGAGGAAGCAAGTAAACTTTGTGAAGAGAGGCTTCAACAGGTTGTAGAAGCAGAGACAAAACTGATCCAGTTAAAAACATCTATGCAAATGTAATCAATTTGCATTCTCTCTTAGTGCAAAGTTTCAGCAGTCATTGCATTGGTAACAGTTACTACATATGCATTACTTATCAACTCTTATATATATTTAGGCTTGAGGAAAAGGTCTCTGACATGGAAGCAGAAGACAAAATTCTACGGCAGCAAGCACTGATTAACTCAGCTTCCAAGAAAATGTCACCACAGGTGTCATTTTCAGGACCTCCGGTAAAAAAAAATCTTTCTATGCAATTTCTAAGAATAGTTTCAAGAAATGTATTAACCTCTTTTATTTCATGTACATCTTGCAGCCAATGGAGAACGGACATCATGTAAGTGGTCTAACATTCAAATCTGGATGAACTCTTCTTACATACACTTAGTCATATTGGCTCTTTTTTACAGGTATCATCATTGGCTCCTATACCATCAGGAAAGTTTGGGGCAATGTCTTTTAGACGAACTCCCGAACAACAACCTAGTGTAAGTGCCTAACGGAAACAGAAAACTCATAACATTGTGTTCATGTTATGTTTTTAATGATGCAGGAATACGTTGACGTCCTTCTCAGTTTTGTTTCTCAAAAAATCGGTTTCAGCCATGGAAAGCCTGTTGCGGCATTTACAATATATAAATGTCTCATACACTGGAAAATATTTGAAGCAGAGAAAACCAGTATCTTTGATCGTATTGTTCCTCTCTTTGGTTCTGCTATAGAGGTAAACATGAAGTCTGCATCAATGTAGTGTCTTAGAGAAACAGCTTAGCTTATGTTTTTTTTTTCCCTTTTCCAGAATCCGGAAGATAATGATAATTTGACATATTGGCTAACAAACACATCTACGCTACTGTTCTTGCTTCAAAGAAGCTTGAAAACTCATGGCGCAACTGGTGCAAGTGCGAATAAACCTCCTCAGCCGACTTCATTTTTTGGGAGAATGACACAGGTAAACAACATCTTTACTGAATCTATAAACATACTAATATGGTCATAAAAGATTTAGCTTAGAGATTCTGTGTGTTTGTGGGACATGACTGGCTATGTCTCAGGGTTTCCGTTCTACCTCTTCGGCGAGCCTTTCAGGTGACGTAGTGCAACAAGTAGAAGCTCGAGTTCCTGCTTTGCTTTTCAAGCAGCAGCTCACAGCCTACGTTGAAACAATATTTGGTATATTTCAAGAGAATGTGAAGACAGAACTAGAGCCTGTGCTTTCTTCATGCATTCAGGTTAGCCTTTCTATACATGTTTCCTGAAAAAACAAATCAATTTTTAAGATCATGATATCTGCAAGAGATATCATCTCACTTATTACTTTGATGGCTCAGGCACTGAAAGATTCAACACATGAGCCCTCAGCCGATTTACCAGCTGACTCATCTAAACAGAATTCACCAGCAACGCCATCTAAAGAGATTCCAACAGAAAATTTGTCTGAAGGTAATTCACCAGCAAAGCCATCTGACGAGAATCTACAGGTAAAGACATCTGAAGTGAATACAGAGGCAAAGCCATCTGAAGACAGTACTCAGGCAGAGACATCTGAAGAGAATCCACAGGCAACGCCATCCGCAGAGAATTCACCAGCAAAACCTTGGCAAGGCATCATAGATCTTTTGAACCGGCTTCTTGGCACATTGAAGAAAAACTACGTAAGAACTTTTCTGTATATAAAGGTAATATGATTGTATCTACTTAATGTCTTCACTGAAAAGCTTTTTGTTACAGGTTCCTCTGTTTCTTACTCAGAAGATATTCAGCCAAACATTCCAAGGCATCAACGTGCAAGTATTCAACAGGTAAATTACACTCCTTCATCAATCTTTAACAGGGTGAAAAAATCACATATCTCACCATCAACCATGAAAATAAAAGCTGTAATATAACTAATGCAGCCTTCTGGACCGAGAATGCTGTACATACCACATGGGCAAAAAAGTGAATGCTTGGTTTAATGACCTAGAGTCATGGTGTAGCCAAGCAACTGAAGACGTAAGTTCATTTGTCTAAAATGATCTTTTAGTAACCAATCAAACTCGAGTATATTGATTGCAACTAGCTTCTCCCGAATGCAGTTTATAGGGTCTTCATGGGATGAATTGAAACACACAAGACAAGCTGTGATTCTCCTGGTCTGTCTTTTACAGAAATTTAAACTAATATTACAACAGACTTAGTTTTCTTCTTTGTCCTGAATGTATCACCTGATTCCTCTTCCAGGTTACAGAACAAAAGTCCACAATTAAATATGATGATCTTACCACTAACCTCTGCCCGGTAAAAATTGTTATTCTCTGATCTAAAACATTCCTTTAAAGATAAAATATGTAACCTCTCTCTCTTTATATAACCTCTCAGGCTCTTAGTACTCAACAATTGTATAGAATATGTACCCTCTGCAAAACTGATGACCATGAGGATCAGAATGTATCTCCAGACGTATGTACATCTCTCAGATAAACCTTAATACATTTTTTCATATATTGTTTCATTATTTGGTTCATGTTTTCTATCCATGCAGGTGATTTCCAACTTGAAACTTCTAATATCAGATGAAGAAGAAGAAAGCCGTTCGTTCTTGTTAGACAATGATTCCAGGTATTGAAAAATATTAAGAAGAGGAATAAATATCTCCAGTTATTCAGACATTATTTCACAACCATAACCTCTCATGAAATTGTCATTGTGAAACTCAGTGTCCCATTTGCAGCCGATGAAATCTCCAACTGTATGGAAGAAAAGGAGTTTACCAATGTAAAGCCAGCGCTTGAACTTGCTGATAACCCTAACTTCCAGTTTCTAAAGGGCTAAGACCTATTTTGACCACTGATTTTGATGAAACCAAATTGTAGAGTAGTCACTTGCACAGATTTACGGTATGTAGAATCTCGATAGGTTTCCTTCGCATAGGGTTTTTAAGAGGGTTTATTGAGCTCACGTGTAGAAGGCTCTTCCTCTATCTTCTTTTGATTTGATTATTACGTGCTCACTCTCTTCGGGGTGGTTAGGTTAAAGCCAGCCAGTACTCTACTTGTAAGGCAATAAACTCTTTATGTAGAGCAGAGCAGACTGTGTAACGTTTGCTGTTGGAGAATTTAGTGAGTGAAAAATTTACAAAGAATGTGTCTTATAAATATTGAGAAAATAGTTTTTTTAGACCAAAACCATTAGGAAATTGTCCCTTTAGTCTAATCCCATTTAGTTATTGTCCCATTAAGTTATTTTTTTCCTAAATGGCAATAATACCCTTAGAATAGTTTAATAATTCGTAATTATAATTAGAAAATAATAATAAAATTATTATTTTTAATTAAAAATTTGTATTAGAAATTAAAAA